CAATTCGTAAAAATTTCAAGTTCGTAACTTAGGAAATGAACGTACCTCGGAAAAGAAACGTGTTTTCTCTTTCTCACCTACAAGATCTACAAACAGACCCAATGTGACGAATTTAAAAACCTCACTTTTTTCGATGTCACGAGAAATGCCCAATTACATTTGAGGACGCGTTTCCGGAAAAAAAACATTTTGAAAAAGAATGTGACTTACATGTTTTTTCAAATGATCGAATCAAGTAAATACAAAAGTCGTTCGAGATCAGCCACAAACGACTTTCAGATACCATATGAACTACGTTCAACCAGCGATAAGGAGATAAGGAGCTTTAATCAAAAATAGTCTACCTAATTTGAAATACTTCTGTTTGAAATGTTTCTTGTTCTCAGTCAACAAAAAATTCCAAATCTTTTCGGCGATAAAATACAGGCCATACAACACCAGAATTAAAATTACGTCTTTCCATTCTTCTCTACCGTCATCGTAATCATCACATTCGTAGGATAAGCTGCAAAATTAAGTTTAATTAATAACTTACCAGTCTCATGTCGTTTATTCCATACAAAACTGCTGTGAGGTTATCCTGACCAGCTGCCATTGCAGTTGAGATTATTTCTTGTTCTAGAAGATCAAAAGCTATTTTCAGTTTTTTATAAATAACGGTTTAAAATATTTATGATCACGCCAAACTCTTGTACCCCGTACCTACGTCAGTTGTATAAAAATGCGATAAGCACCTTTCTGAATCAATGAATATTTTTACTTGTTGATTTTGGATAATAAAATCAGAAATTAAGAAATTTTAAAAATGCAAAGCACTCAAGTTGTGACTTATGAAGACGTAGAAGTGGAATATGAATCCTGTACGAGTCTAATTATTGTGATATGTAAGTACTTCTAAAGCCAGCAGCATGAACTAAAGGATTATGCTTTCATCCGCCAGACCAAACCATGTACAGCTGTTTCATGCTTCTTAGCTACTCATCTGCATGGTCTAAACTTGGTCTATTGTTTCTGGACAAACGAACGAAAGCATCGCTACTATCCTCTATACCGGAATTACGGTCTGTTGAAATAAGACAGCGCAAAGCGCCATCTGTCACACTAGGATCGACCACTGCGGAAAGCGCATAGCTGTTAGTTTATTCAGTGACAAGTAGACCACATCTACTTTACAGCCAGAATTGGCAGTCATCTAGCGGTCACGTGGTGACTGGGCTAATAAACATGAACTGAGATCCCTAACAGTTCTAACTAATAGCAGCTATGCGCTTTCCGTGGTCGATTTTGGTGTGATAAATGGCGTTTTCCAGAGTTATGTGAAAAATTGTATTATATCACACATACCCAGAATCCCATCAGTATCTACTCACTTCAGCAACAATCGTAAAATTTACTTTTCCAGCACAGTCTTTTTATAGTAGTAGTAGTATGTACGTCTATAATTACTCTGCATGCGCACTTTAAAGGCTTAATAGACTCTAAACTGGATAATTTCTTTACTCGTGTCAGTTGTTGCATTCAACATTATAATGGGAGCTCAACATTGTCCAAACAGAGCACTTCAATATATAGATAATTTACATATGTAATAAATAGAAAATTGAGGATAATTGAGTAGTTTTAAATTAAATGTTTTTTATGGAAAATGATATGTACTTTGTTAAGCAATTGAAAACGTATTATAAGACACTCAATTTGGTGAAATGGGGTCAATATCTCCAAAACGCTTTGAACAAAATTGAAGAACAAAACGAAATACATATATATATATATATATATATAGTATTTAAGTTTTAGAAGATTGAAATGTAGAATAACCTTCACACTTTATTGATAATAATAATAATGGAACAAAAAAACCGAAACACTCTTCTGGAATTATGACGTTCTTTTAGCAAGAAGTGGGGTTTTAGGTAAGCAAAAGAGTCATATTCGTAATATTTTTATTGCTTACACTTAAATATCGACTCCTTAACATAAGACGTATTTTAAATTTTGTATGTTTTAATATCTTCATAGGGGAAACCTGGCAAAGCGAACACCCTGGGAAAATCGAATTTCCCGTTTTAAATCCAAACCATGAATCGTCCATTGTGAAATCGTACTACAAACTTCTTCAATAATCTGCAATCGATTGTGGAAGAGCGCACGTGCTTATTTGACTATCAGACAGCAGAATGTACTTTTTTCACCAAAATAATTGATTTGCATGGTAGATGTTGTGCGGGTATTTAGTGAACTTAAAAATTGGCAATACATAAATATGAAATGAAAACAAATCAAACGTCCCGATACTATTTTTGAAATGACCCATTCAAGCACCCCACTGTCTAAAAGTGCATGCAAAGACAACATAAGTGAACTGACATATCCTTTTTGCAAAGAACGTGCATTACAAAGTATTATTTGGAGGGGAAGGAATGTATTGGCTTGCGTGGATTATGCCTAAAATACGCATCAAGCGTGTCCTCCAAAGAAGCATTTTATAAAAAATGCGACAGGTGGTTTTGATAAATTATTTTTACTACAGCTATTAAAAATAGGCTCATGCAGGACAACTTGACGTGAACCTGGCGTGTACCTTGTAAATATTTGCCTGGTACGAGGAATCAAAATAAAAGGTCAACTGAAGTTTTCCAAAATAGGCTTACCTTTTTACTAGAAAAACACAAGAATGCTCTGGGTCAAGTTATACAATTAGAATGGATTCCTTAATCTGGTCTCCTGAAATATATATGGAATGACTGAAATTTTGATGAAATGTGGAATGACAAACTTATGATTGAAATGACCCAGTAATTTCCTAGATTGAGTTCACACTGAGTGTTGTCAAATTGGATGACGATGTTACTTAGAATAAGATGAAAAAAAATCAGTTAGTATGGTCATTTAGTAGTCAAACCAGCTTCTTCCTACGTGCGGTCCCCTAGTCTCGAGGCATTTGGAGAAAGCCATAAGTCAAAGCACATCATCATGCCACGTAGAAGTCTATTTACAAGTAAGCTCAGCAAAAATTTAGACAATCGAAAATGAATTAATTTCATCACCTATTTTATATATGTATATCATACCCCTCACTACTTTTTTATTCAAAATCCTGAGTTCCACATTATACACTGCGTAGTGTGATGTATTAAAGATGGTACGAGATTTCATATAATTTAATGAAAAGAATGTCAAGTAATCGCAAAACTGAGATGTTATATTTTTGTGACACTCTTTACGAAGGGCTGTTTTATGTCTGTCCGCTAATTCTTGGCCCACCTATAACAGTACCGCTCAGATTTTGATTGAGTTTTGATAAAAGGTTACTAGTATGTCAAGGACGGAAAAGCTTTGTATAGTCCTTTCACTGAAACAAAGCAGTTACGTCATATTTAGTAAGTTTGAATGCCAATCTTAATACAAAATAGATCCTAAATAAGTACATATACTTTGAATTTCCCGGGTACATTTATGTTGGTAACAGTTTGTTTTCTGTGTTGTGACATTGTTCCAAAGCTTATCAGGTAATTACGCCAACGGCTATTGTTTATTTGTGGTTTATTTCCTAGGATCTCTTAGTTTTAATTAATGTGGCAACCATATGCATCACTGTCATTATTTGATGTTGTGACGTAACAGCTTTGATTCAGTGAACTTACTGTAGCTTATGAATGTATTCGGTGGTGACGGAGCTTCGGGCGAAAAAACAACAAATATATCTAATTTTCTATTTTGTAATTTCGGAAACTCCTGCTCATTTTTTGACGGGTATTAAATTGAAGGCAAGGACGAATGGGAGGGGAAGGGTTATCTCAATTTTTTGCAATAACATTTATACGCTATAAGCCCGGTAATTATACGCACCTATTAGGCATATTTGATACATTGATTTTGTCGTGCCTTAGAGCTTAGCCCAATAGAAATATTTTGGATATCTGCGTCGGGCACAACAAAAATAGGAGTTAAACCTTCCGCTAGCTGCTGCTGCTGTGGGGTTATTCATCACAACGTTGTCAAATGGGTGAGGAATATTTGTAAGGGCCTATTTGAAAGACTTAATCAATTTACTTCATTTGTTATACATGTTCGTAGTTAATTCTTTTCTGAGAGAAGCTAACTTCTGACAAACATAGTTTTTCATGATCTGCTGTAATTTTTTATTATTCGCATAAGTTTTATCCGAGTTGAGAATAATGACTATGAATCCTGTCCAGTTCTTGAGAAATATAAAATCTTGCAGTAGTGGATCTAGGCTGTATGCTGGAGCATCGTGAGACAATAAACTTTGTTTACCCTGGGGCCCCCATGCACGGCTGTATACTTATACGCATTCAACCTCGATAATTCTACGCGGCCAGTAATACATATTTCACAAATCATAGATTTCTCCGTACATTTGCCCTGAAAACTTGAGAAATATTTTTCACAGACTGGTCGCGTATCGTGTATCAGACGGCAACCCTACGAACGTGTACTTATGTACACTAAGAGCAACGTAATCAAATGACTGTGGACTAATTTGTATGGGCCTGTTTAGCTGACTTGATCCACTTAATTTTTTTAATACTTTTTGTATCTAACTTTTGTCTCAGATGGGCTAACATGTGCCAAACAGACTCTATTCTGAACTGGAAAGTATAGAGTCAACCTACTTGACGCCATTTTATTTGAAATTGTTCATAATTCACCTTTAAAGGGTTGGTTTTGTTTTATCCATCTATTTCGGTTACAATCCTAAATTTGGTTGACGTGCTTCTCTTCAAATTCGAAAGCAAAGGCAAATTAGCATTTTCATTACTTTTTATTTTACATTTTCAATTAATAATCCATATATTTTTTATATAGTTTAAAAGGATGAAAAAGGGCCTGCGGCTCTCGTAAGGTTCGCTCAATTTCATCCGATGTCAAGGTAGAGTCTTTCCATTTAGAGATAAAGTAGCATTCTGATAACTTGTTTTGTACATCTACTGTAGAAATGAAAGTGAACGTAATTTCAATATAATGTATTTATTTTTCAACATTCACATAAAACCTAAACACTAAAATCACATTAATATAATACACAGATAAACAGTATATAATATTCTATCTAAAAACCAACAATTCAACTAAAAATGTAAGCTTTTGAACAGCCATTCAAATTTTCAATATTCAATATTATACTCGTACGGATACATATACATAAAAAAGCATTAATATTTTACACTCTGATTATACATCTTTTAATATTACAATGTCGTATATTGTCAATGGAAAATCAATGATATACAGGTAGCCAATACCCTTGTATGTAAAAATATAAAGTTATTGCTTCGTCAACCCTCATTTCAAAGTCTAGCTTTAGTCTCAGACAAGATCTACTCAAAATAATACATAAAGATTTTCGGTCTTACTGCTTCTTCTTATCAATACAATTAAGGCGAAGTTTGGGTACTGACGTTACGTAAAGTTATTTGGATTAGCACATGACAATAATTCTCTTTTGATACAGAGTGTCCAGTGGGAAAATTCACAATTCAAATTTGAATTACGCGGCAACCATATACGCGAGGAAGTGGGGAGAGGTCTTGATCTACGCGTTCGGCGTGTTAAATAGTCACAACGGAACGTTGGACCGGAGCGCAACGTGCTTTTGATATCGAGTCTTACTTTAATAGTGTTGAGTCATACGCAGCTGCCCTTCGGAAATTTTGTACACGATACAACATTCGCCGACCAAGAGATGCCCCAAATAAGAACCTATTGAAAAGATGTTCCGTGAAACAGGCTCTTAGTCAATCCATTCCTGGCCCCACACCTACTGTATCAAACGAAGAAAATGTGCGTCGAGTAAGTAATTCGGTCATTGCAAATCCTCGGCGTTCTGTAAGGATACATTCCGCTGCTTTAGGAATCCCTAGGTCAACACTGCATGGCATAATGACGAAATAAATGCGTATTCATCCTTACAAAATCCAATTAGTCCATGCTATAAAGTGTAAAGTGATTACGTACTCGTATTACGGAAATCTTGTCCTGACCGGATGTTGATTCTTTTGCCTACGTAACGCAGACTCGAGAACGTTGTTTTCAGTGACAAGGCCCATTTTCACTTAGACGGTTATGTGAAAAAACAAAATTGCAGATATTGCGCACCAACAAACCCAAAAGAGAAACATCAACAACAGCTACATAGTCCAAAGGTGACTGTTTGGTGCGCCATATCCTCTAGTAGTATTATTGGGCCGTATTTCTTGGAAGATGAAAACGGTCTTGCATTGACGGTCAATTCCGAGCGATACAATTGACACCTTTTTTTGCTTCTATTGTAAGAACGTCGATTCAACAGAAACACATAGTTTCAACAGGATGGGGCCACTGAACATACTTCCAGAGAATCGATGGACACGGTGAAAGCACTTTTTCCTTAAAAGAGACATTCACTGACCTCCTAGATCACCCGACCTCACGCCACGCGATTATTTTTTGTGGGGTTATCTAGAGTCAAAAGTGTATTCCAATAATCCACGTACACTGTAGGAGACAACATTCGACGAGAAATAAACAACATCCCTCCGGAACTCTGCAAGAGGGTATTTCAGAATTTGCGCGCGCGATCAGTGTGTCCGAAGAGATGGCAAACATTTGGACCGAATGATAAAGAAATTTACGAATATTTTGATAGTAATAAATATTTTCTTTTCATTAAGTTTGTATTTTTTTTTTAAATCAAAAAGTGAACTTTCCCACTGAACACCTGTACTAAAGTAAATCGTGTAATTTCCCGCGTGGGGCTCTAAAAAGTAATCAGCTAGGGCACAAATTACAGGTTTTACGAATAACTTCTGTTTTCATAAAGTTATAAATCACACTTTCTGCAGGTTATTTTTTTTACTTTATGAAGCAAAAGTGATTTATAAAACCTGTAAGTTGTTCTCTAACTAATTCGCTTTTAAGGCCCTACGAGTAAGATTACACGATTCAGTTTATTATCCAAAGATAATTGTCGGAAATTTCCTAACCTCAATTACCCTTACCAAAAATGTAAATGTGTTAAGGGCTACTGTATATCATCAATGTAATTTACATTGTGCACATAACATGAAAGTGTAATTAAATCTAAAGTATTTATTCTGATATAAAGACTGATTTATTATTTTAGTTATTATATGAAATACTGATAAAAGTAAAACAACTAAAATCAATTCATATAATCCATGCCTGTTGTGTTACACACCAAAACAAGTTTAGTTTGTAAAGGTGAGAAACTCATATTTTCAGTATCAGTTTTAGGCCAGCATTATCTGATACGACAAAAAGAATAAACTTATGTAAATATGCCACACAATAATGAATGATTAAAATTCCTTTCAATAAAAAAATAGTATTTTCTAGCTTAACGCAATCACTAATAAATGCTACTGCAATGAATATGGAGACAATAAAAATTATCTATGTTCATAGTATGGAGATAAAATATTTTAACGCAGGTTTGATCATATACCTGTACATCTTAGATGTATGAACAATTCAGGCACAATCTGCGTCGCTGGATATATTTACCAATATTTGCATTAAGAGGATGTTGAAATCTGGTTGGTAATATAATTGCAACCACCTCTGAAATAGCATTAAATATTTAAAAATACCATATTTTTTGTTTTTTACTTAGACCCTACTGTATTTGAAAATGCTGCTGCATACCTTTAAAATAAAATACACTTGAAAGTTTGCAATCGGTGAACTCGCAAAATGCAGTTTTAGATAAAACCAGGGTAATCAAGAGATAGTAGAGCAGCTCAAAAATAAAAGAACTGGTACTTGTACACTGAGAGACACAGCCATCAAAACAAATTAAAGACACGATGTTGACTCACTAAGAGCAGCACTAATCATATCCAGTGTAAAAGTTGAATAAGAAACTCTTCGTTTGCATCAGCGATGGCAATTCTGAATTCCGATGCTGGTGATTGTAGTCGGCTGTTTTCCAACATTCGCTGGCATTGGGCTTTGAAAGATGTTAGAATATAGTGTATATTAGCCAACCTCATGAAGTAGAGAGAGTGAAATGGTCTTGATTCTCAGCCTTTTCGCGGGCGAAATTTCCAGACTATGAAAAATTCATTTTTGGAAACAACCGATTATGAAACACGTTAGCAACAAATGCATTATGTCAATATACCTGATTCCTATCTTTGAACTGTGAGCTATAAGTTGCTGAAAAAAATAATGAACAAAAAATATGGTTATACTCGTATTCAGAATCATTTAACAACATCAAAAATATTGCGGAATATACATCTGAAACATTATTACTAGTTTATAATATCTAAGGTGATGAGTGCACATATGCAATTCAAGGAGTTACTAATCAATCCGGTGATTTGATTACAATAAGATCAAACAGGGTTGTGAATAAACTTCAAATAAATATGTGCACGGACTTTGCTTCCAATATCAAAATATGTATGTTCGATTATTCCTCTCTTGAACCCCATATCATGCAACTTTTTATCAAAATTTAAGACAAAGTATAGCCGAGTTGGGAGAAGTCCAGACTTCTCTTGCAATGTTGAAAAGTCGTCTCAGTCATTTTAACGACCGTCAATCCCGTCAAATCCACAGGACGAAAGTGGGTTGACCATTGAGCTTTCCAAGTTCTATTTACTCGGTAACCTTTGGTTATACTTTGCATGGCATTAGTTGCGTTTGTTTTGCAAGTGATGCAGTTCAAAAAAAGATGAGGCTGTCAAATCAGCGCATAGTTAAAAAACCTAAAAAATGGAATTATTTAATTCATCATGGAGCCATACTAAGGACTAAATATTTTCGCAGTTTGCAGACGTGAATTGCCCAAAGAATAAATGTAACTGTAATTAAAGTTGAAAATCTTACAACAAACATTTGTTGGATTTTGAACAAACACATAACAAACTCAACCTAAAAGCTGCACGTGAGGAGACGTCTCACTTAGCTGAGGTTGGTCTATTGACAATGCAGTTAGGATAAGGGAAGAGATATACACCTCACGTCTGGTAAAAACATCACGCAATAAACAAACTAAAGTACGGAGAGCATATCCGAAATCATGTGTAAAGCAAACGCAACTATTAAAAAAACGTCAGGAAGCTTATTAATGATGGTGGTTAAGCAAGGACTCTCTATCCGGTAACTGTCTTACTTTCATGCTGCCATCAGCACCGCAAGAGAACAGTCTGTTGTGCGAATCTATGTGTAGCTGAGTTACGCCCTGTCCAATATTTTTGAAGAAACTGCTACGTGCATGCTCCGCTGGGAGTGAAAGAAGGACGTTAGGTACAGTCACTCCCCAAATCTGCAAAGATAATACTCAAAATATAACAAATCGCTTTTTATTAAAGATTAAATTAAGGATGAAACATAATTTCTCGTTTGTAACCATGAGTGTTATCTTTTATTGGATATTCATCATATTCCGATGTCTGGATTCTGAGGAAGAAACAATGCAAGCGCGCACAATGTTGACCACAACTACACTTAAACGCAAATGTCCTTAGGCGTGGGTTTTCAATTGTAGATTACCTCTAAGTTGAGTTACTATAACTTGGAAGTTAACGATCAGTTGCCCGTAAATTAGTTTTTCAAATTCTGGTTTACTAACTCATAATAAATTGTACTTCTGGATAGTTTATGTCATTATCGAGCGGAAAAGGTCAGGCATTGTGATAAAACTACAAGTGACTGGACATTGGAATTAGAGGTACGCCACTTAAATTTTTCCAAAATCATTTGCATAACAGAAAACATAAGGTTAAAATTGAAAATATACTTAGTGAAGAAATTACTGTAATGTAGGGAATTCCACAAGGAACAATACTTGCGCCCCTTCTTTTTAATATACAGTAATGGACAAAAGTATGTAGACAAATATGAATATTTACCTAAATACCTTTAGAAAACGAATTCATACTTCATTACTGCACAAACAAATGCGTTATTAGTAGAAAAACTAAATTCCTTGTTTTTACATTATCTGCAGTGAACACAATACAAGTCTGAATATAAGCACTTTTTTATGAGGGACAAAAATATGTAGACAAATTCTTTTCAACATTAGTTTAGTACAGTTTCGTGTGAGAAGCGGATTAGTTTGTGTTCATCAAGTATTGTGGAATAAGTTGAGTGATTTTAAGACCACGCCGCGTAGTCCAGAAATTTCTTTCGATGTGAAAACTAAGATCATTGAGTTATACAAAGACGGTCAACGTCAAGTCGACATTGCCAAAAATTTGAAGCTGAAGCGTAAAGCAGTTTGGGCAATATTGAACAAATATAAACGAAAAGGTATCTTGGAAGCCTCTAAGAGAAGTGGTCGGCCTAGAAAATTAAATGCTAGATCAGTTAGATTAATAAAAGTAATTTCGTCCAAAGATCCGTATAAAACCCCAAGACAAATAAAAGCCGAAATCGAGACAAAATGAATTGTCAGTGTTTCTACGAAAACTATAAGTAGAAGATTAAATGATTTGAAGTTATTTGCACGTCGCCCGAGTAAGAAGCCGCTAATCTCGAGGAAAAACCGTAAGGACCGATTACAATTTGCACGGCTGCATCTTGATTGGAGCATCTGTGACTGGAAGAGGGTATGTTTCAGTGACGAATCCAAGTTCAATATGTTTGGATCAGACGATGTTCATTACGTTAGACATCCTAGTGGACAAAGATTGAACCCCAATGACATTTTGCCCACTGTCAAACATGGAGGCGGGTCTGTTATGGTTTGGGGGTGCTTTTCGGGGTTTGGGATGGGAACTTTACATAGAATAGATGGCATCATGTATAAGTTTGTATACACAGACATACTAAAGCATGTCATGTTACCCTATATGGAAGACAATATGCCCTTAAGATCAATCTTCCAGTAAGATAATGACCCCACGCACACTTCAAATCTCGCAAACAAATTCTTTCTGGATGAAAAATACCAGTTCCCAAATGGCCTTCACAGTCTCCCGATATAAACCCCATTGAAAATTTATGGGAATGCTTAGATAAGCAAATACGAGATAAAAATTATTCAAACAAAGATGAACTTTTTGCCGCTTTAGAGCAAAAGTGGAGACAGATTGATGAATCTTATATCAAGAAACTTCTACAATCTATGCCGAGACGATGCCAGGCGGTGATTGATAATAATGGTTATGCTACAAAATATTAACACAAACATGGTTGGTTTTCTGTAATTCAATGAACTTTGCTTCTTTTTTCTACAATTGTTTTGCTTTGTCTATATATTTTTGTCCTTCTTAGTTCCAGTTTTTATCAATTAATTTTTTATTGAAGGGAGTCTATTGAATTTATTTATGTATAAGTGAGTATTAAGCTATAACGAATGATGTATACAGGTTGGTGTATTAATAAAACAAGTTAAAAAAGAAATACAGCATAATATTAATTTGTCTATATACTTTTGTCCATTACTGTATATATCAACGGCTTATATAATCTATCAACAAAAAGCAGGATTTGCAGATGACACCACAAGCATCCATAAAGCCAGAACTGGTTTGATAATCAATTATTAACTATTAATTATGACGTAAACTAAATCAAAATAACTCGGAATTGTTTTAGACTGTCATCTTCGCTTGATGAACATATCCAATACATTAAAGAAAAACTTATATTCCTATTATATAAATTCAGATACTTCAGACACATTTTCAATGAAAGAGAATTAAAAATTGTATACCAAATATTAGTTGAATGCCAATTAACCTATGGAATTATTATCTGGGGTTCCGCGAATAATAACCATCTAAATTCTTTACAAGTAAAACAAAAAGTATTCATAAAAACAATTCATAATAAACCATTACTATATCGCTCCAAATCACTGTTTATAAAATCAAAACTTTTAGATATAAAGAATTATTTTGGTATAATGTTATACTAGAATTCCATAAAAACAAACATTCGACCATTTATAAAAATTATGAATATAATACTAGAAATGAAAATAATCAAATAATTATTGCAACACCAAAAAAAGAAATAATGTTGAAATCTTCTATATACTTAGGTCCAAAATTATAACATGACTTACCAAAATATATTAGAAAAAACCGAAATACCATTATTAAAAATAGATGTATACGAGTGGCTTTTGAAAACTGATATAAATATGATATAATTTATAAAAAACTAACACATATGTTTTCTTCATTGTTAGCCTACGATCCAAAATTAATGTACATATTACACTTATATTATTAAAATGAATCTGTAGCGTACAAAAAAACTAAAGCAAAGTACGGCTCTGCCTGGCGTTGACGGATCCGTCAGAATTATGAGCCCTTTGTCGATATGGGAATTTTGAAATATTACTAGATAATCAGGTGTCGTTCTACCTTACCGGATACTCGTGGAAAAGACAATAATTGCCACTAAACAATTAGCTGTTGTTATATCTCCTCACGTTTTGGTCATACAAATCTCACCTTAATGTCACCGTCAGCAGATCCAGTAGCAAAATAATCTTCATGCGGATCGATGGCAATACATTTGACAGCACTCTCGTGTGCTGTGAACTTATGGCGAATCGTCTTGGCTCTAACATCAATAAGGCAAACATCTCCTCTTTTTCCTGCAGAAACCAGCACTTGGTGCTGCGGGGCGAATACCAAACTACTAGCGCCCTGGTCATGGCAAGTGAATGCCACTACCAATGATTTTCCATGGGGCAGGATTGAATCCCAAATGGCAACGTTTTTGCTCTCAGAACTGTGACCAGCTATAGGAAAAGACAAAAATCAAAAATGAACATACACTTTTGATAGGAATTTTGGTGAATATAATGACATGTTCCTATATATGTTGTACTACGTACATACATCTATCTGCTCTAAAACATCACATGAATATACACCAACCAAATGCTCAGTACGTTAAAATGGCTTAACATTAACAATTTCATCAAATACCTAATCATTTCTATCTGCCCTAACTTCTGTAAAAAAAGGCTATCATTATTTATATATGAATATTTTATGATACCAGACACAAACATGATTTCCATTTAAACGCAAAAAACGCATTACATATAAGGTGTTCATTTGAAAACTTCCCATCACGAGTTTATCGAAAACCACTGATTAAAAGAAAAAACGCCGAGAGACGTCGAAACATTTGTCAAGAGGGACAACTGTTTAACCAAAAACTACTTCACCCCATTTCACCCTCTGCCCCCCAGGGTCATCCCCTTAAAAATTTTAAATGACAAGGGGTATCGAATAATAGCTTATTTGAAAGGTCCTTTATTTTGACATTTGATTTTTAAAAATCAGTCGATTTCCAAGAAAATTAGAAAAATCTTTATCTATCTTAATTTATTCAGATAGAAAACAAAAACACACGAAAATATCACTTTCTATATAACTATGATAAAGGCGGTGTTCAAATTCCTAACGGACATTTTCACAAACATGTTGTGGGGTATCATGGCAGCTTTCGATTATGCGTTGACGGAGTTCATCCAAATGTTCGGATTGGGAGTAACCCCAATAGATTTCAAATGGCCCCATAGAAAAAGGTCTAATGGCGTCAAATCAGGAGACCTAGCACAGACCAGCACTAAAGCAGAATGCCTGCAGTCATTTGTTCACAAAACTCAACTCGAATATCGAGGTCATCTCCGGTTAACTCTTGCAATATTTTCATTTTGAATGGATGAAATTTATGGAGTTCATTCAGTAACTGTGTGTACAGTGCCTAATGAAGTACCAGTCGCAGCAACAATTTTGCGTAATAAAGTATTAGGATTTATTCCAAAATGACCCAAAACTTCAACTTGAGCGGCTACATCTAAAACTCTCCGATGATCACGTTTTTCATTTGCAACTGACCCAGTTTGAGTAAATTGAGTAACAAGGTCCAAAACGTACCTATGCGAAGTTATCTTTAACGGATGTCTGTCGTTAAACGTGACGGCAGTTTGCCGAGCACATTGATTTTGGGCACGATAAATTAGAATCATTTCCACTCTTTCAACTAGAGCGTAAACCATTTTGGAAGTAAATTAAATTCTTTCTTTCCCTTAGCAACAAATCACTAAACAGGTATATCAATAACTACAGTTAGCCCAGGATACCTGTGTTAATGAAAAGAATACAGAAAAAATTCGGGTTCGGGTAACATGATGACATAATACCGAAAAATATAGCATAAAAGTCGCAATATTTTTCGGATCAACAGACGATACTAATATATAACCATTGATTGACTACCTGTATGTAGTCTAGGAAACGAAGTTAACTATAAAATTTTTAACAACTCACCTGTAGCTAGCAAGCTGCAAGAACCCAAGAAAACAAAATCGCTAATTCCTTTATTGTGGCACTGATGTGTCTAAAAAAAAATGATTCAAATTACTAAAAACTCAATTCCCATCAATTTTAAACCTACAAAGAACGGTCTGGTAGCATTGGAGCTCAATCCAACTTGAAACAAGCTAAGGTTTCCGTCTGAATCTGCTACGCCAAATTTGTTTCCATGTTGTGAGAATCTAACTCTAGTGACTTTAGCATATGTTCCTGGTGCTCTAGGAACGGCTACTGGCTGCTGGTGACCCCATTCCCATAGGTGAACCGATCCATCTTGACCTCCAGTCAAATCTAGTAGAAAAATAGAACTGATTAATGTACCATCTGCCTTATGCATCCAAAATATCAACATATTTGATTTCAAGGAACATCGATCTAAATGAAATCTCCAACATTTCAATACTAAAACATAAAAGAAAATTATTATAAACCAGGGAAAAAAATCTTGTTTGGTTCGACATTTATATCTAGAAAATAAATAGTTATTGCAATCATGCCAAGGGCAGCTAATTTAAGAATTAAGAACTTCGTAATAATGTGCCTATATGCGTGAATTTTGCCCGTAATATTTCCATAAACATATATTTTTAATGGTACCAAAGAAGAGCGAATTAGTAAAAAAATGTACGTACATAAAGGCAACAGAGGATGAGCTGTAATTCTTCTGATTCCATCGATTTTGTGCTTCAGAACCTGTGCAATAAACATATTAGTGATGTAATATCTGGTAAATGTAAAAATACTATAATTTCTAAACGGCTTCTCTACACATAACTCAGTTCAAAGTTGTATCAAAAGTTGAAAGAACAAACAAAATATAGTATGTGGTAGCCAAATAATGGTATATACATGCACATGTTCCATGAATATGAAGAATGTAATGACAGTGTGTATGTTGGTGAGATGCAATGAAATAAGCAGCTTACCAATTATCTAATTTCGGAAGTAAAGCACTCATTTATTACTATGCCCATACAGTCATATGTATTATTTTCATTTAGGAACATCAAAACAAAACTTAATAATCTACCTTTGTATGTATATTTTCTGGGAGTGCAATAATGCATAAATTAACGTCAATGTTACATTTTATACAGATACAATCAAGTGGTTTACTACCGATACCAAATTGATTTATCCTATTCAATGCAACTATTCTAATACATCTCACAACTATAACGAACGTGACGTGTGAAGGTATCGAGTTTCATACCATGTACTACGAACTTTCTAACCATGTTTTTGTATAATTTAGAAAGTTAGCTACAGTTATAAAAAGAGCATCTCTAACATCGAATGAATCTAAACATCAAGGACAAGAACAGACAGTTCGATATCTTCATGCCCAGCCGTCCTATTTTTGATAAATTTAATGAAACTCAAAACTTTAATACAAAAATCCATACGAGATACCACATATTTTCTAATGAGTATCATTTATTCACACCCCCAGTTTGAGCAAAGTATAATAGCATTTTCCACTGATATGCACGTTTACAGGATTATTAATGAAGTTTTTATTATAATCTTCTGCCTGGAACTTTGGTACATTTTTTCTGTCACCCTGTGCAAAACTGTTGCAAAATGTTCTGCACTGAGTGCTGAGAGTATACGAAGAGGTATGTTAAGGTCTCAACAGTTTTCAGTTTTTCTATTTCTATAACTGCACCAGTTTTGTTTCTTCATATTGCCTTACAATGGCCACGGCATTGCAAGAATCATTTAAGGGAAAAATTGCAACAGTGTATTACAGAGGAGAACGCTATATGCCTCATGTAAGAAAAGTATCAAAACGCTCAGTGGTATCTCAACTCCTCACCAGTACGTCAAGGCGACGTCGGCACCAACCATAGTCAAAGTATGCAATTCAAAAAATATCATACAGCAGCTAAGTGACATGTGACATGGTCAACCAGTGGCAACAGTTGTGGTGATATCACCAGACAGTGATCAGGTCATTTTCATATTATACAGGGTGGCCAATATACAGGGTGACTTTGAAGTTGAGTCATTAATTTTCAGATGATTGTAGAAGGAAGATAAACCAAAATATGTGTGTAAAAATAAAAAAAAATGTTACCTTGTTTTATAAAGTATCGTCCCGACAAGTATTTCAGTGCGGACCTGCATTTGATCGTGCGGTCTTGGAGCACCGGCATGCCCTCCCCTGTGAGGTCTTAAGTCACCTGATTCACGAGCCCTTTGTACTACATTAACAAAGGCAGGAGGGGTTGGTTGCACTCGATTGTGAAACCGATCCGCATAAATCCGTGATGCCGCGGCAGCATTTTGTAAAGACTCCCCCCCCGTAAATAAGAATCATGTCCACAAGTTCAGCATTTTCGTAAACATGTGCCATTTTTTATTTCGTTTGAGCCACGCAACAAACACCACTATTCACTCACGCGTTACCGACTGACACATTGACTGAATACAACTGAATAATATTGTAGTAAAAACATCGTGATAAGCGTTTCAAATTCTTTCGCTTTTTTGTTTCCGATGCGATGAACCCATAAGGCGGATTATATCCGTTGTTGCCAAACACGAGCACATAATATTATTATTGAGACAGGGCGGTACTCAAACTTCTAAAGGGCTATAACTTTGTTACTTTAATTTTACCAGAAAAATGTTAAAGGAAAAAAACATTTCTTTTGATCAGATCTACTCACTGTTAAAATAAATGAATCAACTTCGAAGTCACCCTGTATAACTGACTGATTTAAATTGCGCGCCAGTTTTGATACACGCATTTCAGTAAATGGCGCCGTAGTAGTTGTTTAAAGCACATGTGTCCAATTCATCACGATCCCACATGTCCGTATTATTCAAACTTTTTACTTAAATAATAAGTCGATTGTTGCAACGATTCGGAAGCTACGACAAGATTTTGGGTCGAAATAATGTGCCCAGTATCAACACCATTCGTTGTGTGAAATGACTTGCCAAGGTCGGGCCGTGTTCGAACTGTTCGTACTCAAGAAAGTTCTTGAAAGTGTACTGGAGCGCCATGAGACGTTTACCAGACATCGTTTTCAAGAACTGGGTATTCGTCGCACGTCATTATGCACTAGTTTAAAAAAGACTTGCATTTGCGGCCATACAAAATTCAGTTAACCCAAAAACTATAGCCTAGTGACCGTCATGAAAGTCGCCGACAATGCAGTCATGCAATATTGTAGCTTAATACCCAAAATAACGATTTTTACCAACAACTGATAAATAATGAGCGATAAAGCCCACTTCAATATGATCGGATTTGTTAATAAGCAGAATTGTGGTATCTGGGCATTAGAGAACCCTCGTGTCATCCATCAACAACTACTACATCCTTGTCGGGTCACACTTTGGTGCGGTGTTTGGTATGGAGGTGTCATTGGACCTTACTTCTTTGAAGACGCTGCAGATAATTCTCTTTCTGTTACTGGCGAGCGCTACAGTGATATGGTACAAAACTTTCTGGATCCTCAAATCCTACAATTTAACCTGCAAAACATGCGGTTCCAGCAGGACAGAACAACTTGCCACACAGCTAGGGAAACAATGAATCTTTTCCGAACAATATTTCCGGGATATTTAATTTCTCGATTTGGTGATGTCAACTGGCCACCAAGGTCACCGGATTTAACGGCACTTAACTTTTTTTATGGGGGTTTGTGAAAAACCAAATACTGTAGAGCAGCTGAAGAAAAATATTACGGAAGCGATTGAAAACATTCCTCCCGAAACCAAAGTGATGGAAAATGCAATCAAGAGGGCTTAGGTTTGCGCGACTTCCAGAGACGGACATTTGTCTGATATTATTTTTCATACATAATTTCTAAGTTTCAATAAAAGATAAAGATGAGAAAAATGGACGCGTTTTATTTCATTTCACAAATATTCAGGATACAAACAAGTCAGTTACATATCGGCAACCCTGTATATTTCAGTAAAATAGTTTGACTATGGTGCTGGCGCCGTCGCCATGGCATCCTAATGGGATATGGCCTTATTGGCGAAACAATGGGTTCTCAAATTATAACATTGGTTCCATAATATCATACACCACAAATTTGTACGAAATAAAAAGTCTGGGCAAGAAGTACTGTAAGGACAACACAAAAAGTCTAAGCAATAGATACGAGTAGCTGGTTAATGAGGACACACACCGGTCTTAGAATGTGAGCGGATCGAAGCAGCACGAGGTGGACAAAATTGGCGTCATGACAGCCCGGGAAGCTTAGCCCCTTGATCTACAGACACACATATATTGACGCAATGTAGGAAGTTACCATCTTGTTAGTATTGTTAGTAGGTTAAAATCGAAATGTTAAGATAATGCCGTTACATATGAAGTGTAATATAAGAGGAGAACTTTTGTTAACCTGAAAAACGATTCATACACAACGGCTCTCGGTGCAATGTAGTTTCTTCCTGCATTTAAATGAGTTGTTAGCTTATGAATTACATTTCATTGTAGGAAAATACTCGATTTGCCAAATTTGATTATCACCAAGGAACTACATTACAGATATAAAGCAGACATTGATTTTTTTCTAGACCTATTGATTGTTAACTGTATTTGCTTACTTGATGGGCAGATATTCTGTAAGTCTACTATCCTCAGTTATGACACAACCACATCATATTAAAACTTACTGAGTTAACTCTTTGCGGCCATATTTATCTTATTTGAATAAGAACTAGTGAATACAAAATGATCCTTCAAATGTCATAGGCTATGTTATTAGCACGGCTGATCATCATATGTAAATGGCAACACTGGTCTGCTGATGTCTGCTTATGAAAAGATTCCAACTGTAACTTGACCAGCTATCACCGGATTTGCCAAATCACACAAATTAGACACCACGGTAATACCATTGATATATACAGGGTGTTTCCTAATTGAATGTCAATATTTAAGGTGGCACGCCCCTTTTTTAGATTTCCTTTCAGCTTCCTGTTTGCAGCAGTATTCTAAATCCTTTTCATCTGATAATTTCATGGTGTGTATAGAAATAACTAAGAAACGATGTTTTCATTTTTTTGTCAAAAACTGCATTTTATTGTGCATTCCTTCTTCAATCGGAATTTGTTAACAAATATAAACTTTGAAATTATGTGTGAATATTCCTCTTTTATGGAAGAACGAAACGAGTTATTACTTTTGTTCTTATCACTTTTCCTTTTCAAAAAATCTTTGATTTCCTTGAAGCTTCGTCTCGCAGCAAGTTAGGTGTTTCAATGAAATTTGGCATACATGTACTACGTATCAGGAGCCAGTTTCAATGTACCACCTTTTTTTTTTCTTCAGTGGCGTTCGTATGGAATTTTACCTGCCTATTTTCGCAGACATTAATGGGACGCCAGTAATTTCTCTTGAAATAAAAATTGTTCTTAAAATCCCCACTCATTTTTGAGGAAATTTGATCCCTTCATTTTGTCAATCCGATGCACGGTTTTCGCCTCAAAGTATAAAAACCGACAATATCCCATGCAAAGAAATAGATTTTATTTTTTTAGGTCAAAACCTTACGCCTGACTAAAAAAAATTAAGCGTCAAATTTGGTCATAAATAAATACAAATTTCAATTTTTTATTCTAATAAAAGTCAGTGGCGTGCCAAATAATTTATTTTTAAAAACTTTACCGCCCTGTATCTCAAAAGTTCAGACGTTTAGTACATAATATTATGTTCATTTGAAATTATCTTCCTAAAATTAACTTAAAAATCGTTGCCTTAAATATTGAGATTCAATTAGAAAACATACTTCATACAATAAATGAGCAGGTAAAACGTCCCATTACTTGATGAAATTCAGCAAAACAAAGTTTGTTGTACTGTATCCCCACAGCACAAGTTGAACTTTTCCTTGAGGTGCGTGTGACTATACCTTCGGTTCTCACCAAATGCGCTATTTTGTTGGACAGCACTCCTAATGCAAAGCCTAAGGCTCGTATCGTCAGTCGTCCCTACAATTGTAGGGCGCCTTTATGGCCTCCTTGATTGTCATAGTTTTCTATTTTTCCATGTCAGTGCTCTATTTTGAGGTTATGTCACAAACATCTATTTGCATCAAATTGTGCTTGCTTTTGAGTTATATTATGTTTTATCAGCCTGAAATTTCCTACAATTTAAAAGGAAAACATATCTTCACAATAGGAGAGCGCTGACGCTGACATGGGACACAATTGTAGGGACGACTGACGATACGGGTCTAAATCCTAAGCAACCAGTAATTATCATTGTAACGTCCAGAGTACCATCAGGGACCAAGAAAATTGACTTTGAATGGGTGGTCATCCCATAAGACCAGTGGCCGCAAAGAGTTAAATACACAGTTCAAGGAAGAGGCAAAATAATATAATTAGATCAGGTTAGTTATTTAGGCAACTTATACCATTTTTGCCACTAAGGTCGATGCTTTCAATCATCTTTGAACAAGTTTTTGTGAATTCTTATCACAGCTTTTGGATCTGTTGAACAGGCTTTGAGACTGTTTAATAGAGTAAAATATCTCAAATGCATTGAGCTGATAGTCCTTAAATTACTTAACACCTAATAAAGCTAAATATTTATACCATATACATAATACTGTGAATTATAATTATAACTATCTAGACTTTTTTTGAGAGGCTGGCATCACACATAACTCTTTTTGCCACAAAGAATATATACCTAAATCCGTTATTTGTAAAGTAAAAGATGATTACTATTCCTGAATGTAGAATATTTCATAAAGAATAATAAACTTATTTTTATAATAAGACTTACCACACTTGCTCCCCTCCCACTCTGACCAGCTACTCCAGGCTGAGGACTGCCTGGCTGGGTGTCTTTGGATTTATCGGTATTGCTCTGTATGACCAAGAATGGTGGAATCGTTGGATCTGGTATATCTTTAGTCAAATTTAGAATATCTAATTCACATTCATCCTCTAACCAAGCCGGTAGTTCCAGGAGTAAAGAAATGTCCATCTCTTGTAGCTCACGTGGAGTAGCCACCGCGATCAGACCAGGGTTGACCTGAAAGATTCCAAGTTCAGTAGGTGCATGAAGTGTATCCAAAACCATGCAAGTATACAGTGAAATTCATTTACATTTTGGAGCGAATCGCGTAGCTTTCAATGTGTACGAGAGAGAGAGAGAGAGAGAGAGAGAGAGAGAGAGGAGCGTGCTACGCCATGCAATAAGCATGCGACTCTGGGAGAAGGCGCGGAGCGCGGCTGTAATATACAGCGTTGCCAAACCAAACACCATTTTCTTGAATTATGATGCATTGTGGAAATAAGATTTAGTTTATTTTCTCCGCTCAAATAATGGTTTTATTTTGAGCGTACACATCTCCACCTCCATAGATTCATGATAGTCCAGTACTATTAGCATTTTTCCAAGTAATCCCTTGAACATCGCACCCGGATTACGTAACTTAAAAAGTGACATATTGATTGATAACATTATGTAGGGTTTCTTTGACATTATGTAGGATTTCCGAAAAGATGTCAACTTGGAACTAGCTGTCATTTACTTCATGTTCACTTGTAGCAGCTGTGCGAGTTACTAAAATCTGAATACCTTGCATCCATGCCACTGTGCGAACCGACGGTGGACAGATGACTCATGTCATATCCATAATCCCCATACAACAGAATTTGAAATAAAATGAAATCTCGCGTTGTTACAGTTTCTTTATATGGTCGGCAGGTGACGCGCAGACAACCATTGTATCCAAAAACCAAAGTACAAAGAATCTCACCCTGAGGTCTCATAACTAACGACTACATAGTTTTGTGCGGGATACCTTAGTTCATTAGATATGAATAGTTTAGTATCTTGCAGTTTTTTTATCCTTAGTTTCTGAACTTCCTGGAATCCATTCTAGCAATGTATGGAATTTTCCCTTTGAGAATTGGTGCGGTGTTACAGTTTCTTTTTATGATCGACTAAAAATTAACTACACCTTGATAAAGTGAATTATAACAGTGTTTTTCTTAATTAGAATAATAATTTTATAGCAGTTCTTAAAAACATGGAATTTCACTTTTATTAAAACCACTCAGTCTAATAATTTTAAGATCGTACTCTACTCTCCATCTCGTTGGAGGTCATTTTTTATAATTTCTGTCGACCGTAAATACGAGAGCTGAAGGTGACTTGGGGCTATTCCGGTGCTCCGGTGTAGGAATTTTCTGTGGCCCACTGCCCGATTCTGTGAATAGTTCACGCGCAGAATGGCCGATTTAAAGGGTGGTGGGGTTGTTTTTATTAGAAATCGCCCCCCATGGTGGATTTGTCGGAGCCTTTTTCTCATACTCTTACGGATATAACCGTGCAGATAACTACACTCAACCATCGAGCTGAGGGGAACCGCCTGCAGGGTTAGTCCAAAGCGAGTTTGAGTGGGACTCACGCCTAGGAGGAGCAGTTCCGGTTCTATATTTGGGTTCTACCCTCCGATTATAGGGTAACATCTGGGACTTTCTACCCTCGGTTGCCGTTCGGGGATAGCTAAGGTTTTTTTTTTAATTTTAGCTTTTTAGTTTTAAATTTTTGAGTTTATTGGTAATCATATAGCTAGGGGGGTAATACACAAATTTATTCTCTTTACCTTGTCCTCCAGGACCTCTCTCTTTGAAGTCTTTTATTTTTTTGTTCATTAAATGTCTGGGTATCTTCTGAGTTTGTATCTCCTTTAGCGCCAGTGATACTTGTTATTTGAGTAGTAACTTTTCAATATACATTATGTCCATATATACTTTTTCAGTAGCAGCAAAAACGAATTTATTTTGTTCCCGTTCGTTTTAAACCTGCATAGCAAGGTATTTCCATAGATATAGGCCGATTCTTCTAATTATTTTATTGAAATCAAAACTATTATTCATTGCAGAAAAAGGTCAATAAACAGTTGGACATACTGCGTTTTGATCCACAACTGTCTATATAATACGTTTCGTTGTGGCCAAAATTGGACATAACGATCTTTGTTGCAAACATTTAATAAATAATAAAAAAGGCAAAACCCAAATGAGCCGCTTTTCATTTACTTCACAATAAGTCGGATGAAACCAAGATCCAAAAAATAACTTTAATGCAAAAAAACACTTCAAAACAAAAGTCTAAATTAGAGAGCGTCAACTTGCTCTTTCTCTAGGAATTCGCAGAAGTTCTGTTCCTCGTCATCACTGGGCTCCTACTGGTTCAAAGCATGATTGAAGAAACTTAATGATAATAACGGAATTTAATCTTCCCAGTCCCAAATCTTGCTTGGAGCAGTTTTGTAACATCATTATTTTTCTCTTCTATGCTTGAAGTCACAAGTGGGACGTCAGATGGCTCTTGTACGGTTTTAAGATTATAAGCAAATTATTAACTTTTTAATGCAAAACCAAACGACAAAATAAACACGTGAACAGGTGTTCTCAACTCGAACGACTATTGACGGCATTTAAAAAACTATGTCATAAAAATGTGTTGCCTTCTGGTGGATGCGTTTTGACGTGACAACTCTTGCGGACATAATGCGTTTCGATGCAAACATTATATTTTGCACTCAAATTATACACAGATATAATGCTGCTCGAATTATTCAGGCTTACGTGAGTATAGAAGAGATGAAAATAGATCCAAAACCGTAACAAACCGACTCAAGTGGACATAATGCGTTTTGATAAGTTGCTCCTCATTTCATTTCCTAGTTTTTGAAACTAGGTGGCCCCCAAATAACCATTGCATCCAAAATTAAAAGTACAAAGAACCTCACCCTGAGGTCTCAACTGACGACTACACAGTTTTGCGCGGGATAACAGCGTCAATACATCATACACCTTGTAAATTGATTTCTGTTAGGTAATGAATGCTATTATTATACACAACTTGTTTTATTACATTTCAACATTAAAGCAGCCTTATTGGAATGGATGAAAATATTAGATACAGCATTTGTTGTGAAGTACGTAATGAAAGTGGTTGATAAACCGGTATTCAAATTATTACTTGTTGGAAAAAACGCTAATAGCACTGGACTATCATGAATCTACGAAGATGGAAAAACCTTGCGCTGGAGTGTACCGAAATGTGGTGTTGTCAAACCAAGGACGAAATGTTACAGAATTTTTGGTTTCAGTTCCAACTAAAATCGGAACATTTAAGGCGATAGATTCTAAAGAGATTCGACACAGTTCGCGATTCGGAAATGTGTTGCACGCTTCCCTTTCTCTCTCGTACACATTGAAGCGACGCCCAAAAACGTAAATGAATTTCACTGTAGATATTACGTTGTTTTGAAGTGTCAAAGTTCTTCTCACCAAAATCCTACATTTTAGTATAGCCTGTGAAGCGAGGATACTTATAAACTTACCTGATTAAGACAAAATGCTGCAATAGAATCCTGCTCCTTGTGTATGATCCTCACTGGTTCAACAGCTGTAGGCTCAGGAGCAGGTAAGACATCCTCGATAATGCTGGACGAACGTCTTTTACCAAAAACTGCCCGTATGAATATGTCCTGGACAGCTTCTTGGTGTACTAAGAATGTCCATAGATTTTTTGCAGCCATGGCGGATCGCTTATTACAGAAAGGCGTATTGTGGGGCTCCAACAATTGTCTGAGGATAACAATACGTTAGTACTTTGCAAATGATATAAAGAAATGTTTTCTATTTATTGAAATCTTACCGATACTTCTGGATTGTTGGCCCTGTAGTATTCTCAACAAAGCATCCAGGAATGTATTCTGGAGGAGTTGGTCTACTATCCAACTCTCTCTTCAACACATCCTGCCATCTACTCAATCGACGTAAACTGCTATGAATCAGAGGACTGGCAACTGGTAGCTCGCTCAACTCTAAACCAGCGACCTACAAATAATAACAGTCTGTTTCACAACACGGACGCAATCTAATTATGTATACTATGGAAGATATGAAGGTTTTTTCACAAGTTTCACAGACTATGTGGTATTTAAAACACAATCTGAACATCATGAAAACATGCCATGACTATGTCAAGGGTGTGCTTTGATAAATAATACAAATTTCCCTTAGAATAAAATAATGCTTGAAAGTCCTTCAACACTGAATTGTAAGCTTTAGGGACACTCTTGAATAATAATCTGGTGTATGCTTGAATCTAGGCACGTAAAAACAATTTCTTGATTAAGTTTCGGATTTCGACTAAAATACTTACCCCAAGGAAATCGTTGAGTTTATTATAAACGATCCTTAGGGTGGATAGTTTCAACACCAACCAAGAGTACGAATTAGGATCTGAATGTTCATTGTTGACAATTTTCTCCCTAGTGTTAGCTGGAGCATCAAATACGTCTTCTTCGTCCGTTTCCTCAGCTTCACTTTCAACCTCATCTATATAATCTCCAGCTGTGGGCTGAAATAATTATTAACCACATAAAGATAATGTATCATCCAAATTTCTTCTAGGTGCATACGCTTACTAACGTTTTGAAAACGCACTTCGATACTCACTTTTTGCAAAAGGTAGGCCAAAATGCTCATGTCGGGAGGCACAAACTGCTCTCTATATGTTGCTTTATCTTCTTTCATCGTTGAAGGCTGATGCCCTAACAACTTTGTATTTAGCTTCACTCTCTGCTTGCTAAGCCAAGTAGACGGTCCGCTAGCTTCCTCTGACGGAGTTTGAACACTCTGTTGAGTCGTCAGTTGACCATGAGCATTGGGACCCGCAAGACTGGCAGTGCGGAGGAGTTTTTTGGTACCGCCACCAAAAAGCCTATAAATAGAAAACGAGTATCTGTAAATATTTCCTAAGCTACTAATTTGCGGAGTAGATAACCTTATACAAAATTATACTTATTTTTATTGCATAAGATGATATTAAAAAAGGGGGTTTCCATCTGGAAAGATTGACTTTTGACTTTTTTTAATATTTAATATTCATTCGCTTTTTTTATTAATTATCAAAATATCGAATGAAGTCTACTAATGTAGATCCCCTTCTTTAAGGGAGCAGTTACAAATCGTTCTACAAAGACAAAAATATATGAAAAATTCATACGTTTTTATGGTTAGATCTAGATATAGGACTTTATATCAAATGTATCTAAAATCTTGGGTAGATTTCAAAAATTAGTCAATATACAAGGTGTTCCATTTAAAATGAGCAAGTTGGTAGCTACTTCCGGTACAACTGGAATACAATAATTTTGAATATACCGTGGCAGAATTCGGATTTCAAAATGTTTAGGTGCTTAGAATTGCCGAGTCTGGAAACGTATAAATTGCTAGCACCAAAAAATTGATATAGGTGTATACAATCCTTACAACCCCCAACATCCAATTTTTAACTACTGTAATTTTTTTTCTAAAAATGACCAGGATCCTCTGAAGCGTCAAAAAAATAATTTTAAGCGATTTTTATTTTTTCGTTTTTTGCTTTTTTCTCCGCTGCCATTGGATCCATTTTCAAAAAAGACAACTTTTTCGTCGTTGGCATAATTGTAACCTAATGTGAAAATTTTATCACAATCCGAGCGGTACTTCTCAAGTTATAGCGGAGACAGACAGAAATGAGTGACATGTTTTTTCTGATGTCATATAACATTTAAAAAACATAATATCTCATTTTTGAAATGTTTCGCGATTACAATACTTCCTCGCCAGTGGCGTATAAAGTGAAATGAACTTTGAAATAAGGTGATTATCTTAAATCTGCATTCAAGTATTGTAAAATCTATGAGGCCACAGTTAAAATACTAACATGTTAAATAAAATGACAAGTACTCACTTTCCCCAAACTTCTGCGTCAAAGTTGTGAGCTGTGACATGGTAAAGTATGACAGGATCGTGACTGACCAAACCGTATAGCAACAGAGCCATGTAAACTGATGTAAATGCCTCACAAAGAATCACCGTTAGTCTTGGCGTATCTTCATCTTTTTCTCTTGCCAGTAATGCCCTTAAACTTGTAACTCCAGGCCATTTTGGGGGGAGGGTACTGATAGTTATACCTTCGTTCACTGATACTCTACGCCTTCTGCCCAATAAGTGCATTGCTCCAATTTCCTACAAAAAATAAATCGTAAATGAAGTATATTCGGATATAAGCACCAAGGCAACATTTTTCCAAAAATGTGGTTATTTTGTATATATGTGCCTAATATCTCATTGACTCAAAATAAGGTAGTAGTTGTGATGGTGAGGGAAGCCTAGCAACTAGGCTACGTCTGACCGTTTTTTCCGACTCCCAACCAACACTGTACTACTCCTCAAGCCTTCTACTAGTAACTGATTATTAAATGCTTACGTGTGTGATATAGACAACACACAACACAACACCCATGGCTCGGAATTCACTCCCGAAGCGGCGGTTCGAAGATAAAAACACTTAACGACGTCGATTTTTGAAACTACTCACCAGTGCATCTTGAAGGGTATTTTTGAATGTATCAGAGTCACATAGTGATTGATAGATACATGCAGATAAAGCAATAGCTAAGTCCCTTATGACCAATAACTGGTTCTGACTGGTCATTGGTTGAGACATTTCAACCATCTAAAAAAGTAAAAACTGTATTATAGAGAAGATATCCCGGATTGACTGTTTCTTACTGTTTGCAGCATATCGTGGGTCAAACACTGCAGGTATCTTATGGGGTCCGCTACAACAGTTTTGCTACTAGCAACACTAGCTGCCAACAGCGGCAAACTTGTTGGGAAAGGCAGAGGACTCAATAGCTGCTGGTGTGTTTTTTCTTGTTGCAGTTCTTGTAGTAGTAGCATCAACTCCATCCTGACTGAGGCTAAACCACCTGTCGCTCCGTGTAGTGAACAGTAACTCAGTAGAGTTCTTAACAAGGTCTCGTTTGCTAAAAAATAAATAGTATATGGTAAAGAAGCAGATATAATAGGAGTACTTAATTAAGGAAATGTACGTTAACATATATTCTCTCTACCTCTTAACCATCGTTTTCTCTTTGCTGCCCTCTGCACCTTGGCCTCAAAGTCCAATTTTTCCTGAACAAGAATTTCGTGAAGAGTTGGCTTAGTAGTTGCCACCTCCGTACTTGTTTCAGTTTCTGCTGTTGGTTCCAGTACTGAATTCTCCATTGCATCAGAAGTTGTATAGTTGCAGAGCTCTCTCAATGCCTCCACCTCTTTCTCTAACCAAATGTACAACTGGTATCTCAACTGGCCACCTAAAATAATAAACACATTTTTTAGGATTATAGGGCCATCGAAGCAATATAAAAATAATTATGTGCATACCGTCAACCTCAAAACCAGTTGCCAAAGTGGACAGCTCTTCCATAAGTATCTTCAGGCAAGCAATAAACTTCAATTGTTGGGCCATTATATCAATTTGATGTTGCATTTCTTCTTCCTCCTCGATGTCTTCCAATTCTTCCTCTGTAGGTTCATCTTTCTTGCCTATCTTCATGCTTATACCTTTGTAGAGAAAGAAAAAGTTCTAGGATAAAATTATCAAGACAGCTGTTTCACCATTCTGCTGTTATTCTTCAAGTAATTAGTGTCTTAAGTAATTTGAAAAAAAGTTATACATACCACCGTCAGAATCTGAATCCTCATCTTTCTCTTCATCACTCCACTGTATTTTGAAATCATCAGTTTTCACTGCGAGATCAGTAGCTGGAGCACCCCAGTCTACATCCGTACTTGATTGTGGAGCTGTATCCCATGTTATAATTCCAGTATTAATTTCTGTCTTCTCTTCTTCGTTATCCTTTTTGGACTCCACTAGAATCAATTTGAAGAAATTACACACTTTACTGACAATAAAGAGCAGTGGTAACAAACCAACAAAAACAAATATGTTACAAAACCCTACTGGCAGGGGTAAATCTTGGAAAGTGACATTATGTCGGTGTTTTATTGACATGATATAGGTTTTTGGTGACATTATTTTGGTTTTCCTATAAGTTATGTCAACTTGCAACTTGCTGTTGTTCACTTGATATGCACTCGTGTAGCTGTATGAGATACGTCATGAGACTTGAGCTATCATGGTTTAGCTCTCATGTGATGTAACATCTGCTTCAAAGATTGCATTATTGGGGGTCGAAGCTGTAAGATGTATACAATAGCTGAAAAAGGAAACGGCAATGCAAAGGAGCTTAGTGAGGATTTGTCTGTGTTGATGATAATTCCCTTGGTTTCTTGTGTCAAATACACTTACTTGAGATGTAGGTATGCTAAGCTAGAAATTAGTTGCACCTTCACTTTTTTCATTCATCCTGGAAATTAAATACTGCAAATTTACTGAATTTCAAAAACGCGAAAGATAAAGAAAATCATTGGTTCGTGAAGTATATTACAACTAACATGTGGGAAAATATGCACATTTTACATTATTCTTTATTTCCACTCATTTAAATTTTATAGAAATTTATTTTGCGATGTCAAGTATCAAATACGCGCCTAGATGTGAGGCAATGCGAATATCTTTTGTGTGTGATGTATCGTTCCTAATTTGTCAGTGATGTGGTTTTGAAGGTAAGTGAATATATGTATATTTTTTTTTAGAAAAGTATATATAACTTTCAGAAAAGACAACACATAAATCATCACCCTGTCACAGCTGGTAGATATACTTCATGTGCAGCATTTTCAGTGATAATTTTCTCACATGGCAAATGTCACTGATTTTATACACATGTAAACCAATACACGCAATCATCCAGTTGCCATCTTGCTACTCAACCAATTTTCTTTCTTTCACATCTTCTCAGAGAAACATACTCTAAAGACTATCTCGGCATTCTGCAAGCAACAAAGCAAGCTGACAGACTGCAAGTTGGTATTTTGTCGTTTTCTTTTGTTTGACATTATATAGGTTCTTCACGTAATAATCTTGAGGGATCAACAAGAATAGCTGGAACACTTACCTGATGTTTGTTTTAGTTTATCCGCGACGACATAAGGTAATTTCGAAAGCACTTCCAAAGCTAACGCTGGACACCCAGCTCTGAAATGTCCATGAGCTGTTGCGAAATACAGCTGTCTCTCCAAAGGAGTGATCCATTCTTCAATGACTATCTGCCTGCCACTAGGTAGCCACACTTTTTTCTTTCCAAAGCTTGCCAAATGCTGACGTACTAACAACGGGTGAGTTCTGAGATATACGTAAAAGTTGAAGACATTTGGATCTGTTTCCTTTGTTTCTCTAGCCTCATCATCATGCGCTGGATGTTGAGAACCAACATTTCCCATCAGAAGAGTATCTAACGAGGCCTGATATTCTTTCAAGTTCCACAGAGCCATCGATCTAAGGAAAGGATCCGGATGTGCTTTAGTTATGTCTTGATTTTCTCCGTTTTCATCCCTTCCAAGAATCTCTCTATACAATAGTTGCATCAGTTCTTCGCTGTCACCTTTGTACAATCTAACTATGATAATTGCCAACTGTATGTCTTGCAAACGGTTCAAGCATATTTCCACTGCATCTTTCAAGTTTCCTGCGAGTAAAAAGAAAGCTGCAGCATGTTCGAACCTCTGCTTTCCAAGTAGAGCATAAGCATTCTTCAGTGCTGCTTTACGCCATCTATCTTCAGAAAAATTATTGGAAAAGAACGATGTCATTCTGTCGTCCCGTTTAGATCTGTATAATCCCCATAGTAAGCTCTTTTTATTTAATGCTAGATAATACAAAGCAGCGTCCATCGGGTCTTCGTTAGCTTGATAAGCTGCTTTAGCCAGTATTTGCACACATTGTCTCAAAAGTGTCAGATTCCTAATCCACCAACCTACACCGAGTTCTCGCAATCCAGGCCAAGTCGGTTTTCCTTTTGCGTAACTTGGAATAAGATTCAGCAGCTCTTCCTGACTCTCAGAATGGAAAGCCCAAGCGAGGTTGTTGCTACCAACACCCTTTTTCTGGAATTGCGTCCTCTGTGCCAGTGGAAGGCATCTCAATAAGTATCCATAGTGCTTCATAGCCAGCAAAAATCTCAATCCACAATCATCTAAATTCTCCGTCATCATTTCTTCTGTCTGTCCCATCAAATTTTCTTTAACCATTGCAGATTTTGCAGCGTCTATAGCAAACCGCTCAGCTAAATCCGTGTTGCAAGTTGATACGGTGTCAGCCAAAGCAAGAAGGTGCATCTGATCCAAACTTGACAGTCCAGGTAGATGCATGTGTGTCAAAAGTCTAGACAACACCCGACCTTGCTTGGGAGTAAAGTGTGTTATGCTGACATTTCTTTCTGAAGATCTACGTTCACTCCTACAGGTAACTTCACAATCGTCCAGAAGGTTATCCAATGACTCTTCCATTATAACGTTATTATCGAAGAGCTCATTGTAATCCTTCTTTTCTTCCTGTGCTCCAGAAGACTCTTTATCAGCTGCGAGTAATGTCCACAAAGGCAACGGTGGGATATTGTTGATTTCATCATAATCTAGAGCTATCTCCCCAATACTTGCTCTGTGTTCTGGGCTACCAGCAGTGTAACTCATAGACAGGGTTCTACTTCTCGCCCAGCCTGTAATTGAAAAAAAGTGTTCGTTTTAATCCGCCATGTTTCTCTGGGAAAATCAAACCGCCAATTATGACCTTTTTCGAGCACAAAAATGTGTAACTTTCAGATGTTACATTATTTTTGTTTTGCATCCCATTTTTTGTCTGGATTAACTAACTCAAATGTGACTCCACAATTCAACGACTTAAACATTTAATACTGTGCATCAAGGGCGTACCCAGGAGGGGGCAAGGGGAACAGCTGCCCCTCTTTTCCCAAGCTCGCCAAAAATCAAATGGAGAGAACATTTTTTTATAAAAATTAAATTATGCATGTACAGGGTTCTCCACAAGCTGAATCCATATACATTAGATGAGAAATAACTAGGGTTAGTTGAAATCTATTTTAAAGCACTATATATGTTACGTGTGTTTCAAATTCAAACCTCGATTTGGGATATCGGAAACGGTAAAGAGAACGTCACACGACCAGGGGCTTGATTCTAAACGAGTTTCGACCGTTGAAATTGATTTCGACGGCGCCTTGTGACGATATACTTGATTCGCTATGATAATTTTGACATCTGATTATATTGATCTTGTATATTCAAATTATCATGGCAGTGTCAAAATTATCATAGCTAATCAAGTATATCGTCACAAGGCGCCATCGAAATCAAATTCAATGGTCGAAACTCATTTAGAATCAAGTCCCAATATTTAGTTCTTCCTTTGAAGTCGTATATTAGAATATACTAAAATATATACGGTGTTCCGTTTAAAAGAAATTGTTTCTGTTGTCATGTCAGTATGAATCATCCTACAGTGAGCGGTGCATTCCACAATTTTTATAAATAGCATATTTGATTATGTTTTATAGTAATGGAGACATTGTCCAATTACATACTAAAAACTCACCCTGTACGAGTATATCTAATGTGTCGAAAAAGGCTTCACCTTTTGGCTACTATTTCATATTTACTCTTATGCACTTTTCACTAGAAAATGAATGATTTTTTGCAATAACCAATCAACCATTGTAATGTACCCGAGATACCCATTAGTTTTCATTTTGAAGCTGTTTTCATCCCTTTCCCAGTAATTCAATAGACGTATAACTTTGAAGTTTGACAGAAAAAGTTTAACATATTTTTTTATTTGGCCTTAGCATTCACCCTAAAGAATATATAAATGCTTCTGTACAATCTATTTTACAACAGGGTTCACATTTGGGTAGTTAGCCTGATCAAATAAGTTTTGTGACGTTTCTAGATCAGCAGTTTCTCGGTTTTTCCACGCATATTCCACTCCACATAGTTTCGAATTGCACTCCTCGTGTGTTTGGAGTTATACAAAAATGATTGGATGATTAGCATTCGAAAAACTAGTTTTGCCGGATTTAACAATCTTTGAATCCTTCAAATAAACTCTTAACTACGTCTTAAAATATAGCAAGAAACAAAGTTTGATTTATTTATGAATTTTGCCTCCTCTGAGAAAATTTTTGATTGCGTTCTAAATCTTCAGAAACGAAAAGAAGGGCAAGTCAAGTTTTTGGGAGTTATAGATTCTTTGGTCATAATACTAGTACCTTTAGATATGCCTTCCAAAAGTTTGTCAAAATCCAGTGATACTTTCCAAATTATAGAAGGGCCAATGATTAAATTGGTTTTTTTGACGGTTATTCTACAAAACAAAAACTAAATATTTTTCTGTCTGTAATAAAGGGTCAAGGATTACCTGACGATCGCCACAAAAAATGTATCTATTATGTTTTATCTGAAAAGTATGCTTCCATTTGCAGTTTGTCTCGATTTCAGAACTTCCCTGACCTATTGATTCGACTAGAAAAATGAATTTTAAGGGATATGTAGGCCCAAAAAAACAGGTATATAAAATTTGCAGTATTTCAAACATTTGTCAGATATTATCTCAAGTAGTGCTCAAAGTATTGCAAACTACTAAAGTATAACTTATAAAGGCATCTCGTATAATATTTGCTCAAATGTTTCAAAAAAGGAATCCTACTAGTTTTCCATAACCATATAAAGACCCAAATTATCGTGGAAGACTCTATATAAACGGATAAAACAATTAAATGAAAATAGAAAGAAAAATGTTTTTCAATGTGCCCTCCTTTCCGTTCTGGTACGCCCTAGTTGTGCATGTGTCATATAGAGACCGGGCAATTTAATTATGGTTTGTTTTACGATTAATGAACGTATCATAATTATAAAAACGCACTACGCAAATTCATTTTTATTTTTTCTAGAGAATGGTGAATGTTCATGGGGCGCATTATCACAAATATGAGCATGGATCAAAAATTAATCAAGTTAATGTTTTCTTTAAAAAGCAAAGTATCTATTGGGCCAACCTCTAGAAGAGTATACGAACCTTGTACTTCTTCGGGTGGTTCCTGGTTTCCTCCTATACATTTTACGAGATGGGCTAAGATCGCTTTCACCCATCTGATTTTCCCAGAATTCAACAACTCCATTAATTGTTTGGGATGATATTGAGGCAACACTGGACATGCAATCCTAGAAGCTTCAAATAAGCCATAATCAGGCATGTAATCAAGATTAGGCTCTTTATTTCTTTTCCGATCTAGGATCGCTAAATTCACAGAACTGATTCGACCAAGTGTTGGCACTGCAGCTAGCTTTCTCTGATTTTCTTGAGTCAATGTACGGAAATCCACATCTCTGCCATTGTCAGTACTGTCAATCTGTTGAATGTTAGGGTTTTGTGGTTTCCATTGAGTGTAGACATGCATTTCTGAGTCCATACCAACGACCAATATGCCATCTCTTACCCAACTGATCTGCATTGGCAGTGCTGGCAACCCGTCAGCAGTCTGTAGCTCGATCTTTCTCAAAGTCATCCATTTGAAATCATCAACAAACAGAGGTTGTGCCAAAGAACTAGCTTTTCTCAAGATTGGCCTGTAGTTATTCAAGGATTCCTTCATAGCTTTAACGTTAGCCTGAGCTAAATCGGTTGAAAGAGGTGTGTAGAGCATTATTTTGCTACCACAGGCCACTGTAAGGATATGAGACCCATCTTCATTTGACACCCAGTCCAGTTGAACAATGTGTTTCTGGGTCAAAGGACATATATTACCCTTTTCAGATATAGATTTTCTTAAAGATTGCAAGGTGGTAAAACTGGGAACTGCTAGCAGAGTAGGTTTAATACTTGGTTCAGTAGCTAGGGTTTGCCTGTCGTCATTTGATATGGAGTGAAGCACTTCATTGAGCCTTTGTTTCCACTTTAAAGTCTTTGAATCGTATAAGTAGCTCAAATCTAGGTGTTTGTTGATATCTATTCTGGGCAAATGGATATTTTTCAGATGAATCACGTCTTCTAGAACCCATTCAGATCCACCAGTTGATTCACATTCATATATGGCGACGCACAAGTTGATAAACCTAGAATCTTGATTATTCTTGTTAGGTCTCGTGAAACTTTTTCCATATTTATACGCGCAAGCAAGTCTTCCTGAATATGCCACACTTATATTCAAAACTTGCCCTTCTATTTCTATGGCTGATTCTTTGACCATAGTCCATTCTGTCCAAACTTTCCCGGTGTTGACTATGGCATCGTCTTCCTCAAGCATGTAATGGCTAAGCTCCTTGACGTGGTGACTCCTGTCTGACACGGTCCAAAACCTTATGACCCCATCGCTACACGCTGTAGCAAAGCAATACGGCGCCAGACAAGCCGGGTAAATAGAAGCTGAGCTGAGATGCCCAGCTGCGGGGGCCGCGTGAACTATTTCAACCCCATCCGGTAGCGGAAGAATTTGCTTCACCTCCCTGGTAACTGTCAAATTAATGTGAGGGCTCAGCTTGGAAGGTTTCAAATGCAAAGACTCCATGCTATTTTTCCTTGACATATCATTTTCGTCTTGGACAATGTTGCAATCGGGTACGTACATCTGACTGCCTGTCAAAGTACATTCGGAATCGGTGGAGGCGATTGTCAGTTTCCACATGTGGATGATGGTGTTTTGATCAGTGCAATCTAAGAGAACGATGTAAAATGGCTCTTCAAAAACTGAAGTTAGTTGTAGGTCTACCATCGCATCGTGGCCAGATAAGTTGGAAGGTGTGCTTTTTTGTCCTGTAAAATAAAAATCATTAAGCACTCGCATACGGATTCGATGGCTCATCCAGATATAAAATAGGAGAAAAAACGATATTGGAAGAAAGGAAGTCTTAATATAATCACAATCGCTTTCATGTATTCAAACCTCATATACTCAGCGTCAAAACAAAGAATAGCACCCGATCACCGCTTCCATCTACTTGTGGCTACCAGTCCCAGGCGCGATGTGTCAAATAATTAAAAAGATATCCCTGGGTTTTTTGTAACTCAAAAACCAATCGTACAAACCCTCATAATCCTTATATCAGAAAAAAACCATGGGAAAAGGAATAAAAAATGTAAGAATATACAAGATGTTCCATTTTGAGTAGTTCATTTTGCCTTACCTCCTAACTCTGTACAAGGCACAGATAAGATCTAGCCTCGAGTATTGCTCACATGTTTAGGATGCTGCCGGCACAACTACATTATCCAATGTCGATGCTGTTCCGAAGAGATCTGGCCGACTTATCGATGACTCTTCCCTCACTGACAGTCCGGGACCTTTTCGCACCGGCAAGCCGTCGGCGATCTAGCTCTCTTATACTGCTACGCCAATGGGCTTTTCTCCTCAGAGCTTTCCGCCATAATGGTGCCTCGCGATGTGCCTGCCAGACAGACCGCCCTGACTTCACACACCCAGAACTAGCCGTTACGATCATTCCTTTGCCCCTAAGCTGTCGAGATTGTGGGACAATCTACATGAGGTTGTTCCCAGTTCTGCTAGCCTTAGACAGTTCAAAAATCCGATGAACAAAGTTTCCTCATGCTCCTCATAGCAGCCACAGTGGCCTGGCATTTAGGCTTCTGCCTGCGCGGGTGCTTCGGTGGCCAGCTGACCAATAGGAGCACGCGAATAAAACAACGCGCGCTTGTTTGTTTTAACGGTGAGTGAAAGAGATTTGAATACATTTTAGTGCAACGTTTATCTTTAGCATATTTTTAAAGTGCACTCTGCTGATATCAAACTAATGCCCGTATCGTCAGTCGACCCTACAATTGTAGGGCGCGTTTATGGCCTCCTTGATTGTCATATTCCTTTCTCTCCTTCAAAAATTTCTAGATTACACTTGTCCCGTGTCAGCGTCAGCGCTCTCCTATTGTGAAGATTTGTTTTCCTTTTAAATTGTAGGAAATTTCAGGCTGATAAAACATGATATAACTCAAAACCAAGCACAATTTGATGCAAATAGATGTTTGTGACATAACCTCAAAATAGAACGCTGACACGGAGAAGTAGAAAACTATGACAATCAAGGAGGCCATAAAGGCGCCCTTCAATTGTAGGGACGACTGACGATACGGGCCTAAAGTACAACTAATAAAAACTAACGACATCCTGTACAAATAATATATGCTGAACATCATGGTGCACTGACATTTATGCTGACACTGATAACTCCTTGTTGACAGCGTTTAGCCCAATTTTGCATGTTGATGGCAAAAATTATCAAAATTCCAGTTTAACTATAACAAACTGTCTCCATAGGACATATGAAGTTAAACCACCATTGCTACAGAAATTCATGTAAGAACAGCCGAATATCACTCGATAAAGTGATTGAAATACTAAAACAAGATACTGCAAGATGCAACAATTAATCGAAGGTATGTAAAGCAAAATTTCAATAAAAAGAACCCAAACCACAAAATTTTTCTCCGATTTTAGTGGCCAAGATTGTGTGTTGCGTCGTAGTTGTTGTAGCAGGAATAAAATATATTGGTCGCCATCTTTGAATACTGAAAGCCGACTTGAGAACTTACAACAACTAGAACCTAAACTTCCTTTCCATATATGATATAACGGTTTTGTGAATATGATTCGCAAGCGTGAAGAGAGAATAAACTAGTAATATAGCTTTTGTTCATTCGACCACAGGCGGCCAACCATGGACAGATGTTTCATGCTATTTGGCAACTCTTCTGCATGGTGTCGGCTTGGTCTCGGTAAGAAACGAACGAAAGCTAAGGAACACTACTCTATTCAGAGTATAAGGTCTATCAATCTGTATGCATAGTTCCAACAGACACCTGGTTGCTGTTTGCACTTTCGCAGTGGTCGATTCTGATCGGTAATAGGTGGCACTTTGTACTGTCTTACATAAGAGAATGTTAAATTTTTCGTTGTGTAGAATTATATAAGATTCTGAAACTTAATTTTATCTTTTGCATTTTTTCTATTGTTCAACTATTTTGGTTACAGAAAATAAAAACATATCTTCAGAATTACAAATTCTACATAACTGGTATGAGAATCATTTTAAATACAAAACAAATATGCTAAGATTAAGTCTACGTCAGAAGAACGACAGTGGTTAAATGTATACGTTATTTAGTTCTCATATTCATATTAAAATTGAAAATCATGTATTAGCTTCACATTTAGAAAACAAAATTAATTAGTAACTACTATAACTTCATAACTAGAGGCAGTGTAAATATAGTAATAGAAGCATAACTAGCAGCTCAGTATGTCCAACGAGAATACTGGAATTTGTTTTATTGAATAATTTATGTTAAACAGTATTCGGATTTAAAAATGTTAAAGATGAAATGAAAAAATCACTTTATGAACCCAAATGCATAGTGATGTAATATTAATAGACAAGAATGAGAGACAAAACTGCTAGGTGATAAATTAACGCATTATTTTTTAGTTGTAAAAATTGTTGCCACTGTGTTCCGCATCGTAGCAGGAATAAGATTGATCAAAGGTTGAAACCAAAAGTTGATATCATCAGCATACTCATAGCAGGATACAATGCCATCAGAAGAAGCTGAAATAATGTTTTAAAATAATGGAATTGTAATAAATCGTAAATGAGTCGAAATAAAATATATTCCAATAGTTAGGTTTTGTGAATTTTATGTATGAAAGATTGGTATGACCTCGATGAAGAATTCTTACCAGAATATAAATAAAAAATTTCTTTGTTCTAAAACCTAAGAAATACAGAAGAACCAATCTTTGAATGATATTAACATTTGATTCAACATAGATAGATAAAACGAGTCTTTCTTTGCATCGTATTACACTTGTAAAGCTAATTATAATACAAATACTAACCTGTGATAAGCTGTTCTTGATACACATGCAAGAAAGTTGTATTCTGCCACTGTATCGCTTCAGAAATTGTTTCTAATTGAATGATACAACCAGGTCTCGAAGTACTTTGTTGAGAAACAATATTAATATTCTCCAACAAACTCTCTTGGTTAAAAGACGACAGATCCGATGCAGTGTCAGTTTCGTTATCTTCACGCTTTCTATTTTCTTTAAAAGAAATATCAGCCAACAATGTTCTGGCATCAATAACTGCTTGATATACTCTCAGACACTGACCATCTGAAGCTACAAAACAAGCACTAGGGGAATTAGAGAGGTTCCCCAAGGTGCTAGAGGGTAGCAGAGTTGGAATCCAAGCTACATTGCTGAAAGCTGACGGCTCTGGTGAACTGATTCTTGCTAGTTCGCATATACCTCCCGATTTGGACAACGGCCCTACGGCGTCGACTTTCCAGAGGATCAATTCGCTACAAAAACCCTGGAATAATAAGTCATAGTTTTAGGTAATTTCAGAACTGCATGGAAGTTAGTACTTACAGTTCTGCTGCGATCTTGAGACTTTTGATCGACGATGTTATGATGGCTGGTGGTGAGTAATAGTGGTAGAACCGGATGACAGGTTATGTCGTTGACTCTGAATCTATGACCTGATGCTCTGCTCTTATGACCGATACTTAATACTTGGCTAAATTTACTTTTATCCGCGAAAGTGATTTGCCACAAATTCAAAGTTCCATTATCGTGTTTCGTGACCATGAATACTGTAGGTGCTGTTTCATTCTGATCTTCCGTCGTGCAGGTAATCTGGAAGACAAGCATAAAGAGATCAGTTTATTTTGACTTCCACTTCCCACGCAACATCGTCATCAGTTCATAAAAAACAAGTCAGAACTTATCGAAAAAGACAGCGCTATAGACCTTATATCCTTGATAAAGAATAGTTGTTATGCTTTGATTCGTTGTCCCAGATACCAAGCCTAGTCTATGTTGATGAGATGTCAAAAAAGGGTAAAACAGCTGTCCATGGTTGGCTGTCTTTGGTCGGATGGACGAAAGCAGCATTTTCAAGTTAGACCCTCTGAGAAAAAAGTCATTTAAGAACATGTAAAGGGGGGTGATCCATCTGTTGGTTTAATTTTTAAGTCGATGGTTAAAATGAAAACGCAGAGTTCTTTTCCAAACGGTTTTTTTTATTTGATCCTTCCGGTTAATGATGAAACACAATGTCATTCATATGAGAGCCATGGCTGAGCTCCACGTAGCCGATTCTGCCGACCCAATTTTTCAGTACATTTTCCAAAGTCTGCGGCATTGTCTCACCAATGGCTGCATGAATATTGGTATTCAAGTACTCAATCGTCGCTGAAGCATCCGCGCAGCATTTTTCTTTTGCGCTTCTCCAGAAAAATAATCCAACGGAGTTAAAAAGCAGCTTCGCGGTCGCCAAGTCACATCAAAACGGATTTTCGAACTGTTCTTGAAGCAGAGCGATTGTTTCGCGCCTTGTGTGGCACCACACGCCATCCAAGTCTTTTTATCGGTTTCCGAAAAGAAATAGTCAGTCATGCTTCGATAGCGCACGCCAATGACCGTGACGGCGCGTCCTTCGTCATCTTCGAGAAAAAGGGCCAATAATGCTACCAGACCACAAACCACACCATATAGTCACGCGTTGCGGATTTATTGGCTTCTAGGTAATTTCATTTGGCTAATCTGAACACCAAATATGGAAATTTTGCTTATTGACGTAGCCACCACGATGAAAATGGGCCTCATCCGAAAAAATGATTTTTGGTAAAAATAGTAGTCCTCGTCCAATAGTCCAATTTTGAGTGCTTCCCAACGTTGTTTAAGCGATTCTTTACTGAATTCCTGTCAAAAACAAAACTGATGAAAGTGTTGCCAACAGTGAGATAAGCCCTAGTTCAAAAATTAACCAACAGTTGGATCACCCTTCATAACAGAGAAATTAATCGAAGCCCGATGGTAGACGCAGGGCCGCGTATCGAAAACATTTCTCTATCGTTCTAAAGGCAAACGTACGGAGAAATCTATGTAAATAAATGCATAGCAATTGTACTGATATACTAACATAAAAATCTGCAGCACACCCTCCCCCACCCCTTCCATTCAAGATGCTTTCAAAAATAAACCTAGTAACCTTGTGTAAAAATTCAAATCCGAGAAGTACTTTTCAACTTATATAAGGGCCAAGGATTTGCAGCTAGACCAACAGATAGACACTGACAGACACCGCCAAACAGACTGACACACACCAATAGGCAAATTATTAAAAGTGTGGAAAATAAAAGTTTTCATACAAAATTTGGGCACCACTATAATGTATAAGTAACATAACTCAAATTTCGCAATCTTAAAACTATCTGTTGCAGATAAATAACAGTGTCATCATTAACATTTGCTCCAAAAGGTGGTTTACAGCTCGAAGTCAAAAATGCACAACAGACATTCCTGATGAAATTGAATAGTACAATTTGTTGTACAAGTTTCACAATAAGTAACTGAAATCGTAACGCGTTTCGCCCTCATTTTAAATAAAAACGAAACCCATTACGATTTGTTCACCGTTTTATTGTGAAACTTATCCAACAGGTATTAATGCTGGATCGTCTTATGACACAGTTTCACAAAGTAGGAGCACATACAATCAGCTATAATACTGCTTGCAATGTTGAGGTCTGATATAAAAGTATTTCAAGATCATATTTTTTAGTAGTAATAGGATACAAAACTTCCTTAATTCCAAAAGCGAAACCGTTAACCAGTCCATCTTTATGGAATTTTAAGAAAATAGGACCTACCTCTACTTTCTCTTTGGTCTCATCTTCCTCTTTAACACTAGTCAGATCCCTGTTGTGACAGATCTCTTTGTGTACAGCCTCTTTGACTAGATGCTTTAGTAATGGAGTTGTATTGTACAGACTGACAGTAGTAGACATGCTCATTGAATCTCCCAATGGAAATGCCGATGGAATTCTAGTCGAAAATGACACTTGCGCCTGTCTGAAGGAGCCTGGATGGAATTCGTCCAACCATTCAACAACCCTGTATGAAATTCGAAACATAAAAAATAAATAACAATAAAGATACAATAATGATGCTTAAGTAATAATTGTTACTGTACTTCTCATATATTTAGAAATGAGATTTTTATACCGAATGCTACATACGTAGTACATAACTATAACATACCATATGAGGAAGCTGCCATCTACCGGGTGAATGCTAAACAACAAATCTGGACTATGATGCCAATCGCGAAGGAACGTCTCTATTCTTGCATCAACTCCATCTGAACCGCCAGAATCCATCAAAGGTTCTTCCTGATTCTCTTCTGATTCAGGGTTGTCCACGACTGGCCTTTACGAAACGTATATTTTATAAAATACAATCTTACGATATGCAACAAACAAATAAAGCAAAGCCACACTTTAGGATTTACCTTGCAAATTCTTCTAAAAACAACTCCGCTTGTAAACTGAACTGCATTTCTTTGTTATCAAGCCAGTGAAGGACGAACGCTGGTCTAGGATTGCAATAGGTAATACTCGGTACCAAGGGAATATCTGTTTCAGCGTTTACAGATGCTGCTAGATGGAAATGAAGGCCTGGAGTTATTCCTGGAAATAAAATATTGAATGATACCGTAACGCAAAACGTCGTCATATTTCTAAAGATCAGATATCAATGATTTTCTCACCCATGCTTCAAATCACATGATAAATGGATTATTCTACAGGGCGTACCAGAAATCGACGTCAAGCCGGAAACGGGGAAAGGCCAAGTCATAATACTCATCAAACAAAAAAAAATTCAAGTCGTATCACACTTTCCAATAATAGACTTTAAAAAAATCAGAAAAATTGGGTTTTTTCTTCTTAGACGGAGTGACGCACAGTGTCATTCTACGTAATGACAGCAAGACAGATTGTAACTCCACTTTTATCAATTCGCAAATGTATTAAATTCACAATAAATGTTCACACTGCCTTCCTTCAGCAGCAAGGCAAGATTGACATCTTAAAAATGATCTAGATGTCTGTTGGGCAAATCTTCCGTTATTAACAAACTCAGCTGCTTTTTCTTTCACCCCTCCCCAGTAAAAAAATCGAGTGGATTCAAGTCAGGTAACCGGGCCACTCGTGTAAGTTTGGTAGATTCATGTAACCATCTTTTTCAAATGTCGACACATCAGTCCATAAATTTTTCTCTAAAAATCGCGGATCTTCCCGGTGTATCTGTATCATTGTTTGACAAAACCCAACTCTTGGAAGATAATCCCGGTGTTGTAGAGATTGTACTCGCTATACGTGGTACGGGTGGAGCTCGTTCTCTCGCAACATTCGATGGGCTGTACTTTTGGGCACTCCCGTTCTTGCTTCTATCTGCCTTACTGAAGTACTAGGCTCTTCTTCGACTGCTTGTAATACGACGTCCTTGTAAGGAAATGAAATTCTCCCTTCACCATGTGCGTGATTTGGGAATCGACCTAACTGCAGCACTAGCATTGCATCTACATTCCCCATAAATGAGGTTTACACAGACATGGTGGCACTACACAGTAATGAATTAATAAAATGATAAAAGTGGCGTTACTATCTGTCTAAAAAATGAAATTTGTAGAAATGGGAACTAAAAGATTATCAGAGGGTGAAGATTTTCCGATTTTTTTATAGCCTATAATCTGAAAAATACACGACTTACATTTTTTATATGTTCCTGATAACTATTATGACTTGACATATCCCACGTTTCCAGCTTAACATCGACTTCTGAGACACAGTGTATATCGTATTATTTTGAAATATTTATTATTCGAGCAATAAATGAAATCACCTGCACTATAGATATACTGGGCAACCTTAAAGTTGGAACTTTCCTTTACAGAGCATATAGATCAGGCTACAATAAGCAAGTTTTTCTAGTAACACATACAACAAAGCTTTACAATAACCGAGATATCAAGTTCCGAAATACTCAGAATGTGCCAAGCCTGATCCTGCACCCTATATCACAAGGTATGGTGTTTTGTGGGACGACTGTGTCAGTATCCAAATCAGGCACCGCGCGGTGTGTATATTAACATAGCTTATTTTCAATCGGATATGAAAACCCGAAAATGGCACATTCCTATAGCAATAACGAGGCTATCGATTTAACGTTAGTTCACGGCTAAAGTTTTCAAGATCCTACTGATATCTCGCGAGTGTATTTAGATCGTGTGCATGTTCCCGAGCTGGGTAGTTTTGTTTATATCGTGCAAAGGCAGTCGAGTTTAGAAGTCATAGATCGATTGCCCCAAATGTTGCAGATTCAGGACGAAATTTAGAATATTGTGTTTTTGAATCGAACAGCAACAACTTCATTCAGAAGTTACGAGCAAAACAAGGACAATACTTGAAATTCCTGATCAAATGAAAAAACTTAAATGTTTCTGTTTCCAACTTACAACACTGTATAGTAAAGAGCTGTGTTACCTGTGCCATGGTATCCATAAGAATGAAAATCGTGGACGCTGTATGTCGATGGCAAAGTAGGTATAGGTGGTGACGGATTTCCAGTCCCGTGACCATGATGTTTCGCATTACGTCTTATATGGAAACAGGTTCTAAAATAAATATAGTCGTATACAGCACCTACCCGTTTCGACGAATGCGATAAGGTTCAAAGGAGCTTCAAGCCACTCTGCTATATTTCTAGTAGCTTAAGCAATAAAAACGACGATTACAAGTCTCATTACATACTATTCACATATAAATAAAAAAATAAATCACCACCCTACAACATATATATACAGGGTGTGCCGGTCTTAGCAGGACATAGTGAAATGAAAAGTAGTATGGATCAAGACATTTTCATATCTGAAAATAACAAAGCTACCTCAGAGTTATGTAAAACTAGACGGACGTTTTTAAAATCTAGAGCCTGACTCATTTTTCCCAACTTTTTTGTATTCTATCCTATCAAAATTAACACATTTTAAGCCATAGAATGGAATATTTGTCTAAGTACAAAAAAAGCAGATGAATGTTAATTAATTAGTAACATAGATTTTGGTTTTTTAGTTAAAATTTTTTATTTATTCAAATATCTTAATATCAGTTCGAACTGGTCTGGAGAGTCAAATTCAGTGCATTTGAATACTAAATGCCGTATTCCTTTAAAGCAGTGCTCATTTTATATAACATCAGTCGATAGAATTAAACCATTACAAAATTGCTGAAAAAACTGGGTGCATAACATTAAATTTTCCGTATGTATGTACTACCCACTATTTCAATATGTCCATTTAAGTATGGAACACTGTATATAGGCTTTCGTAATTAGGAGGACAGTTGGCTACTTTAAAATGAGTATCTTTCCAAACAGTATTGATTTTTGGTGTAGTGTGTGCTTATATGTAGTAATGTGTATGAAATTGTATGTGTAGTTCGAGAAATCCATATAGTTCCCGGATACGTAGACAAAAGGTAGCATTTTTTTTCAAAACGGGTAATTTTTAATTGGGCTACAACAACCATATGCTATCCTGAGAAGGAGTATATGGAAATTTATATTTCCAACCATTATATAAATCAATACAATTTGATATAACTCATCCTTGCATTTCCTCATACATAGTTCGCTATATAGTATGTATGCTGGCAAGCGACCTTGTCATGCCACAAGGCTTAAAAATAATATTTGCATACTGTTTACAAACACTCTGTAAGCCAATTAATTATCTCCAAAAATACACAACAAACGATGCCTTTTTCTTTGAGTATCGCGACTTACCCATATCTACACAACATCCTCGAGATTTTTAGTGAATAATATATAAGTATTCTGAAAACAGCGAAATGAACAAGAATGGCGATTGCATCATTGCTTACACTTTTTTAAAAACCGAGTCGTTAAATTTGAACCAAGCAGTGCAATTTTTACCTAGGACTTTAATAAGTCAACCAATAAGAATGATCCTTTTTAGTATACTTGAGTAGCAAAAAATATTTTGAAGATGATGACATACATGATTGGAACTACATATTTATTCTACCACACCAAGCAATGTCCTGGAATACATAGTACTAAGCAGTCAAACTGTTAGCAAACAATTGTACTATAAACCTTACTAGGTCATTAAAATCACACTACTTGGACCAAATATAGAAACAGATCCCCACCAAAACCAAAGTAGATGTGACTTACTTCATGTGCTTCAACCTCTGCATGAACCTATGCTTATGGCGATGAGTCCTGAATTTGGGATGGTGAGCTTGTGGATCCAGCTGAGACAAATTCACCAAACCATCCTCAGGTAGAACAGTCTCTACCCACAGGCGACAAATGTTATCTTTACACGAGGTTACCAGCATGTTTGATACTGACCCTCTAAAACAATAATCAGGATTATAAACACTGGACCACACTGTAATTACATCAATCATATATTTTTTAACGTGTGAATCGACTAATAAATACTATGAAATTCTGTAATATCAAAAACTCATGAATATGATAATTTCGGATTCTCGTAAAGGTTCAATAAAAAATGGCATATTCTAAGCATTGCAGCATTCTATTAAACCTAATGGTGACGTTTTGAACGCAAGTGTTTTAGACCGACTGTTAACCTCAGCTAAAAAGGGCTCATTCTTTATAAAATATTTGAAAGTCCTTTAAGTTTAATGTCGATAGTGGAATGGATTAAATTAAAAAATTATACGATAAAAATGAACGAGCTACAAATACTCAGCCCACCTCCTGGGACAGTTTCTCTTGGTTCCGAAGGCCCTCATATAATTTGCATTGTATTTACTCTCGCTTGGACGCACATTGTCTTGAACGGACGCGGACACATGAAAATGTTCTCCTAGCCGGACAAAAAACAAAATAAAAAGAAACGCCTTGTCTTATTTTTTTTTCTGTTAAGATTATCGCTATTGCATTTTTCAATCGTGCCACGCGCCATCTTCACTGGGACTTGCTCAACTAAACCGGAGATACACCGACTTTAATCTTTCGATACAAACGGAGCCTATTTGGTGCATTTCTGCCGGGCGTGAATTAAGAACTTCCTTGGTCGGGGATTTACCGTTCTTATTCTACGAGGGATGTCTAAGTTTTGCATATGGAAATAAAACGACACGGTAGGTAGTTTTGAATGACTTTATTGTTTTTAGAAGTATTCTCCACGAAGATTAATACACATCTGCATGCGCTCGAACCAATTTTCGAAGCACTTATTCCACTCGTTTGCTGGCAGATCCAAAACGGCATTTTTGAATGCGTGAACTGCTTCTTCCGGTGTAATTTTCGGGAAAGTAAAGAAATCGTTAGGACTTAGATCGGGACTATATGGAGGATGGTCCAATAATTCCACGTTTTCTTCCGTTAAATACTGCCTTGTTTTTTGGGCTGTGTGCGAGCTTGCATTGTCTTGGTGGAGGATGATGCTTCTTTCGGGGTTGATTTTTCGAAGCTCGGTAATGACTTTTGGCAAACAAATGGTGGTATACCAATCCGCAGTAACAGTTCTTTGCTCATTAAGAGGAATCGTTGCAATATGACCCGCTTTTGATACAAATGTCGCGACCATCTTTTTCGAAACACTTCGAGAACGGATGACTTTTGTTGGCTTTTCTTCACCTTGGAACACCCAAACAGCCGACTGTCTTTTATTTTCTGGTTCATAACAGTAAATCCACGATTCATCACCACTAACAATGCTGTAAACATTTTTTGAGTTTCCGGTATTGAAACGGTCAAGCGTTTTTTGACTCCAATTAACCCTGGCTGCTTTCTGCTCTTCAGTCAACAGGTGGGGTATGCAACGATAAACTAATTTTCTTACTCCTAGTTCTTCATATAAATTTTTTTGAATTGAGGTCTTTGAGATCTTCTCAGGGACGCCTCAATCTCGCGACATGTCACATGTCTATCTTCAATGATGAGTTTGCGCACAGCATCGACGTTTTCCTGGGTGACTGCTGTTTTTGGTGCACCCACCCTGGGATCGTCGCTAAGACTCACCCCCGTCCACGTTTGAATTCTCCATAACAATGGGAAATTGTCGACTGATGTGGCGCTTCGTTGCCGAAAACAGACAGTAACTCAGCAAGGCATTCTTGTTGCGATAATTGTCTCTGAAAGTTGTAATAAATTATGGCGCGAAAATGTTCTCGGTTGAGTTCCATTTTTCTAATGACTTGGTGACACTTAGAAATTCACTGTAGTGAGAACACTACTACTATTGTTGTGAAACTTTGAATTTAAGTTTACTGAAGAGTGAGGTTAAGATTTAGTACCGACGTTCGATCCTACTATTTTTCTATATGCCAAACTTAAAAGACATCCCTCGTATGGGTACTCGCTTTCGATTAAATTTCGATTCAGTGTTAGTCTGTCGTCTATGCGGAAAAAACACAATGGTCGACACATTCATTGTAGGAATGTAGATTGGAAAATGGGTAAAGAAAAACGAAAGATTTTATTATTTTTAGATAATGCGGGATCTCATCCAAAAGACATTCGCAAAAACCACTTTGGAGCAAGTAACCAAAAAAATTTCTTCCGCAAAGCAGGATTTAAGCATGAAAATATGGAAAGTGAAGAACGAAAATTCTTATGTCGATGAGGTTTCAGTACCATTAGAAGCTATTCCAAATTATGGTAAAGCTATATCCCTCAATGAGCAGCTCACCAGTTTTTTCGAAAATCAGGGAGATACAGAGTATTTGGAGCTTCTTTCTAAATTAGAAATACGATTTCAACACGGGATTTTAAAGAAAAAGAGGAGACAAACGACAATATATAAATGTTTGCGTCCTTAAAGTGACTTTTTATTTCATTGTTTTTGTTACTACATATATGTATGTACATACATATTAGACTATAAACATATGTATATATAGATACTTTGTATATATCTAAAGGCAACAAACTTTTTTTCTTAAGTTTAAAGTTTTTGGTTTATTTTAGAAACATTTATTTATGTTTTAAATATTCCAGTTTCTTATTCAGTTTTCATTAAAAACACAATTTTTGTTGAATTTCTTTTATAAGGACACCTCTCCCAAAGGAGATTTCACTGTATATGAATTGGCTGGTACAACTACCCCTATGCCAATGTGAGCTGACCAATACAAATTACCAAGTTAATATGTTATTGCAGTAAACAAAAAAACCCAATACATTGAAATATATGTTCATTAAATATGCCAAACATTTGTCTTTTTTACATAGGACACCAATTGAATTATCGACGATATTTTTAGGAATTTTATAGAAACATTTCCACTCTTTCTGACATATATATTGCACGCTTCTCGACCTTCTCTCTTGTATACATTACCTAGTCAGTGATATTTGGATTTCTCTGTATATAGTATAGAGAAATATCTGTTTCTCCGGAAATCGTATATAGGTCGATCTCTAAATACTACAGCATACTTTGGATGATAATAATGATACCTACTTTGGCATATATTTACTAGTAGTCCTCCAAGACAAGTGAGTCACAGCCCTAGGATGAGCAATATAAACAAAACCATAGTCTAACTCCAATGGACCATCGGTGCTTTTAGATGTGAACAAAACTAAAAAGAATCACATTAACATTAACCTGTTTTTAGGTCATCTAGCAGGACAAAAAGCTGAACGCTGCTTCAAAGAAAAGATTTTTACTTAACAGAAGTTTCCTTTTACTTACAAGAATCTTCTGTTATAATTATTGTTTTTTTCTTAAGTTTGATGGGTAAAATAGATTTGGAATCAGCGTCCATTCTCAATGTAATTCAAATTCTCAACATTAGCCATCAGTAATAGTTTGTGCTCACCGTGCCTATTTTCATACCAGATCTTTACAAGCCTATCATTTTCACCACATGTTGCAAATAATGTGCCATCAGGACTGAAAGCCAAATGTTGTACTGGTATTGCAGTTTCTGCTTTCCATACACACTGCCATGATGGTTGTTCTGATTCTGCAAAGTCATCAAGAATAGTTTCTGATTCACAAAAACTTCCAAACTGGTTTACATATTGTTTTCAATTGCAGCTTAGCTCTTCACCTCGCTCTAAAAGCTCATTTTATCAAAACTATGAAATCAATAACCTGCAAGTCGCATCAATCACTGTGGATAACTACCATAATCAAAGTTTAAAGCCTCTGATTACACTTCAACGAGTCAATATTTAAGGAAGATTGGCGCGTCAGTGCTCATTGACCTGTGCTTAAACTCGGGTCAGGATTCTGAACGTTTCGCACATACGAGTAGATAGAGACAGATGACCGCAACCAGCGACTGGGTCGCGAGACTAGTTTCATAGCATCCATGCAAAAATTCTATCATTAGCACTGTCCTGTAAAATACTCGAATTCAAAGAGGTATGAGAAAAGACGAAAAGAGGCTCAACTCACAGGCCGCGTATTGCTTTACTTTTTTGAGTATTTCACAGTGACATTGACACATTTTCTGTAGTAATTGTAAGGCGGTAGTCTCGCATTTCGACAAAGGTTTGGTCGCCGAGATTTCCGATTCCGTGCGGAACGGCACCTTCAAATCTAACCACTTGGTCTATACTATTTACTTTGAAATTCAGAATCATTTATTCTTATCATCACTACCTTGCTGTCTAGTATCCCCATCTCCATCATGACCTTCCCCATCATCACCCGCTCCGCCACCGAGTGTAAATGTGACTGTGTTTTTGGGGGATCTACTCCCACTGCCCCCCTCATCCTGCGATCGCAGATGCCACAATTGTACTCTACAACCAGCTGTTAGAAGTCGAGTGCCTTCTAAATTCCAGCTCAAGGCACGTACTGCTGAATCTGCTTTTAAGGAGCCAGTTTGTACCCAGCGATAATCTAGGCCCTATAAAAAATGAGTGTAGAAATCATCCTTATACAAACTAACTGCGTTTTGCATCCAAAACATTACAAGAAATGGAACAAAAACTACATCATAGGAACCGTTCCTCAGAGCATAATGCTCAGTAATGCTACTGTTACCATGACGCAACTGCCTTTATATGTCCAATTTACTAAGTAACATGTTATAAAGGCACGTTAAAAGCGTAGATTATTTGATGTTATACAGACGCCAAACGCGTGGCATTGACAACGCGATGTTAGGGTGGTTGCTATGGATATGACGTTTAGGTTAGGTCAAGTTTTTTGTGAGTGGGTCAATCACGATCCTCCGCTGCGACTTACTGGTCTATTGCGGCTCTTACCTATTTAAACTTCTCCCAGTAATTCTGATGTCCTGAGGGAATCGAACAGTTTATTTGAAGAAATATTCAAGTCTTCTACTTGCTAGTACTACTCCCCCAAGTCTATTTTACCTGACTCTGGCAATTGCAGAAAACATGCTTAACCCTTCCATCTTCCTCCATGCAGAGTCTGCACTGGCGTTTTACGCCATGCCCAGCCTGCTCATGTGATGACGCAATTTACAATGACCAGTGTACAGTCCCAGAAAAGCTTTAAGGCCATTCCTGTTCAGCCTCAGCAGTGTGTTACCTTTTCTGTTAATATTGGTATAGTCGCTTTACCATGGGTTTACACTGTTAATCACTCCAAGACTTGATAGATATTTGTCCAGGTTCCTAGGCTGACTGATTCCTTAATCTCTAGCTTCGGCACGAAAATACTAGGTCCAGGATCTACTTCAGTCTTGCAGCCATCTGTGTATGCACAGATATCTTTCCTTTTTAGGTCAGCTTGCTCCTTTAAGAAGTTATCACTGAGTATGGTTTAATATATCTTGTTATTCTTGCCATTCTATCAGAAGACATTCCCAGACTCGGATACGACGTTTGAATAACAAGTACCATGTCGTTGTATCTCGACATAATTGCTCGGCTAATGTTGACGCGCGTAGTTTTAATTTGCATCGCAGAAATGTCATTTACCTGATAAACTAACGTTATGGTGGCGCTAAACGCACGGCATTTTTAACGTTCATATAACATGTTACTCAGTGATTGCTCCATTAATATCAATAAGTAGTAAATGTTAAGATTCTGAAATGCTGAGTCTATCACAGTATATATTAATAATATGGTTCAAACAATTGGAGCTTTCCCCCACTAACAATAAGCACTGTAAAACGATATATTTGGAATACATAAAGCAAAGGAATAAAGAACATATAGTTCCCAGTTTTTCAGAGCAAAATGACAACTGAAAAGAGATATTACACAACAGATGTCTTCTTGAAAGATGTGATTTCTGTTGCATGTTCAAAACAAGTAAAAAAAAACCTGTTAATTCAACAAAAACAACAGATCATTAGTAAAAACTATTCCATGAGTATCCATCAAAAAGGGTTGTTAACAAGCATATAATGAATCTGTAGCATACAAAAAAAATAAGGCTCTGTCTAGCTGGTGTTGACGGATATGTCAGAATTATGTGTCATTTGTGGATATGGGGGATTTTGCAATATTACTAGATAGTCAGCTGTTACTCTACCTTAATGGATACTCATGAAAATGACTATACTATTTATAGAGAAATAAAATGGCAGTTCCAGAGTTAGTAAAAAGGCTCACTCAGTCTACCTTAAATAATAATCCAGGCTTTATCTTAAAACTCTGAAATCATTACAACATGTAATAGAAACCAAATATGTGTGTGTATGATATACAAGTTTATTGGGCTAAAATTATCTATATTCTCTAATTAAGCTTGATCTTGAGTGTATGCATTTCAGACTATGTATACAAATTCATGGAACAGAATATTGGCTTTACAACAATAATTGTGCCATAAAAATGTTGGAGGACAACGTTTTAGATTTCATATTTATGTGGTTAAGTCGTTTATTATTATCAGTTAGTTTATACTTACATGAGCAGAAGTATTATGAATTAAAGGAGTAGGCTCATAAATGCATACAACATCATCATAAGCAGCAGCAATTTTTCCAGTATCACTAGAACAATCTATGGAACTTATCCTAATATAATCATGAATAGCACCAGGGATGATTTGCACTCTTTCAAATGTAGAAGCTAAGATTACAATATTGCAACCTGCAGCATAAGCCTGAAAAAACATCTCATTTAAGTATTAAGTGTTGATATCTCTCACATCATTTGGTATTATTTTAGCAGTTGAGGATCATGTAGAACACATTTTTTGGTGAATTTTTAAACAGGAACTTTTCTGTGCTACTATAAGATAGAGTTGCATACATCATTTGAATATAATCACCTATAGGGTTAGCATGATAGTTCCAAAGTATGTTTTTATAGTAATACTGTTGAAATCAACAACATGGTTAAAGAGAATAGCTCCATAGTGTTCTCTCTGGGCTATAAAGCAATATTTAATAGAATGAGCAAAATATGGAACTGCAATACCCTTTTTCCAAAATTGTAGGGAAGTGCTAACTAATCTAGACAAGGGCAAGGTTGTGTCAGTGAGTACCTGTTCCCTAAGATTCACCAAATATACCTATCTCATCAAATTTTTGTGAGGCCCCCTAAGTACAAGACCGAGGGCAAGGAGCTACTTTACCAATGCCTAGCTAAGCAGCTGACCACCGTGGCTAAGTATCTCCTGCTATATTCTCAATTTCCTCAACAGCATCCATTTTTATCAGTTTAGCATAAAACTACGAATTAAAAGTGTCGGTCTTTAAGGGGTATGGACATGTTCTTTCTCCAAAAATTATTACAATACAAAAGCTAAGAAGTTGTTGGAACTCACAGTAAATGGCACCCCTTCAACAGAGCCAACAGCAAAACATTTATCGCCAGCGTTGCAGGCACCACTCACAATCTGGTGAAGATTCATTTTTACAGTGTTTTTCTACAATATAAAGAACATTTTTACATGCAACTCGCCCTACTTAGGACAAATCAATTTTTGTTGATTTAATACGGTCAGCTGATTGATATTTGTCAGGTTGACGTTTGACACAAAGTAGGCGGATTAAAAAGATAGGTTAAGGTGGTCACCGTTATCGCTCCGTCCTACAAGTGATGGGAGTAGCAACTACGTAAGCTACTTACAGACTCAACTAAAACTTTCAAATAATACCAGTGGTTAGCTTTCATAACATGCCAGGAAGCCTTTGTCCTCTTTGATATAAAGATACTGTTTTAAGGTATTTTGAATGTATTTGAAGCATCATCAAAAGCAATGTGGCAACACAGCTGCTTCATTTGTCTACCCAAAATTGGTGATGTCATTCGATTGTTCATTGTTCGTTCTGGCTCACTTGTTCTATGTCATCTGAAAGAAGGAGAAGGCTGACGTGTTTAGAAATTTTCAAATTTTCTTCAAAATGGAAAATACGTACAAAATGTTTATCCTGGCCTGTTTAAGCCTTTTATTAGAATTCTCAAGCGCTTTGTATTTTCATATAGGTGAAACGGAAAGGAAATGTTTCATAGAAGAAATTCCAGATGAAACAAATGTTGTGGGTAAGTTTACTGCATTTTCACGCTCCCTCAAATATAAGGGATTAAGGTACTCAAAACCACTAAAATCAATATTACGATAACTGTTTCTTGAAGATTCTCTGCCCTGAGTCCATGAATTTTTTTTATACTAAATGATGCTGATACAGCCTGGAAAAATATACTTAACAAAAGCTGCATATGCCATATAACCTATGCACTTTATATCATTTTGTCTTTCCAGTTAACTACAAAGTTGAGCTCTATGACCCTAGAACTGGAGGATACATCCCACCTTCATCAGGGATAGGCATGCATGTTGAAGTAAGAGACCCAGATGACAAATCCATCTTGTCCAGGGTATACCAAGCTGAAGGAAAGATTCTTTTTACCTCCCACACTCCAGGAGAACATGGAATTTGCATGTATTCAAACAGCACTGCCTGGTTCAGTGGCTCGCAGCTTAGGGTGCATTTAGACATTCAAGTTGGAGAACATGCTATCAACTATGGAGAGGTAGTACAAAAAGAGAAATTGACCGAGTTGCAATTAAGAATACGGCAATTGCTGGATCAGGTAGAACAGATCAGCAAGGAGCAAAATTATCAAAGGGTAAGGATGCAGTATGCAATGCAGTATGTAAATGAAGTTAGGGAACCAAACATCTTGACTCAATAAGTAAGACAAAAACAGTACCAATAAGCATTTTACATACTTAATATAATCAATGATTAGGTTCTACACCATAATGCTTTTCAGTCATTTATGCACTTGTTTTTTTGTCCAAAAGAAGAGCTGTCTTTTTTATTTCTCATCTCCACCTGTATATATTTGAAATTACATTACAGAGTGAAGGGTCTACCTTTCCAAAAGTACATTTAACTTCTTCACTTTTTAACAATTATTCAAGGCCCTTGCAGAAAAATCAAAACGGAATCATACTATCAGCTGATAGGCCTCTGTTCACCACACACTTTTTAAAATGATCATACTTTGGGTGGAGAGCACCAAATAAGAGCATTTGAAACTAAACTAGTATGTTGCCAAAATATTCAAAATAGTTGAGGTCATGTATTCTATATATGAATAATAGAGCTTTATAGCCTCAGTATCAAATATATAATCTCAAAACTCTTGTAGTCACCAGTTTTATACATTTTCAGATGCAAAATATGATACATGGTATAGCAAAATATTTAGTAGATAGATGAAATAGGTCTAGCCTAATACTTCAAAAAAATGAGTAACTGTTTAATTCATAATATTCCTTGATCAGCTAGTTTGCAGCATAATTCTATTCTTTCAAAAGACATAATGTAATGATTGGTTCTATTCTGTACAGTTTTATTTATTCAATTTATAACTCCTCTTGTGTGGGGGTATCCCTCTTATTTTTAAATTCCATTGTTTGATTTGAATTGAAAAGGCAAAGAGAATGAGGAACTTTTTTGGGATGAGATGAATGACTCAATAATTCTTCTTTCCCCCACCACCAACAAAGAAGCAAATATACAATTGCAACAATATTACTATTTTTCTAGTATCGCGAGGAGAGGTTCAGACAGACCAGCGAAAGCACAAACTCAAGAGTATTGTGGTGGTCCATTGCACAAACGGCAGTACTTCTGGTCATGGGAGCCTGGCAGATGAGGCATCTCAAAACCTTCTTTGAGGCTAAAAAGCTGGTGTGATCTTTGTCTATAGTATTTATTTATAATTTGATTGTGTTTGTTGTGAAGATGAAGATGCGATTTAGTTGTAAATTTTGGAGTTTATGTACAATCCCCTACATTCGTTTTTTACCGTAATAAATTCAAAAATAAATCGAAAGTAAATGATTTTTATTTAAACCGCTGATATATGGCGAGGACCAAATTTAGCCGACGAGCGTGAATTCATTGTGTACGAGAGCAATACGCGAGAAGTGTGTAAGGCACATATGTTCGTTGCCTAGCAAAGGTGATGCAGGTTATTTGGAGGTCAAGTTTGTGAATTCAAATACTAACCATTTTTGACAGTAAATTCGTGTCCTGGCTCCAGATTTCACATCAGAATTCCTCCTCATACATGAGGTACATTGAAATTGGCCATAGAAGCCATTTCGAAGGCATGGGATTTTTAGAGTCAATATGGTTTTGTCAAACAAACGAATGATGCAGTGTGCACAGAATTTGTGACGATCCTGACCTCTCATTTCGACCTAAAATAGAGCGCCGTTAGAACCGATCGGGAATCAATCCTACACAAATTCGACACAATTCAAAAATGTGTACGCTCAAAATAAAACCATTATTTGGGCATAAAAAATAAACATTCTCAATATGTATCTTAATTCAAGGAACTGGTGTAACATATTGGCAACGCAACAGATTGACGCGCCAGCGTTGCTAAGCATCGCGGTGATGAGCTTTGCTGTCCAGCCGGCTTCTACCTTCTACCACATGTGTCTATACACACTTCTCTCTCGTACACATTAAACTCATTCCATCAGACAAATTTGGTTCCCAGTGTATCAATATAAATACAAATGAAACATGTATGATGTAGGCAACTTTTATTGCACAGCCTTTTATCAGGTTATCCTCAGCAACTTTTTGTAAAAGTTTTTCCACACTTCTTGCGAAACCATTGTTGTCACTTCTTTCGTTTAGTTGAAAATATCAAGAATCTTAACATATTGGTAACCACGTTATGTGACTATTTCTTATATTGTAACGATCGCTATAATCCAGCAAAAAGGTTAACTTTTAAATTTGTCTTTGACAGTTATTTTTTATCAGATACTCTGAAAACAAATAATCGTTGGAGGTGTTGATATTAATTCTGCAATGAATATTATATGATATGGCAACGTTGCATACAACTTCTGTATGATAACCTTATTTTGAAAGTTGAACTTTTTATCATTTTATTTATTTTGTAATTGACCGCAGGCTGCGTCACATAGTCATATAACTTTCATATGTGGCATAGTTACTTTATCAAAACGATTTTAGTTCAGTTGTAGTGCGTTACAGTAAAATGCAGCAAAGTAGTATTTTAAGGTTATACCGCAATCCTGGTTGTACAGATGCCAAAAAATGTGAGATTTTGAGTAAATTACAAGCTGCCTGCACCAGTATTGTTGACCTGGAAACCGAGGTATGCTTTCATGTAGAAAGCACATCACCTTTAAGTCAGGAACAAAAGAAAATTTTGAAATGGGTACTACAAGATCCGCTGTACCCAAAGAATGTTTTCGAAAACATCAAATTGCAACCAAGTGAAGACCAATTGCTAGTAGAGGTTGGCCCTAGATTCAACTTCTCAACACCCAGCTCCTCCAATGCTGTGTCAATATGCAAAAACCTTGGTTTAAGTACAATCACCAGAGTTGAAGTTTCAAGGAGATACCTAATTATATTCAAAGAAGGAAGCACAATTAACAAAGCAATAGAAGATAATCTGGTGTCCCTTCTACATGACCGTATGACAGAATGCAGATACACGAAGGAGAATATACCTAAAAAGAGCTTCAATGAAAAACTGGTAAAAAAAGAAGATATCAAAGAAGTTGATGTACTAGGAAAAGGTGTACAGGCACTGGAAGAGATTAACTCTGAACTTGGTTTGGCTTTTGATGATGCAGATTTCCAATATTACACAAACTTATTCAAAAATGTCTTGAAGCGCAACCCAACAAATGTAGAATGCTTTGATTTGGCTCAGTCAAATAGTGAACATAGTAGACACTGGTTTTTCAAAGGAAAAATGATTATTGATGGAGTTGAGCATGAAGAATCTTTAATTGATATGATTATTGATACTCAGAACCATTCAAATCCAAACAATGTTATCAAATTTAGTGATAATAGTAGGTAAGTATACAAGTATATGGAGGCCCCGTAAATGTCATTTTTTAGGCAAAGCTTATGATTCTTGAATCTATGATAAGAAAATTTCCATGCCTCAAATTCCCTCTTGTTTATATGACTTTTCTCTAGCTTATTGTTTGTTTAACATTTATTTAGCATGATTGAATGAATGATGATTGAAAATGTTTCATAACATACAGATATTTAGAAAAAACAAAATTTCCAACTCTAAGAATTTTCACAGTTCATGAAATATTCCTTGAATTTTCTTTTAAACATCTTTAAATTATAAGTAGAGTTTATATCATTATATAGTTTATTAAATTCAATTAATCCTTACTGAAATATTGATTTGCTAGATATATTACTATTGCAATTTTTTAAATGAAAATCTATATTTCCTCTTGTATAATTGTGGTGAAGATTATTCATTTCTATGTAGTGCTTTAAATGTTATGGCAAAAGATGATTTTTCATTTTAATGAATGATATGAAATTTTTTATATTCAACCACTGACATTCTTGTAACATAGATTTTATTTTGGTGTACTTATTTTTATTCAATAGTATTCTCATAGCTTTATTTTGCAGGACTTGTAATTTTGAGAATACAGCTTCATTGGCAGTGAACAAGATAGTTGAGCAATATAGTAAATGCAGTAGAATAATTGTATTATAAACTATTTTCTTAGAATTTGTACCCTATAAAAGTGTTTTTTGCAATTTTTGAAATAATGTATTCATAGTGATCCTCAAACTTTAGTTTAATATCACTATATATATACATACATTTAACCAATTTATGATTTTTGCCAAGTCGGAATTTATCATTTTTAAAGTAGTGTCTATATTTTCATCTGATATATATATATATATATATATATTAATGTATCATCTGCAATATCTGAACTTTACAATAACCTAAAATATTACAAATGTCATTAATGTATAAAATAAATAATAGTGGACCTAGATTACTACCTTGTGGTACACCAACAGAATATTTTTTGATCTTGATAATGTAGATCCAAGTTTGGTTTTTTGACTTCTGTCAATGATATAGTTTTGTAGAATTTTGAATACAGATCCTTTAAATCTGTAGTGATACAATTTTGTAAGTAATTTGTCCCTGTCAATAGTCTCAAACGCCCTTTTGAAGTCCAAAAACACTGTTACTGTATGTTTCTTATTGTCCATACATCTCCTCCAGTCCTCTTAAACCATTTGTGTTGCTGTTTCAGTTGACTGTTTCTTCCTGAATCCATCTTGAAATAATAATTTGAGGTAACAAAATTTATTTTCATGAACTTCAGCAAGAAAAAATATAATACATAAAAACTCCTTACGCAGCAGCATGAAATCATTATATTTCTGAACTAATCACAGATATTTGATTTGCTTTCAGTGCTATAAAGGGCTATGTCCATCGAAGTTTGAGACCTCTTTCAGCAGGTGCTGTTGGTGAATTGAAGCAAGTCCCTACAGAATCTCATTTGATCTTCACTGCAGAAACACATAATTTCCCTACTGGAGTGGCTCCTTTCAGTGGTGCCACTACAGGTACAGGTGGCAGGATCAGGGATGTACAAAGTGTAGGTAGAGGAGGGTACTGTATAGCAGGCACTGCTGGCTACTCTGTTGGAAATCTGCAAATCCCAGGTAAGACATTGCCTTCAATGATGTTCTAAAGAAGAACATGATATCTAAATCAAAACGCTTTTCCTAACAAATTATATGTAAATAGTGCAACAAATCAAACTAATATTAAGATTAAAAAAGACTTGTAATGATCAAGTGCTCATAGTGAAATTTCCTATTATTATTATTGTTATTATTTATCTAGCTTATTACAGTATAGCAGGCACATAACACTGTTTAAATTCTCACTGTAGTACAAGCATATTCTAGTTCATGTATGGTAATTATTGAGATAAGCAGTAAAAACACCTGGTCAAGCAAAATAAACATTATATTCAATGGAAATTATATTTGCTCCATTTTTATTTTTTTTGGCTACAGATATACTTTTCACTTTGAGATTATAAGTAATATGTATAACAAGTTAAGCAATACATGTGCCACAATAACATAGCTGTTGTTTTTAAATAATTCATACCCCCAGCAATGGCATCTGCTATTTCACAAATTTAAGATTATACAACATTTTGATAACACGTGATGATATCAGAATACTGAATAATTTCAAATATGTACTATATACTATATATTATCATGTTTGAATTATGCATGACTGACTGGAAAATTAATTTACTTTTACTATAATATGTTTTATCAGAACGAGAATTGCGTCAGAAAATACATTTTATAGCAAGTCGCACAATTCTCGAAATTTAGGATACTATCAATAAGCCAATAATATTGATCCAAGAAAACTGATAACTCTTTTTTACTTGACATAAGTCGTCTAAAAACAACTTAATTGAACGCTCATTGGAAACAAGCTTAGCTATTAATAATACTTTAAATCGGAAATAGAGTAGTAAATAGCAATTGACATATTAGTTTTAGCAAGTAGTTATGAAGTTTGAATGCAGATTATTGTTTGCAATCATCCAACAAAAAATAATGTAACACTTGAATCTTATCTTGTGGCTTACATGCTGATAGGACTCCATGATTGTAATCAAATGAAACCTCATATGTATGAGATACTTTTTCTAACGTTTTGGCCGCCACAGAGACGTTTTTCGAACTACAAATTAATGACAATTGTCATTAAACCGTCGTGGCTGAAATAATTCATACATATGTGGTTTCATTTGACCAGACAATTATGGCGTCCTATCAAAAAATATTATACAGTTGGAGTATTAATTGAGAGAGATTATACACTGAGAACTAAATTTGTGTGACGGCTCGAGTTCAACGTTCACCGAAGAGAAGTGTGTATAGACAGATATGTTAGAAAGAGATATAAACCGGCTGGATAGTGAAGCTCATCACCACGTTGCCTAGAAACGCTGACGCGGCAATGTGCCGCGTTGCCAGTATGTTACACCAGTTCGTTGAATTAAGATGCATGTCGAAAATATGCGTTAGCTTATTCTCTACGCCCAAATGATGGTTTTATTTTGAGCGTACACATTTTTGATTGTGAATTGTATCGAATCTGTTTAAGATCGATTCCGGATCGGTCCTAACAGCGCTCCATTTTAGGTCGAAATGAAAGTTAAGGTTTGCCACAAATTCTGCAACATTGCATTATTGGTTCGCTTGACAACATCGCATCTCGTACATTCCAAGGCAAGGTTTCCACCTTCATGATCTAAGATGAGTGATTTTGGTCAGTAACCATCTAGCGCTCATTGGGGAGTGTCGCTTTGGTTTTCACCTACGTACACGCAGGCAGTGATAAATCATTTGTATTGCATAATAGTATTTGTCACATATACCGACCGCTCGCTGTCGCAAAATGTAACAATTAGTCAGGTTGTGTTGATTTTATCACCATTAGTGTAAATCAAAATCAAATAAATTAAAACACTATGTGGCATCAAAATTAAAATAGATAATTCCAATCAAAATGAAAACAAAATATTAAATGTTTAGCAGACTCCCTTCTTAGGTTTGACAGTAACCTAACCTGCGAACATTTTATGATGTAACATATTGGCAAGCGGCAGATTGCACGACCTTCTGCGTCACCGTTGCTAGGCAATGTGGTGATGACCATCGCTCGTCAGGCAGCTCCTGTCTCTTCCTTCTCATACTTCTCTCTCGTACATATTGAACTCAAACCATTAGATAAGTTTGGTTTCCCTGTATACAAAAATTGCACAACATAGCAAGATAGCTCACATTGTCTTTTTTCCACATCTGTCCCCACACATCAATCCTGGGTAATGGAATTCATGATAATGTATCATTTAATTTTTCAGGATATGATTTACCATGGGAAGACAAGTCCTTTGCTTACCCGCCAAATTTTGCGGCACCTTTAGACATCCTGATACAAGCAAGTAATGGTGCATCTGATTATGGTAACAAATTTGGTGAACCGCTTATTTGCGGTTTCGTGCGATCATTTGGTCTGCAAGATCCATCAGGTATTCTTTTAATCATCATAAGATATGAGTAACATATTTAACACCATATTGAAGTAACGTGATCATAGCTTGAATTTGTATCGAATTAAAAAAATGATGTATTTTTCTTGCAATTTTAGGTGATCGTAAAGAATGGATAAAACCGATAATGTTCAGTGGAGGCATCGGTAGTATGGAAGCTGATATGACAGAAAAATTGAAGCCAGAAGTTGGAAATCAGATCGTGAAAATAGGAGGACCTGTTTACAGGATTGGAGTAGGTGGTGGATCTGCCAGCTCTGTTGAAGTACAGGGTGATAATAAAGCTGAACTGGACTTCAATGCTGTACAGAGAGGTATCAATTCTAAACGATTATGAGCTCCTCTGAATTTATCCAAGCTACACAAAACATGAAAATTACTAAGCTATCGATTATTGACTTCACTTTACTCCTGTCTTCTCTGCCACGCAAATTAGGCACAATCTTTGTTGCCACTTTTTCTCCTTAGATCTTATTAGACTTCATACGCTATAATAGGATGCTCGTGTTTTATCTAGGTGATGCTGAAATGGAACAGAAACTAAATCGAGTAGTTAGAGCATGCTTAGAACTAGGGAAAAAGAATCCAATTTTGAGTATCCACGATCAAGGAGCTGGTGGTAATGGAAACGTACTCAAAGAACTGGTTGAACCTGTTGGAGGAATCATATATACAAATCGGTTTGAACTAGGCGATCCTACTATTAATGTGTTAGAACTATGGGGGGCTGAATATCAGGAAAATAACGCTCTATTATGTAAGAAGGAACATGTAGAATTGCTCAAGGAAATATGCAGGTAACGTCTAGTTATTTATAAGGAATAATATCCAGATCAAGAATACATATTTTTTGTAGGAGAGAAAGGTGTCCAATAAGTGTGGTAGGAGAAGTTACGGGCACAGGAAGAGTGGTTTTAGCTTTGGATGAATCTGCTAAAGTAACGCCATTCAATCTAGAGTTGGAACATGTTTTGGGTAAGTTTGTTCATTGAACGATTTTTTTGTTCAATCAGTTGATGATTTGACCAAAAGCAAGGAATGTAATTTTAAATCCGAAACAACACGATCTCCGACAATCTCTCTATTTTTAACGCCTGTAACAGAAGACAAACTGCTGTCATTTATAAAGAAAATTTCTGTCAAGCACTCTAGTGGAGAAGACAACATTCCATGCTCGCTCTTGCATAACGTTGTTGACCTAATCGTTTCACCTTTAAGGCATTTAGTCAATGCGTCATTCAAGGAACGTTTATTCCTATTCATCTTAAAGAGTGCTATGGTTATCCCTATCCACAAAAAAAGATGACAGGAATTTAATTACTAACTACCGAGGTATATCGTTACTTTCAGCTTTTTCAAAATTATATGAAAATGCATACTGTTCCCGCCTCACTAAATTTATTAACCAGTTGAATATCATCAATATCAATCAATTTGGGTTCCGTGGAGGGCTTACTACACAAGATGTGTTAATTTCAGCCTATAATATTATACAAAACCTTGATAGTAAGCAAAATACTCTCTCGATATTTGTCGATTTTAGCCGTGCCTTTGACACAGTAAATCACGGTGTTTTATTAGGCAAGCTATTACGGAATTCGGGGCTCTGCTCTTCATTAGCTTGAGTCGTTCTCGAATCAAAGGACGCAAACCATTGGGATTGAAACCGAGTCTAGATCTCTAGTTAAATCTCCAATTGAAATACTCTCAGGGGTACCTCAGGGCAGTACCTTAGGCCCTGCCTTATTTATTTTATATATCAATGCCATATTTTTAAATCATTGTAACACGAAAGTAAACATTTGCAGATGATACGACATTAACACTAAAGTCTAATAATATCTCAAATTTAAGACACACAGCTACCGAAGTTTGTAACAAAATGTTATTTTGCTATTCTGCTAACTGTCTTGCACTTAATAGCAGTAAAGCAAATCTGGTCCTATTTAAAACGCATAAAATTGATCAGATTATTGTAGTAAGATGTGATGGTCACAGCATAGAGCAGACAACTTCTGTCAAGTTTCTTGGAACTCGTTTAGTTGAGAATTTATCATGGAAGGAGCATATTGACATAATCTTAAGCAAACTATCTAAGCACTGTTATGTATTATGGCAGCTTCGCAATTACGTTGATGTGACATTGTTAAGAACATATTATTTTGCGTATTTACACTCTGCTCTTAACTATGGAATCATCTGTTGCGGAAACAATTGTAGAGTGAAGGAAGTATGACTTCAAAATGTCCTACGATTATGCTACCCAGGGTGTATAACAAATTACCAGAATGTATAAAGAGTATCCAATCGGTAAAACTTTTCAAAAGAAAGCTCAGGAAATTTCTTGTATACAATCAGCTATATTCATTAAATGATTGCTTAAGTTTTTTATTCTTATTAGATTTTTCCTTCAGTTCTGTATTTTTAAAGGTAATTGTACCATTTTGACTAGCTTGTGATCTTTGACAATTCCAACACTATTGTGGAGTCTCATGGAAATAAATATTATTATTAAAATTCAAACACAATATCGCTTTTTAATATAGGTTCAGTGATGCTATAGATTTTCATTTCAATCAATGTATATATTTCAGGTAAGATGCCAAGAAAGGTGTTTAAACTTGAACGTAAAACACCGCTTTTGAAACCAATCAAACTCCCTGAAGCTCTTTCGATCTTCCAAAGTTTGGAACGCGTTTTACGACTGCCATCGGTAGGAAGCAAACGCTACCTCACCAACAAAGTAGATAGATGTGTTACAGGATTAATAGCACAGCAGCAATGTGTGGGACCATTGCATACACCTCTCGCTGACGTTGCTGTTACTGCCATTTCACACTTTGGTTATGTAAGTAATAATAATAATAGCGTTTATTTGCAGAGCAAAAAAAGACAAAGAGAAAAAAATTAGAAATGAAGAAACAACATGAATTCCCTGCAAAGGGGACTACTAAACAGATGAGCTGATCAAAGTAGTAGCCTAACAAACAAAATTACAACAGAGGAGTTCTTAACCAAATTAATATTAATAATAAATAAATAATAATTATAAAAGTCAAAAAAATATGTATATAAAGAAATTATATAAAAAATATAATTTAGCGAAAAAGGTCAAATCATTTTACGCAGATTTAAAAAAAAAACATTTAAAATATAAAAAGGAAAGGAACAATATAAAGTAAACACTACAATTCATCTAATAGAAAGTTTCTGTAACTTCTTTTAAAAGCTGACACAGACACAGACTTAAGGTTTGTGGGGACGTGATACATAGATGTACGATGACGTGGTTGGGAAATCAGCTTCCGATACCGAACATTGATATTGTGAACATCACTTCGAAATGTAATCTTATTATATAAATAAGATAGATTTTTATATAGAATAATTTTAGTCATCCTATTACAGGTAAGTTATAAGAAATATGTTTTTCACTCCAAAAATAAGCCTAAGACAAGAGTTTTGAACACGCTGTATACAATCAACATACCTTGTTATACAAGGCCCATAAACTGAGTCGCAGTAATTGAATAATGACAGAACAAGCGTGTCACAAAGCAAAGCCTTAAGTTCGGTAGAAAAGATATGACGATGTGAAAATAACATTTTAAGCCGACCATAAGCACAGCCAATGCACTTATCAACATGCTTTGGAAACCTCAAGTCACTATCCATAATCAAGCCTAAATTCCTAGTAGCAGATGTATGAGGAATAACATTATTATTAATTGAAATATGGAATGAAAGTGCCACGCTCTTTTTGTGTTTCCCGAATCATAAAACATTTGACTTGGTTGGATTTAAAGATAACTGATGAGCTATGCTTTCATTTGTCAAATTACTAAGATCTTAATTTGGTAATGTAACCGCAGTTGTTGTATCTGTATGAGAGAACGAAAATTTTATCTGAGTATCATCAGCATATAAATAAGGCTTTGAATATACCAAACTACTAGTAATATTTGCAGAGTATACCGAACAAGGTAATGGACCCAAGATAGAGCCTTGATGTACCCCACACAGAACAGGCTTGGAAACAGACACCCCAGAAGAGGTTATGACAAACTGCATCCTCTTCGAGAAATAACTTTTGAATAGTTTAATAGCATTACCGGAACATCCCATGTAATTTAAAATAGAAAACTAACTCGTGATTAATTGAATCAAATGCCTTTGTGTAATCAAGCAATACAAGATCCGCTGTATTGCCGTTATCAATATCCCTGATAATTTGGTCCGTAACATCTAGAAGCGCTGTCGTGCAACTAAAACCCTTTCGAAACCCTGACTGAAATGAAGGCAGCAAATTATATTCGTCTATATGAAGCATTAACTGAAATTTTATAATTTTTTCCAGAACTTTAGACAGCACCGGTAATATAGAAATTGGACGAAGATCCGACAAGTTAGATATAGTGCCTTTCTTTGGCAGAGGATGAACTGGAAAAGTATTTTCTATTAGGCAACAATTAATATGCCTTAAGGCTGGTAAAATGTGCGGACAGCATAAAAGTAGCATTCCTATAATTAATACCATCCGCCCCAGTTGCAAGAGTTTTTACCTCATAAAGATATTTGTAAACAATGGCTTCAGAAACAGGTTCAAATGAAAATAACCGATCAAAATCCTTACGGAAATTGCTATTGTAAAAGTGAAATTTTTCAGGATCAGGATATTTCTATTATTTAGGACTGTTGTTTTAATAGTCGGAGATGTAGTATTTTAGGACACGTCAGTCAGTTACAAGGATATACTTACTAAAGTTTTGATTCCATCTGGGCCTTTTAAGATTGGACTTATCTTTAGCCATAATTTACAGAAATGTCTGAAATTTTTATATGTCTGAGTCATTGTTTATTTTGATTTGAACATTGTTAACATAGAGATCAAAAGTTACCCTCAAAGTTTCCTTTATCTGAGCTCACAACAGTTTTATTTTTACACCGAAGCAGCCGCGCAGGCTGAAGTCTAAATGCCAAGACACCACGGCCGCTACGAGGATTCCAAATAAACTTGTTTACTTTGTTAATCCGATTTTTTAACCGCCTAAGGTTAGTAGAAGTAGTGAAAGTCTCCTCTTGCAGATTGTTAAACGGTCACCCTAGGGACAAGACAGCGATCGTATCGACCAGTTTCGGATATACGAAGTTCGACACGGTCAGGACGGGAGGCTGAAGTCAGACGAGTCTGTTTGGCACATCGCGCGGCGGTCCGTTGGTGAAGCGGTAGAAGAGAGCTAGATCGCCGACGGCCCGCCGGTGCGAAAGGGTCCTGAGACTGTTGGATAAGAGTCACCGATCATTCGAACAGCCGTCCTCTGGACAGAATCGAGCATGAATAATGTATTCGGGGCGGCAGCACCCCAAACGTGTGATCAATACTCGAGGCTAGGTCTTACCTGGGCCTTATATAGAGGGAGGAGGTCATGTGCAAGCTCTTACCAAATAGCCTAGCTTTTTCCCAGCAGCTGCCGCTAATGACGAGATATGTTCATGCTAGATCAAGTCCTCGATCTGGACTCCGACTAGCCGAAATGAACGGCTCTTTGGCTGAACTCGGCTATCCATCGAAACCGGATGAGCGCTAGGGCGGTTTTTGTTTGTCAAGGTAGAGTACTATGTTTTAGAAGCATTAAACTAAACATTGTTGCGTACCCAAGCAGTGATAACCTCCAGGTCTCTCGTCAGAGACGAAGTCGCTGCTAGACTCATTTTCCCAGCTTAGCGGCCGATCTCTAGGGAACACCCGCTTTGACATTGTGGGATGAAGAGGAGAACCCGTCAATTACGACGGATATCTTGCGGCCGGAGAGAAAGTCAGCCACTCATCTGCAAATCTTCTCTGGGAGTCCATAGTATGAAAGTTTGTATAACAGGGCGGCGTGCCACAGCTGGTCGAATGCTTTCGTGGTATCAAGAGCAACGCCATGAGCCTCACAATAAGACTGCATGAGTTTACCCCACAATTAAGCTAAGAGGACCCCTATGGATCGCTAGTTGCGGAAACCGTACTGCCTGTCGCTAATCAAGCCGTGACGTTCGAGGTAGTCCAGCAGCTCACGATTCATGCATCTCTCCATCACCTTACTTCTAACAGAAAGCAGAAATATAGTCCTGTAGTTGTAAGGGTTGGTCTTACATCCCTTTTTTGAGATGGGTAATATATCTGGAATAGAGACGAAAGAACTGGAGCATGCTCCGCTGGACTTCTCTTCAATACATCGGCAGGAATCAAGTCCAGACCAGCAGCTCTGTTGATGTCGAGCGACAAGAGTACCCGTCTTATGATATTATGATGTTACTTCCCGCATAGTGTAGGAAACCTTTTGAATCGACGGCACTCGGGCGTTGAAGAGGACGTCCGTGGTGGAGTTTGCAGCAAAGATCTTGGCAAGCACTTTCGCCTTAGCCTTTGAATCGGTTACCATTGTTCAATCCTGACACGTAAGAGGTGGAAGGCTACTCTTTGAGAACTTCCTTTCAATCCGCTTGGCCAGCGTCCAGAAAGACCTACTGCCATTGCGCTACAACATTACCCTGTGTCTAAGATTATACCCTTCTAATAAACGCCAGTTGTACGTTGGTATTTTCGCAAGCAACGTTCTTTACATTCTGTTAAGGTAAAACCATCCATTTTCAGCTTGTCTGCTTTTAAAAACCATATTCATCGTGTTAAAAAGCGGTCACGTAGGTTCACTCTATACCTCACATGCAATTATTGCTTGGATTGAAATAAATCGAATGTTAATTGATTATTAGCACTTTTTCCAGTGAGAAGTATCTGACTATCTGGGACTATCAGATACAGTAATCATCAATCATCAATGATACGATGCTGCGTGGCTACGGATTGAATTGGTCTGATCCACTTTAAATAACTGTCAGAAGCTCATTGTTGGAAGGAGCATAGTCTTTACACCGTTTTTCTATAACACTAAGAACCTGTTCCGATTTTCAGGAAGGCATCGCTTCATCCATAGGTGAACAACCCATCAAAGGCCTAGTGAACACAGCTGCAGGTGCCCGAATGACGGTAGTCGAAGCCATCAGCAACTTGGTGTTCGCGGGAATCACCGATTTGCGTGACGTCAAATGCAGCGGTAACTGGATGTGGGCGGCTAAGCTGCCTGGAGAAGGGGCGGCGCTGTATGACGCTTGTACGGCCATGTGCAAACTGATGAATAACATCGGCGTGGCGGTAGATGGTGGAAAGGATTCGCTTAGTATGGCGGCCAGAGTTGGACAAGAGACGGTGAGTGATCACTTTGCAAATTAGACCCATCATTAAACTATGTAATATACTTCCCCGATAGCATTAAATATTTTAAAAACATGTTTGTTAAATATACGTAACGACAGATTTTTTAATATTTAATAAATATATTTCTTATATATTCATAAAATATTCATTATGGATATTTGTAGTATATATATAATTCATATATTTTAGCGATATTTTTTCAACTATTTTGAAAATATATGAGGAAAGATTTTTAAATATCAATTTTATATTTTGATGAAATATCTAATATTTTTCGTAAATATGTATTCAAGCATTAATCTGATACATATTTTCAGTGTATATAGAAAATTCTTCATTAAGTTATTTTAGCAAAATCTGTAGGAATGCTTCTATAAAATTGGGTTTATAAAGAAAATTCATTCTAGATATAATGGTTTAATTTGCTAGAAAAATATCTTTAAGAAAACATTCTAAGTCGCTTCTGCATCTTGCAAATCCACTCCTCTGAAAAAAACTTAATAATTATGAAGTATTATTGAATACATAAGTTGCTTTCCGTGGTCTTTTATTTGAGAGAGATATTCTCCCAAACTATTCTAGGAAGTGTATTTATGGAAATATAAGATGCAGTAGAACAATATTGGTGCTGAGCACTGCTGAGTTACTCCTAGTAGCTCAACTGGGTCACTGAAAATCAGCTCTCTAATGCACCTAAAAGGACCCCACATGTTCTTCCTATGACAGTTCGAGATTTGGTTAATTTTTAAGAAAATTTGGTATGTTATTTTCGATATCTGGATGAAAAATGTCCATGTGCAACTGATCCTTTGACTAACTTTCAAAGAAAAGGTTTTTAAAAATAGACTTGCAGTAGTAAGGGGGCTAATCTAGCCATAACTATTTTGTGATTTTATATTATAGTTCAAGGGACCAAAAATATAGTATTTTCGACTGTTAAAATTTTGGAACGTCGCTGTCGAACTTAAAAATTTTAAAATAGTTACAGTTGATTTGCTCCCTACTACGACAAAAATAATAATAATTGAGATATTTAAAAAAAAAGCATTTTTGATATATCTCGATCAAGTTGCGATTATATGACTTTTCATTGGGATGTTATGAATATAATTTTTGTATCCATTTTCAGATAAATCCACCAATCCCAAATAACTGTTACACTTCTAGGCTAGTTATTTATGTTCTTGTAAATACCTTTATACTCAACTGGCACAATAATATTTACTAGTCAGATAAATTAAGCTATGTAATCGAAAAACTTACCCTTTTCCACAAAAAACACTCAAATAATGTACCACTTGGATGTACACAGTAAGAACACTATCATAGTGATCAGAACTAACGCTTTCTAACCTAAGGCTGTCAAATAATGCAGAGGCAGATTTAAATGATAGTACATCACATATATTGCTGCAGGATATATATATATATATATAAATAAATGGAATAAAGTAGAACGGCCAAGTTAAAATAGTAGAATAGGTAGCTTATCGTCCAGCGTGGAGGCACCACTCGGCGGCTCTCTAATGTGGTGGAGCCAGAGAGCATGCATGTCGTATGCGCACATATTCCCCCACTTGAATGCATGTGACTTCACCCCTTTTTTCCCACTGGTATTTAGTATTTAGGCCTAAGGTTAACGTGGGGACTTGAGAATAAAATGAACATTAGCACAATGTAATTTTAATTGACATTTACTATTTTACCTTAGGTGTTTTTATTATCATTATTTGCCAAAGGAGGGAAATGCTACTTTTCAGTAAGGCATTACGATCAGTAATGGTAATTTTTCGTGTGACTAACACTGTAAAAATGATTAAGACTCATTTATTGTGGTCACTTGTAATGATTTTACTTTCGGTAGGTTAAAGCTCCAGGAACTTTGGTTGTCTCCACATATGCCCCCTGTCCTGACGTAAGGAAAGTCGTGACTCCTGATTTAAAAGCTCCATCTATGGGTACAACTGGAACACTGCTCTACGTAGACTTATCTCATGATGCTCACAGGTTGGGAGGATCTGCCTTAGCTCAGGTAACAATCTAGTGGACTATCTAATAAGCATAAACTAAGTAACAGATAATTCTCTACAGATGAAAATACTCATCGCATTTTTATTTTTCAGTGTTTTGGACAGCTTGGCGATTTATCTCCAGATCTTCATGACTCAAAAGACCTGGTGAATGCATTTGCAGCAACTCAACAGCTTGTCAAAGATGGGTCTGTCCTTGCTGGGCATGATGTCAGGTCGGTACATCAACACAAATAATGCGTGATTCAAGTACTTCACGAAAAATATGTTTTCAGTGATGGTGGTTTGATCGTTTGCCTTCTGGAGATGTGCTTTGCTGGAATCTGCGGTATAGACGTTAACGTCAAACACCGACAAGGCAAACCCATTCCTATTCTATTCTCCGAGGAAGCTGGTTGGGTCTTGGAAGTCCTTGATAAGGATGTTGATCACTGTATGAATGTATTCAAGGTGAGTTTTTGAATTGCTTGTAATATATATTTTGTAGTTAACGGGCCCGGTGAACATCCATTTATGTTAAATGTTAATATATACCGTTTTATGTTTTTAGCAACACAAAGCTCCAGTATTCAAAATAGGAAAATCCGTCGACTACGGTATCAAATCCAAGGTAGCAATAGCTGTAAACAATGCATGCCTAGAAAGTACTGTACTGCCTTTAATGCGCATGTGGGAAGAGACTAGCTACAAGTTAGAACTACGACAAACCATCAAGGAGTGTGCAGAGTCGGAATTCAATTCTTTACGTACAAGGACTGGACCTAAATATGCCCTCACATTTGATCCTGATGTTGAAAGGTAATAAAACAATTTTGAACTATCACAACACGTTAAAGTCAGTATTTATAAAAACATCAATTTTGTAAGCATTTTGGATCAAATATTTTTTTATACTAATTAAATCATACTTAGTGGCAATTTGTTTAAAAATTCAATTTCCCAGAACCCGGGACCATGTTGGCACCTTCTCAATCGCCAATATACAGGGTGTTAGGAAAATAATATTCATAACTTCAAGAGGTGTTTCCTTGCATTATTCTAAGCAAAAAAGTTCATTATAACCTATGTCCTAGGGGCCTAGGACATAACCTTGTAGGACTCCTACCGATATCTTCATTTTTGCACACCTCACACTATCAAACTCTGTTTGATATCTCTCTTGCAGATAGGTCTCCACCAATGCAATGCTATAAACGTTATAACAAGTCAATTTTCTCAGAGAAATGTCGTGATTTAGGCAATCGAAGGCACACTTGACAGTAGATCAAGGATTGTATCAGTAAAAGAGATATTGGTCTGTAATTTCCTGGGAATGTGGAATCATCTTTTTTGAAAATTTGTATAACAAGAGCCAGCTTGAGACAATCATTAAAGATGTTGTTTTTAAGCACATCAAGGGTACCGGAGAATAACGACAATATAGTCCATCCGGACTGATTTTGAGAAAATCGGTAATTAAGGTTTACTTACTTGTTGGAAAGTAAAATTGATGAAAAAATAAGTCGTAAAGAATATCTTTGCTAAACAGTGTATTTATTGGTAAAATAGATTATACAAAATGAACTTTTACTCAAAACTAGTAACGTAACAAACAAAAGATGATGTTCAACTCTGGTGTCACTGCTTTAAGCGTATATTGGCGGGTCATCCACATATTTATCACTGCTGTCTTCTGGATGATCAAGAGATATTAACTGTTGATAAAATGCCCTAGAATCTGCTCTCTCTAGAAATTTGGTCAGATCCTGCAGATCCTTCCATTTCTTACTTTTAATTTCGGATTGGGCCCTATTAAAGTTTTCTCAATGTTTCCTCTTCTCGTTTTTGTTGATCTTTTTGCGTCTTTTTTAGATTCTTCCGAATTACTTTATCAAATTTAGAACTAGCATATAGGCCCACGTATGTCGATTTGTGAAAAACTATGCGAGTATTCTGTCTACAAAACTTGAGCATCCTGAGTGGTCGGGTTGGAAAGGGGAACTTCGTTGGATAAAACGGCGATAAAAATGTACTCCAATCTTGAAAATCAAAATTTTTGCCACAATCAATGACTTCAAATGGTGTAGGTTTCACACAGCAATGTTTCAATTCATCTCTCCAGTCATCCTCAGTGTATGGTCTTTGGTTCACGAGACTCATATCGCTATCACACTCGCGGTATGAATGCTCCCTGATCGGGAATATTTCTTCCACAGTAGTAAAACGATTTTTCTTGGTAACCAAGTAATGCAAAAACCAAATAACTGTAAAGTTTTTATTTTGCCCTGCACAGGAGTCACAGTTCTTTTACTTCCATAGGCAGGATGTTATAAAAAAAGTGATACAGCATAGAACAGACATCGTCAGCTCCTTTCTTAGCAATAGATCCATTGTAGGTATAAAAGATAGAATTTGAGTTTGACAGAATGTGGATGTTAAAACTGATGAAATTTAGTTGCCGCTTATAGTAAACATCATTTGTCGTGATGTTTGGACAGGGCAAGTTTTTTTGTAATCCATCGTGATACTTTCAATAGCGGGGAACTTCGATGCACCTTTCCGGTAAGTTCTCTTTAGACTGTAAAATCGCTTACTCTTTTTTTGATGTCTTCTTAAGTATCTTTTTCTCCAAATTATTACTTGCTGACTGCCTAGTTTGTTCCGTGTGGGAATTTAAGGTACCGGTAAGTGAAGATATATCAGCTTTTAAGGAATCACACGTACTTCAAGTATCTTTTCGTGGATAACCGAACGATATATTGAAGTTGTGATTCAAAGATTTCTCGGAAGGATTCATAGGAAATCTTGTTTTAAACATTGCCAATAGAATACATTTTATGTAATTTTGCGATATTTAGATTTTCAAGTAGGTACGGCCGATGCAACGCCGGCTTTTCATATGGACTGATGCCGTTTTTCCATACACGCGCAGGGACTCATGGCATTCTTCCCCGGCACAGGAAATCTTATAGCTGTTGTTTTGTGAACCTAAGCCCTTTTTACAATTTAAGAAGCTGATTACAAGATAGCATCAGGAAAATGCCACCAAAATAAACTGAAAGCTCAATTTAGCCAAATAATGGACTAATGCCGTTTTTCCACGGTGCCCTTCACATATTAATGAGGCTAGTTAATTTTAATAAGATGTGTGTTATTGGTTTGTCCTCTTATATACCTTTTGCAATTGTCCCATTTTCCTCTTAACAATGTTTAATGTGGCTTCTGAAACTAGTATCGTTTATTCTGGTTACTACTTTTAATGAAGCAGAATTCAGTGACTCCGTATAATAAGTTATTGCTTCGTATCTCTATTGGTATTGGTACAGTGTGTCAAGTAGGAAAGTTCACTTTTTTATTTAAGGAAAATTATAAACATAATGAAAAAAAAATATTTATTTCTATAAACATATTCGTAAATTCGGCGGGTTTTATTTCTCAAATATCATTCCGTCCAAATGTTTGCCGTCCCTTCGGACACACTCGTCTAATCGCGCGCGCAAATTCTTGCAGAGTTCCGAAGTAACGTTGTTTATTTCTCGTCGAATGTTGTCTTTAAGCTCCTCCAGTGTTTGTGGATTATTGGAATACACTTTCGACTTTAGATAATCTGGGAGGCCAGTGAATGTCTCCAAACTTCGATATAACTTTTTAAGGAAAAAGTGCTTTCACCGTGTCCATCGATTCTCTGGAAGTATGGGCATTGGTCCCATCCTGTTGAAACCATGTGTTTTTGTTAAATCGACGTTCTGTTCTTACAATAGGAGCAAAAAAAGTGTCAATCATGTCCTTGTATTGCTTGGAATTGACTGTCAATGCATGACCGTTTTCATCTTCAAAGAAATACGGCCCAATAATACCGATAGAGGATATGGCGCATCAAACAGTCACCTTTGGACTATGTAGCTGTTGTTGATGTAATGATTGGATTTTATAAGAATGAATGGGTTGACTGAAAGTAGAGCCTGTTTCACGGAACCTCTTAATCCACTTTTTCAATAGGTTCTTACTTGGGGCATCTCTTGGTCGGCGAATGTTGTATCGTGTACAAAATTTCCGAAGGGCAGCTGCGTGTGAATCAACACTCTTAAAGTAAGCCTCGATAGCAAAAGCACGTTCCGCTCCGATACAACGTTCCATTGTGACTATTTAACCCGCACGCCGAACGCGTCGATGAAGACCTCTTCCCACTTCCTCGCGTATACGGTTGCCGGGACATTCAAATTTGAAGTGTGAACTTTCGCACTGGACACCCAAATACAAGGTGGGCCATGAATTAGTTAACATTTGAAAAAATCGTATGAAAAAAACAATTGATATATTTTAAAAATTGTTTATTCACAAGAAAGCTAATTAGTTGGAATTCATTTCTTGAAAATCATATCATCTAAATGATCACCGTTACGATTTTTGCACTCTTCTAAACGTGTGCCGAAGTTTTCGAATACTCGTCGGCATAAAGACTGCGAGATCGCCGACATCTCTTCGTTGATGTTTTCTTTTAGTTGACGGAGTGTACTTGGTTTATTGATGTAGACACGACTCTTCAAATAACCCTATAAAAAAAAGTCTGGTGGGGATAGATCTGGACTTCTGGGTGGCCATGGGATGTCACCTCGTCTGGAAATGAGCTTTTCCGGAAACATTTCTTTGACCACCGGCAGGGACTCGTTGGATGTGTGACACGTCGCTCCATGAAACCATGTGCTACGATTATAGCCAGCAAATTCCAGTAGCATCGGTGCCAAGAACTCCCGTCACATTTCCACATACTCAGTAGAATTAACAGTAACTGAATGTAGGGGCCAATGATTCCTTTTGCTGAAATTGCAGCCCATACAGTTACTTTAGGAGAGTAAAGTGGCTTCTCGTGTTTAGCGTTGAGATTTTCGCTACTCCAGTACCTGCAATTGTGTTTATTCACATGTCCGTTGAGGTGGAAATGGGCTTCGTCAGAAAATAAGAGATTGTCAAAATTACTGAATCGAGCTAACATCGTTTATCTTATATGGATGTAATTTCAAATTTAATCTCAAAATACGGCGTAATGATGTGCGGAAACTGGTTGCACGTTCTCTTCGCTCCGAACAGTCCGTGGGCCGCCGGTTTGCTCCATATTCAGTGTAGATCCTGTCTCTTCCAACTTCTTCAGCCATTTCTTTATTAAAGAAGCACTCGGACACTGACTTAAGTCGTGTAAATTGTATTCAACGCGAAATAAGCGTCACACAGTAATGAGCGAACTGTTGTTTAGATAAAATTGTTTCACACAGTAAGCGCGTTGCGGCCCCGTGAAGTGATCCATTGCGACTGAATTTCCGAGAAACGAGCTAGCGACTAGCCCCCTCCTCGCGCTTCGCGCGGCATCTGTTTGCGTGGTGTATTAGCTTTAAATATTAACGAATTCTTGGCCCACCCTGTATATGGTTTCTGTTGGTAGGCCTCAAAGAACTCAAATAATCGATGTAGCAGTAATAAGAGAAGAGGGAACTAACGGAGATAGAGAAATGGCAGCAGCACTTGTTAGAGCAGGCTTCAAAGTATGGGACATCACCATGCAAGATCTTGTGACAGGACAAGCTAATCTAGATAGGTACCGAGGAGTTATATTCCCCGGTGGATTCAGTTATGCTGGTAAGAACATATTTTTCTGCTTTAATGTTACCATATGAACTGGATCAAGAATTTCGATAAACTGATATTTAACATTTTCGTGGCAGTAAACCAAATTTTATTTCAGATGTTCTCGGGTCCGCCAAGGGTTGGTCTGCCAGTATCCTTTTCAACGATCGCGTCAAACGTCAGTTCGCTCATTTCTTTGCACGCCCCGACACCTTCAGCTTGGGTGTTTGCAATGGATGTCAACTGATGGCCCTCATTGGATGGGTAGGCGCAGCTACCCCTGCAGAAGATCACGATAAAGATGCTACTCCAGACGTTGTGCTAGAGCATAATCTCTCCGAAAGATTTGAATGCAGATGGAGTACTGTCAAGATTGAGAAGTCCAAGTCTATTATGCTCAAAGGAATGGAAGGTATGTTACCAATTGTACTTACATTGATTAGCTTTAAATAGTTTTTCATTCTCGATAAAAATTTAAAAATACTAAAGTGTGTCTCACAGTGGACTATTTTTGCTAAATCCTGTGAAAAATTGAAAAAACAAAGTATAGAAAATGAATGAAAATGATCACCTATTTCAATGTTAATACCTTAAACAATAAGTTAAGCATGGAATCGGAAATTTGCTTGACGTACTATTAAATTTGATGTTTGTGGTTCAACATTCGAACCTACTTTTTAACGGCAAAACTGGAGGGTTTCTGTATCATTCGTTGTGTTGGTGTCTAGAAAATATTTGAACATAGATTTTAAGAGAGTACAAATTTTCATTTCAAAACCTATGACCCGGATCAACTGAAAAAATATCCTTTTGTAGCTAAACCAGGAGATTTATAAAGAATTCCTTGATTTAATATGGGGATTAGAAGCCCTCCTTACACATATCGCATATTTTTTTCGCTAGTTTGAGAGATGTTTTAGAAAAAATTGACTATATCCGTTACCAGAAAGAAGCCTTCTCATTCGTCCATTATGATCCGGATCAAGAATTTTTATCTCCTGTTAGCAGAATTGGGCCTTAGGGACACGGGAACCTATGGATCATTTTACGAGTGGATCAGAATTGTGTAACGATACTAAGAACATTCATCCTCAATTCTTCATGAAAATTACCATGATGAAACGGTCAACAAAATAGGGCAACGGGTCATGCGGCGAGCGAAATTGTCAAAGACACATTCTCCTGATGGGTTGTCTGCGTAACTTCTCACAATAGTAATGCCCAGCGACTTGTAAGGTCATGCAATCTGAGCATACTTGATATTTTTTCGGGAATTCATCTATCCAAATAATGTTCAGACAATGAATGATAATTTCTTATTTGAGGTTATTGATGAAATCAAGCCGCAATTGTGTTAAAAGGGTACTGAAGATGTTAGTCGAAAAATGATACCGCCCAAAAATCGCTTGAGGCGTATTCCAATGAAACTGGGCTACTGAATGCCAGTAAACGCAACCAATAGAAGATAAAAATTTAAATGGGCATTTGGAGAATGTTATCTATGAATCATACCATATCTCCAAATATAAACAAGCATGTTATTTTTTTCAAAGTTAGAGCACTCCGCGTGAAGCGGACATCCAAAAAGGTGGATTTTCAAAACTGTTTCTATATCTAGTAGGTATGAAAGAGAAAACGCGATTTTTTTTCTTGGTACGTTTATTTGAGGGCTTCGGAAGAATAGCCGTACTTGAAATTTAGATTTTTTCGTAGGATTTTGTCGAATTAAAAAGTATTACATTGGAACATTAAATCTAATTTGAAATTTGAGGAAAAAATTGAGATAGAAAACATTTTATACCAACATTTGGGTAACTTCGGCTATTTTCATTTTCAATTTTTTACTCTAAATAAAGCCTAAAGTTTGTTTAAAATACACTAGAACTTTTAAAATGTGAGATGGGCAGTAGTTAAGGAGATAGGTATTTTTGTGAACATACATACATTTCACACTGGGTATGACTGTAGGCTCTTACTTAGGCGACTGGTTTGCGAAATATTTAATATGCAACAATATTAGTATTTCTAAGCTGTAATTAGTCATTTAGGCTATATTTTGGAGTTAAGAAAATCGAAAAGTGAAGCCGCCGAAATTACTCAAATTTTGGTTTAAAATGTTTACTTCCGGTTTTGCACCGGATTTTTTTTTCATTTTGAATTTTTTATCAAAATACAGAAAAATTCTTATATAAAGCATCCAGTTTAATAACCTAATGTGATGATTTTTAATTCGCAAAACTTCTCCGAAAAAAACCCAGTTTTTAAGGACGGCTTATTCTTTAGGCCCTAACTTATCAAATCGTGTTTTCTCTTCCACATTTACTAGATTCACAAACAGGCCCAGTATGAACTTCACGCTTCACGAATGCCTCCAAATGTTAGTTTTTTAATCAAAAAAAATCGTGCATTGAAACTGCATTTAAGTCAAATACATTTAATCTTTTATTGACAGGATCATCATTTGGTGTTTGGGTAGCCCATGGTGAAGGACGTTTTGCCTTCAGGTCCAAATCCATTTATCGCCAGTTGGTGAAAGAAAACCTCGTCGCCTTACGTTATGTGGATGACAATAACAAACCCACAGAAATATATCCAATGAACCCTAATGGAAGCATTGAAGGTTTGGCTGGCATTTGTTCTCCCGACGGTAGGCACCTTGCTATGATGCCCCATCCAGAAAGGTATTTATGTCTACCTAATATTTCGTGAATTTTTCATAAAATCAGTTCACATGACTAATATGTATGTTTCAGAAAGCATCTCAACTAACCCATTCATTTTCTTTTGTTAAAGGTGTGAACAGATGTTCCAATGGCCATACATGCCTAGAGATTGGTTGCAATATCAGAACAGCCCTTGGCAGAAGATGTTCTCCAACGCATATGAGTGGTGTTGTAATGTCAAATTCCATCCGGTTTATTATTGAGATGCCTACAGTACACCAACGTGGTTGAGCAGAATTTTGATTTGTGTCTTGTGATTAAGTTTGCATTTTATGCAGAATCTTTCGTTTGACTTGACGCTCAGGTATCCATTAACTACTGCCAACTTTGACTACTGTATACCTCAGAATCTCAATAAGTGTTAGGTGGAACTTTTTTAGACATACAGGCGATGTAGATTTATAATTCGCCGTCTAGAATTTCTCGACAAATCTTAATTCTGCTTTAAATAACTTGACAAAATATTTGTTGCATCTTATATAGATAATAGTTTATATTGTTACCATAGATTGCCTTCAAATACTAATAAGACTATAGATACATATAACTAGTATTTGCAAGACTCGCAGTTATTGAATGTTGTTTTGATATATTTTTATAAACTCCTGTTAACATTCTTATTTATGAGAAGTTCAATAAAAGCGTTTGTGATATTTTTTTATTTTATTCACACTACACCACAGGCTAATTATTTTTCAAGCATAGATTTTTTGATGAAAATATATTTTGCCCATTGCCCAACTGCTCGATGGTATGCAACGGTATAACTTCCACAATCGGAGCAAAGCATACAAACTTGGGATATGGCAAAATCTGCGGTTAAAATAGATTGCCAAATAAAACTTCTGCAGAACATATACTTTGCTTAATAATTGTATGTACAGGGTTTCCCAGAAATCGACGTCAAGCCGGAAACTGGGATAGGCCAAGTCATAATAGTTATCAGAAATATATAAAAAAATCTAAATCGTGTACTTTTCAAATCTACATCCTGTGATAATTTCTCCCAATGCTTCGTTAGGCCATGCTTCTTCTTCAGTGATATCTCCTACCCGAAAACGTGACACGAAGGGGCATTTTAATATTCAGGCGAAAGAAATTGTCCTTGACGTTTATAAGTGCGAAATATTAGAGCATCCTGAAATGAAAATTCATAATATTGAAAGACGTGTGGCGAACAAAACAGGCTTATGTCCTAAGTCAATTTTCAACATTTAAAAAAAAATGTCTCCACCACACAAGAGGCTGCATTACACGAAGCTGTTGGATACAGTTGATAACTTTGATCGGAGTGCCATCAGACGCAAAGTCCAACAATTTTTTAAAGGCAGGAACTTCCCACCATAGACAAAAGTATTACAGGAGGTTAATAGTCATGAAGACTTAGCTACTTTCAAAAGGACCACACTCTATAGTTTACTCAAACAACTTATCATTTTGAGTATAGAAAACGGGGCAGAAATAGTATTTTGATGGGCAGCCAAGAGACTAGATTTTATGGAGAAGAAATTATTTTAAATCATTAAAGAAATACCACGACCAGGACAGGAAGATTTATTACTTGGATGAAACCTGGATAAATGCAGGACATACAAAACTTAAAGTATGGGCTGACTCTACAATTAAATCAGCAAGACAAAAACCACTGGCCTAAAGAATCCGTCAGGTACGTGTATCTAACCAATTCGTCATGTGTTGTAAAAATGGTGTCAAGTAGACTGAATTTATGAGCTCACGCTGAAAACTTAGCTACACTAAACTTAGTTATATCTGGTAGATTTGGAACCAACACTTGTTAGATACTCTGCTTGTATGATTATTAGTTTTCTTGAATACTATATGAAATAGTTATTTCCAGGAAAAGGAAAACGATTTGTTATCAGTCACATTGGCAAACAAAAAAGGCCGACTACCATGAAGAAATGGACGGTAGTTCATTTGAACGAAGCTTGACGCAATGCCGTCATTGTACTTGATAGTGCTGCGTACCACACTAGAAAAAATTCCCACAATGTCCACAATAAAGGCGGAAATTCAACAATGGCTCCTATCAAAAGATATTAGTTTCAATGAAAATATGGTCAAAGCAGAACTTAGGTATCCATCTAGTCAGGCAGCACAAATATAAATATAATCTTAATGTTGTTGACGAAATGGCTAAAAAACAAAATAAGACCGTTTTAAGGCTACTCCCTTATCACTGCGAATTAAATCCCATTGAAATGATTTGGGCAAATATAAAAACTATATGGGTTCAAACAATACAACATTCAAATTTTCTGACGTGAATAACTTGTTTTATGAAGCTGTTAACAGAGTGACGGCAAACCATTAGAAAGATTGCACCCGTCACGTTCAAGAGATAATCGAAATGTGGGATCTGGACAATATGATCGATATTCAAATTGAATCTGTAATAATTAATATTAACCATTCGGACGATGATTCAAGTACTTCCAGCAAATAAAGAATTGTGAAACATATGTACACTTCTTTCTATAAAAATAATCATTTATTTTGTTAGATTATTCCTAGACCATTGAGGAAAATACGGACTGTACAATCTCGCTTTAGGCCATGTTGTTTTATCTGGGCGTAAATGGACTACGAATGGGGTATAGTCTCCAGCAAGTCTGTGTATACCGTACATGCACCTCATTTATGGCCTGCTAGTGCTGCAGCTGGGCTTTATCGTGAGAGGTACCCAAACGCTGCTCGTCATCCCGATCACCGAGTTTTTGTGAATGTGCACCGTTTACTCTCAGAGGGACGATTTCAAATCGAGCACTGGGTGAAGGAAGGATTTCCTTTCCTTTCGAGGACGTCGCACTACAAGTAGTCGAAGAGGACCTGAGTACTTCAGTACGTCAAGTAGAAGCAAGCACGGGAGGCATTTTAACATTATGGTATAGGATTCGGCACCAGCCTTAATTTTATTGATCAATTTCAATTTATTCAACCAATAACAAACCGGGTGCCGAATCACTACCGGAATGTTAAACAGTGCTGAGCATGGGGTCAGAAAGTTATTAATTTAAATTTAAATTTACTTACCTTCCGCTAAAAATACGTAAGCTAATAATCAACGCACGTTGTTTCCTATCACGATATTTAATGATTTTAAAATTAATCATTTGGTTTAGCAATAAGAAAAATTGCATGAAAAATTTATATACATTTATGTAGGTGAAAAATTAAAGCTTCCGCCTGTTGTTGGGTACTTCGACAAAATTTAAGCAAGGAGGACTCTTTATACTTTTTTTATTCTCTCTAGCTTTCAATGGTCTTTGCCATCATCATCAGGAGAGTAGTATGTGAGGATGTTGCTAATTGTTGTTTACGTTAAGGATGAGGGAAACACCCAGTAACATGGTGAAAGCTGGATAAATGGTACAATGGTCAAAATTAAATAAAATGACAAGAACAAGTTAAAAACAGATAAAAAAAATTTTTAGAAATAGAAAGTTAAACATTACAATGTGAAGCCACTTGATGATTGCACAAAATGGTGGGCAATTTCTAAAAAAAATTTTAATCTGTTTTTAACTTGTTCTTGTCATACAGCTCTGTGTATTTTATATAATTTTGACCATTGTACCATTTATCCAGCTTTCACCATGTTACTGGGTGTTTCCCTCATCCTTAACGTAAACAACAATTAGCAACATCCTCACATACTACTCTCCTGATGATGATGGCAAAGACCATTGAAAGCTAGACAGAATAGTATAAGTATAAGTATAAAGAGTCCTCATTGCTTAAATTCTGTCGAAGTACCCAACAAAAGGCGGAAGCTTTAATTTTTCACCTAACTGGTCTAGACGACAATGACCACGTCTCAAGTTATATATATATATATTTGCTTAAATTTTGTCGAAGTACCCAACAAAAGGCGGAAGCTCTAATTTTTCACCTATATATATATATATATATATATATTAGTAGAAGCAGTTTAAATTGATAACATTCTGACACTGTTTTCAGCACTGTTTAACATTCCGGTAGTGATTTCGGCACCCAGCTTGTTATTGGTTAAATAAATTGAAATTGACCAATAAAATTAAGGCTGGTGCCGAATCCTATACCATAGTGTTAAAATGCGCACGGGAGTGCCCAAAAGTAGTCCATCGAATCTTGCGAAGGAACGAGCTCCACCCGTACCACATACAGCGAGTACAATCTCTAGATTACCGACCAAGAGTTGAGCTTTGTCAATGTTTCACACCGGGAAGGTCCGCAATTTTTAGAGAAAATGTTATGGACTCACGAGTCGCAATTTAGAAAAGATGGTTACATGGATCTACACAACTTACATGAGCGTCACATAGAAAATCCATATTTGATGAGACAAGATAGATCACAGTATCGTTTTAATGTAAACATGTGGACCAGGATTCTAAATAGGAGAATCATTGTACCCTTTGAGATGTCAGAGTTCTTGAATGGCAAAATTTATTTAGACTTTTTACAAAATCATTTACCAAATTTATTGGAAGTCGTGCCACTAAGCATTCGCAGAGACATGTAATACGACGGCACGGCGCACTATATCTGTTCAGTTAGATAAAATCTTGAAGCGAAATTTCCGGGCAGATGGATAGGGCGGACAATTTCGTGGTCAGCACGCTCACATGACTTAAATCCAATCGATTTTTTTTACTGGGGAGCGGTGAAAGAAAGTTTTCTCAAAGCCAATCTAAAATTTAGTCGACCTATGGGACAGACTAATGGAAGCAGCTAATTTGTTAATTCGCTCGTCTCATAACCGGATCATTTTACTGCTGAAGGAAGTTTGAACAATTATTGCGAATTTATTCACGAACTAATAAAAGTGGCGTTACTGTCACTACTGAAAATAGAAACGGTAGATTCATAGTTAATGCTGCTAGTTAAAAGGGGCATGCTAATCTGAGCTTTGTTAGTGAAATAATGCCGCTGGAGGCAGCTGAATGGGGGATGGTCTACAGCTCTCAAAATACAGCAATTTGAATCATTTTGTTGAAGAAAATGATAGGTCGAGACATTAAGGGCGCCCGCAAGAATTTTTGCCAAGAGGGGTGATCATCGACAAAAGACAACTTTTTGCGAGCCTTCCCGACGCCAAAACGTTTTAAGAGCTCATTATTTTATTCAATTAATAAGGTCTTCTCAAAACCTTCCATGAAATGAACCTTATAACCATTTACTAAATAAACTCTTTAATGAAATAAAAACAAATTGTAACACATACGTTTATTACATACACAACATGTATGTCCTTATAATACAAAAAGTATCTCAAGCTTCTTGTTCTTGGAGCTTGGCCAAGAAGGATGCCTTCTTCTGGGCGACGCGGTTCTTGCGTTCGGCCAGGGTGAGCTTCCTGCGGTTCCATCTCTTGGGTTTCGCCAAAGGAGCCTTTTCAGGTTTCTTCTCGTGTTCTGGGTTCGCGCGAATTGCAGCGTGAGCATTCTTGTACAATGTTTCGATCTGGAAACCAAAAACCAATTGTACAAAAATGCAAAAAATGGGGCAATGTAATATGCCACATTGTCAAGTGTTCCATGCAAACAACATAAATGTGATATTGTAAGTCACAACCAGGTGAACAGCATGAATATGATGTTGTCCAATTGCGACACAGATATTCCAGTGAAAGAAATATCTGTAATTAGATTTGGACGTACAAGGTGGCCGGTATGTAACTGACTGGTTTGAATCTTGAATATTTATGAACTGAAATAAAATACGTCCGTTTTTCCATCTTAAACTTGTATGAAAAATAAAAAATGAAAAGAGCCGCGCAAACCTGAGCCCTCTTGATTATATTCTCCATCACTTTTAGGTAGGTTTTGCTAAGAATATTTTCATTCGCTTCCGTAATATTGTTCTTCGGCTGCTCTACAGTATTTGATTTGTTGGTATTCACCCGTTTTTCAAAAATCCCCATAAAAGTCAGGAGCCGTTAAATCCGATGACCTTGGTGGCCAGTTGATATCACCAAATCGAGAAATTAAACGTTCCGGAAATATTGTTCGCAAAATATTCATTGTTTCCCTAGCTGCGTGACAAGTTGCTCCTTCCTTCTGGAACCACATGTTTTGGAGGTTGAATTGTTGGATTTGAGGAGCCAAAAAGTCTTGCACCATATCACGATAGCGCTCGCCAGAGACAGTAAGAGAATTACCTGCAGCGTCTTCAAAGAAGTGAGGTCCAACTGTGGCGGATTTGCCAATAGGCCCGGGCCTAGGGCAGCCATGTATTAGGGGCAGTCAATGGTGACAAAAAATTCACTGATGATATCAAGAAGTATCCGAGTACCTAAATATTCTAAAGACTCGCGCATATTAAGGCGCGCCGCACTGCACTGCATCATTATAACAATAATCTTACTAAATCACTTTCTACATTTTGTATAAAATATAGATATGTATATCAAAGGTATAATGTAATGTTTAATAAAGTATAACGTATTTTCGTACATTTAAGTAAATTTAGAATCAATATCGGTCAAAGTCGGCAATAAAGTAAATTATGTAGTTTATATAATAAGTACTGAGAAAGGGGCCTCGGGCGGCCAAGACTGCAAATCCGCCTCCGAGGTCCAATGACACCTTCATACCAAAAACCGCATCAAACTGTGACTCGACGAGGATGTAGTGGTCGTTGATGGATGACACGAGGGTTATCTAATGCCCAGATACGACAATTCTGCTTATTAACAAATCCGTTCATATCGAAGAGGGCTTCATCGCTCATTATCCGTTGTCGGTAAAAATCGTTATTTTGGGTATTAAGCTGCAATATTGCATTACTATATTGTCGGCGACTTTCATGGTCACTATGCTATAGTTCTTGGGTTAACTGAATTTTGTATGGCCGCAAATGTAAGTGTTTTTTTAAATAGTGCATAATGACGTGCGACGAATACCCAGTTCTTGAGAACGAGGTCAGGAAGACGTCTCAGGGCGCTCCACTACACTTTCACGATCTCTCTCGATATTTTCCGTAGTACGAACAGTTCGAACACGGCCCGACCTTGGCAAGTCTAACTTCACCTGTTTGTTCAAATTTCCGCACCAACTTTCGAATGGTGTTGACACTGGGCACATTATTTCGACCGAAATCTTGTCGTAGCTTCCCAATCGTTGCAACAATCGACTCATTATTTTAGTAAAACGTTTTAGCAATACAGACGCATTGTGGGATCGTGTAGTGCTCTATGATGAATTGGACACATGTACTTTAAACAAGTACTACCGCACCACCTTCTGAAATGCGTGTATCAAAAATGACGCACAATTTAAATCAGTCTGTTATATATTGGCCAACCTGTATATAGGATAAAAACATAGTAGAGTAATTAACCCCGCGCCGATGTTTATCACCAACATAACTAACTGAATGGAAGCTGTCTGTGTCACTAACACCCAGTCTCACAAAAAATTGTAATAAGCGAAATTATATTCTTGATGGTATATGACAATGTTCTTGGTCGAGAAATACAAAAAAATTTGCGCCTAAATGTCAAATTTGAAAAAATAACTTTTTCGCGTTCAGTCAAATAGTTATGAATTATCATTGGTGTAAATGTTTCAAAAAAATGTATAGTGGATGAAAATACCTTCAACACGAGGCCTATACCGTCAATTTGACGTGAATCTGAAAAAATAGCATACAAAAAAAATTTTTTTTATGCTATTTTTTCCATAACATGTTACTTATATAGCATACTGTAAATGTCGCGCTATTTCTACTACCTATAAAATTCTTCTGTACTCAAGGTTCCCTCTATTACCTGATCAGCATTGATGCCAGCCTTGATGTACCGACTGAACTGCCTCTTGAATGCTTCTGGGTCCTCATCCTCCAATGTTTTCATGTAGTTGGCAACGTGCTGGCCAAAAATGTGGCCTTTATGCACCTCTGCATTGAAGGATTTTGACTCATTGTCATAGCCCGGAAACCGTTTAGTGGAATGAGGGATGTTAAGACCGCCATCTACAGCACCCTTCATTGCTCCAAACACTCTAGCTCCGGTGCTAGTACGTTTCAGACCAACATCCAAGTAACACCTTGGAAAAAAAAATGTGAAAATTATGTGTTTGTTGTAAATTAAATGGTTGCAACATACAAGTAAGTATGAAGTCAGAGACACCATAAAGTCATTATTTGGCATTTTCGGCAAACGACTGCACATCAACATCATAAAACATGATACTGAGGCAGTCAATATGCTTCAAAGTACCAATGTCATATGACGCGCATGTGTCATAAAATCATCATGTAAGACAGTTGAGTTTGTTTTACACACAATCTCAAATAGGCTCATATAGTTTAACCAAAGTCAGGTAAGTGAGATTTGTCCTCACTCGCACCTTTTTTATGAGAAAACGAAAAATTTAATATCCTTGAAACATTCATTAACATAATCCTAAACCATTTCAGGGGGTACATGTTGCATCTCTTTCCTGTTTACATATTTTTTTTGTCCAAATGGCATGTTGCATTTTTCAAATTTTGCATCGTCTATATCTCGAATACTAACATTAAGATAGGAAACAGAGCAAAAAAAATAATTTTTGGAATCTGGTCAAAAGATTTTTTACGCATATTTGGGCAGACTAGTTAAAAGGGGCGTTATGCAATAAATCAGAATCAAAATATTTTTCCCTCTAGGTGCGAAAATCTTGCCTGGACTAAAAGACACATATTTTCATTATTTCAGATCATTACTTGGAAACATTTTTATATTATGATCAAGACAAACGTTTTCCTTAAAGTTATTGATAATGCTTTTTGTATAATGATTTATTTTAGCATGTTCTGTACCCACTATTTTATAGTTACCTATTTTAAGTGCTCACCTAAATGCTCCTGGACCATTGTCTACACCTTCAACATTGTATTCATCACCTGTCACATCAGTGGTGCCCTCATACAATGTGTCCAATCCAAGTTTCTTCAGCAAACGACGTGCCACCAGTAGACCTGTGGCATAGGCAGCAGCATAGTTGGTCAAACCTATTTTAATGCCATACCTGAAAAAAATATATTGATTGCAACAAATAAATCTTGAAATATATAACCATCCAGGTGGCATCAATACTATCAGTTATGCCTCTGTGACCAGAGGCATATTTACCCTATGGAGCCAGTCAAGGATTTTCCTCATAGTCTCTGGTGAGGATAGTTAATTTCAAGGCAGTTGTCATTAACACGTTCGCTATATTTTTTTACATGTGTCCACTATGTGAAATATATATTTTACATTGAGCACTAGTGGGCCACCATATAAAAAAGACATTGGTCCCATCGAGGCCACATTCCTGATTATGGAAGAATCTAAGAAATTATATGTGTGGCGTATAGCTTCTAGGCCATGTTGGTCCATTTCTGCAGGCGTACATAGGTAAATGAATGCCAATGGCCCAGCAGCTACTAGAAAATGCGTTGACCCCAAGGGTGCCATGGGACCAACATAGCCTGGTAAGGCAAAATATATGTATGTTGGACCAATGTGGCCTGCTGAGGTAACATGAGTGTTGGTCCTATAGGACCAACGTGGCAGTGAACATGTTAAATTCATATATTAAGTGTTATTTTTTCAAGAGTGGAGATAATAGTTCTGACATTAGAGGCTTTCAAGACATGCACAAGCCTAAAGAAGGTAGATGTTTCCACAGGTGATTATTTAAATCAAATGAGTCAAAAGTATTCACTAAAACTACAGAATTTTGGCAATGCGAACATATATAGGCTTGGCTCCTAATCTCTTCAAATTTGCTGTCTTGAGCTACCTTAATCAACAGTTGTTGCTTTTTTCCATTTCTTTATAGGATGACAAACCTTGATGTATAATTTTACAAATTCTTGAAACTAACTGTACATTCAGTTTTCATGTTACTGTTCATTATTTTTTTGCCAACTGTAATTTGAAACTATATTTTAAAATGTTTTATACTAGTGATCTACCATAAAAGCTATTAGAATATGAATTTCATCAAGCCTTAAAAATTGGACTGCTAATTGTGAATTATTGTACTCTGCCTGGGTAATACTGAACTAATCATTTAAAAATCAATCAGTGACCAAATGGCAGACCTTTGAAATCATCTAGGCTACCTTTTTGACTATAATTTGATCTGATAAAATTATAGCTTTGTAAGTGCCCTTGATAATTATTTAACCACAGATAAAAGTTTCACATTTCAGTTATCAGCTGAGTACTAATCTGCAACTTTAACTCTGTGACATTTTTGACTGCACTAAGAAAATGGGAGGACAAAAATCATAAAAATATTAGAATGTGTAAGAGCAGAAAAATTCCCTGCTAGAGATTTCCAAATCTTTGAAAAATGTACTGCATAAAAGCTAGAGATATTTTGCATGCTTTTAAGTACTTTACTACTAAATTTCAGCTTACCAACAATTGAATTTTTTATATATTCTTGTTTAGGTGCTGAATTATAGATACTCAAAACAAAAACTATGAGTTAATGATACTTCTAAATTGGGTTCATTTTCACTGTCCAGCTATTTTGCTACACATGTTTGACATTTCTGGCCTATTTTCATATATTGATATCAGACTGCTAAATTATTAGAATCTCACTTAATGTAAGAGATGTAAGCTGCCATGGAACATACAATTTCATCGGTCATCTTGCCTGATTTTGTAGCTCTTCTGACAACTGTGTGTGTGTGTGTATACACATTGCAGGTAGATAAATTATTTATTCAGTTTTACAGCTATGCCTGAATGTAAAAAGTATAGATTAATGATGAAATAGTATGTCCTATCATGTGAATACATAATGTGACCATATTTCCCACTTTGCTTTTATGCTCTCTCTCTCTCTATTCCAGTTTCTTAGACAAACAGCTGGAGATGCAAAATTATCCAGCTTTCCCAAAAATGCACAAAAATACCTATTAATGTCATTTGAGATTTTTTATTGAACAGATAAAAAAATATCTGACTGGAAAGCAACAAGCAATAGCAACACTGAATAGAAAAATCAAATTTTTTGACAGAAGGTTGATGGCTGGAAGTGTTCAAACACTTTTGCACCAATGACCATAAACATGAAAACCTTTGTACTTTAAATTAGTACAGGTACTGGTCCTGGTACCCACATATTTTACATTGACAATAAATGTGTGGAATTCTTCACAAATTGAGTTCACAGCTAAATGTCAAAGGTACTTGACATCAAATAAATCCATGAAGTTCTTCATGCAATTAGAAATTGTTCTGCTCAAATCAAAACCACAACACATAAAAACTCAAAATGTTTCTAGCAAGATTTTGTGGTATGGTTGGCAGCACTGTGAACTGTCAGATAATCCATGAATCTTTTTATTGATGTAAACTCAGCAAAACAATCAGGATGACCTTGACAAAATCCATGAATAGATTTGTGAAGAAACTGTTCATGCACAATGTGCATTACAGCTACTATCACAGTAATTCTCTAGCTAAGCTACACCTGCCTTTTTTGTTTCTACATCCAAATAGGCACTAGGTTTGGGTTGTAAATGATGGATCCTATACATACCACAATGTTGTGATATTGAAGAAATATAAGAAAATAAACGAAAATATGCATTCCCATGCATATCAGCTCTCCTTTTAGTCTAGAATTTGTTTCTCTTCGAGTTACTAGTGAATTAGATATGTAGGGTTGTGTGGAGTTTGAAGTCATACATACAAATTTAATTATCAAGAATATCCATCAACATGAAAACCTATTAAATAATGAAATCTTTCAATAAAGCACAGTCATTAAAATTACCGCGATTTGTTCCTCTGACAAATGCAAGAGCAAGTGAACATTCATCACATGCATTGTGCAGTTTTTTTAATTGTGGTTAATATTTCTCTGTAAATGACCTTTGCAACTGACAAGCCTATGCAGTAGCATCAAAATCAAGTTTTCTCTAAGAGTTAACCCTACTGATTGACATAAATACTGAAAGTCCAGTTTCTAATGCAGGCATTCTAAGCATCTCTTCAATTTTAGCTGCTGATAAGCATGAAGCAATTAGGAATCAATGCCACCATGTTTCTGGTCCATGCAATTAATTATGAAATAATACTTACCTGGGCAATTCATGGGAGTAAGCGGTGCATACAATTCTGTCTCCTTCAATCTGGGAGTAAACTATTTGGCAGGTAATATCGCGGTTGGAGAAACGAACTACCAGCCTGTACTTGGGGGTGTTGTATTTATTTTTGTCTTGGACGATAAGACGTTTCCTTGCATAGTAATCAGTTTTACCCTGCCTGCGCCTCTTGAATTTGACTTGGAAACGCTTGAAGTACTGCTTATTCTTAACTACTTTCACGAATGCCTGAAAAACCAAACAAAATACATTAAATATGACATGACATGATGTGAACACTGCTGAAAAATCCACAATCATCCGACTTCCAAGAGCTCGAAACATATCGAACATCAAATGGAAATGTTATTAAGATATGGTCTAAATAGTTCCGATTCATATTTTATCAATTGCACTTACCATTTTCGTAAATTAAATTAAATAACTAGCACTCCGGACTCTACGAGGCACAAGTAGCCGCCGCGGTCCTTAAGAGAAAGAGCGCTCATGCGCGGAAATGACGTATTTTGACGTTGACGTAGAACTGACACAATCTGTCAATTGAATTTTTTCCCCACTATTAACCGATCAAAATACATAACGTATGTGTTGTTTTGATCCAAATATTCATTTTTGAAAAGGCCGAGAAAGTATTAAGCTAAGGCTGATAAAAATATGACCCAGAAGTCTTCTGCATTGAGAAATCTATTTGTAACAGTTGGAACAACGAAATTTCCAAAGTTGATCCATTCTTTCACAAAGAAAGAGGTTTTAGACACTCTGATATCATTGGGAATTACATTTGTTCAACTGCAGACAGGAAAGGACTTTACTGGGCCTAAACTTGATCCTGATATGGAACAGTTGTGTTCAATAAGAGCAGAATTTGGAAGTACAATTGTAGAGGTAGAAAATAGAATCACTTTGAAATATGATCAATATTTTGAAAATTTCAATAGCGAAATTGGGAAGAGTGACTTGGTGATAAGCCATGCTGGCGCGGGAACATGTTTAGAAGTTTTACACAAAAAGAAACCTTTGTTAGTTGTTATTAATGAAGACTTGATGGATAATCATCAAATAGAGTTAGCAGAAGAGTTGGAAAATCAGGGATATTTGTATCACTGTACATGTTATACATTAGTTAGTGCTTTAAAACAAGATTTTGGTTCTTTAAAACATTATCCAGAGCCTGGGCAGTACATGTTTAGCAATTTTCTGGATACATGTATGGGGTATAGGTGATAAGTCACATTTTATTACTAATAAAAGTATTTACAACTAAAAAACAATATGCTTCATTTCTAAACATTCACACACTATACCAAGAAGGCAAATTCCTCCTATCTTTATTCTTTTCTAAATAATCTTCAAAGCCTTTTTTTGCTTCTTTCAATGCCCTCTCATGCTCCAGTTCTTGTTCTTTCTTCTTCTCCTCATCCCCAAACAACTCTGGGAATTTGAAAACTTGATCTTTTGGTAGTGTAATGTAAGCATACTTTATGTCATCATCCTTGATTATATATCCTTTTCCTGGGTCTCTCCTAGTTTTCGGCATGTGAATTCTTGTTCTTACATCAATACAATTTATCTTGTATATCTTTTCTAAGTAATTTCGGATATCGAATTGTGTCATTTCCATTGAACATTGGAACTGAACGACATTTGGTGGTTGCTCTTGTGTTGGTCTCACCAATTTCAACCAAAAATTAGGAAGAAACACACGAAGTTGTGGACCACCTTTTCGGTACATGGGGTACCATCTTGTAGACATTTTCTGTGCTCTGATAATTGTATCAGGTCTCTTTTACTATGATTTTTGTTGTGTATCTTCAATTTCTTTTCATGTTCAACAACTTTTCCTCAAAACGACTTCTAAATACTTGAGGTTAGGAATTTTGAAGTCGACCTGTCAAGAGTGTCAAGAATCAATCGGCTACAAGGATGCTCCGCTGTTCGATTTTCGTCCGCCGGCGCGCATGACGTCACGCGGAGAGTGATTATCATTTGGGTTGATATGGATAAGCTGCATATTTTCACCTACAGGCCAAACGGCTGGACAGATTTTCACACATGAGCTGTCGTTGGATTCGTCTTAGCGGTGCGAGTGACACTAGCTACATTGAAATTTTATAAAAAACAAAATGGTGGATTTTAATAAAAGATTTCAACCTTGTAATTCCTACTTCATAGGCTACAGATCAAACGGCTTGATAGATTTTCACATATGAGATGTCGTTGAATTCGTCTTAGCGGTGCGAGTGACACTAGCTACATTGAAATTTTATAAAAAACAAAATGGTGGATTTTAATAAAATATTTCAACCTTGTAATTCCTACTTCATAGGCTACATATCAAACGGCTTGATAGATTTTCACATATGAGGTGTCGTTGGATTCGTCTTAGCGGTGCGAGTGACACTGGCTACATTAAAATTTTATACAAAACAAAATGGTGAATTTTAATAAAAGATTTCAACCCTGTAATTCCTATTTCACAGGCTATTGCTCCACAACAATAGCGTATCGTCTCTTCACCTATATTTTAGTATGTTCTGTGGAGCAGGATTAACATGTTCACGTCATAATACTGTACTTTATTTATTCTTATTCCACAGAACATCCTAAGAAGATGTAAGTGTGAAAATGTACGCAACTCAAAAAGTAGAAAAATGAAGTTATCTTCTTTTTGCAGTAAGGTGGTGGTATAACAATAAATGGAAATGACTTAGTCTAAGAAACAATTTTTTTCCATTCCCTTTTACGATTTTTCTGGTCTTTCAAACTTTTATTCTGTTCTTTGATCCGGAAGAACATCCTTGACCTGAAAAACAGTCTTTTAGCTATTTCAGGGCAGTCAATGTTGCTGCTCTTCAACAGAATTTCACCTAGAATATTTTGCTTTTTTGTCACTATTCCGTCTCCATTGAATGTAGTGATTACCTTGTTCAGCTTCTCAATTTGATTCATGAAAGTTGCGAAAGGTTTTGATAATCCACACTCACTAAGATGGTCTATCCATGAATAAGTTTCATTTGAGGAACTTTTCAACCTCTCATCCTACAATTTATTGCAAATCTCGAGCTCATCTATTTCTTCCACTAAAACTTGCTCGGTATAGTCAGCTGATACTTCAGGTGCATTCAGTTTATTCTCGTTAATGATGCGGTTAGTGGTTAGTGGAATGTTTGGAGTATTCTCTGACTCTACGCTGCAATAGGTACTCTGAGTATACGCCTTCGTTCCGCCCCAACATATATGACCTTATTCTATACTTAAACTCTAGAGGACTTGTATGGTCATGAAGACCATCTTTTGTCCTTATTACTCCGAAAATGTTTTCTATCACATCTTGATTAAGACGTCTTGTTAACAGGTATTGGACGCTGAAGCGTCGTTTCAGATCCTCGCTAGCGCTTTTTACATTGACTTTGTCTTATCTTTTTGTGAGAGGTAGCCATTTTTTTTACTAAAGTTTGGGTCTTGTGGATAACTGTGGAACTTCATATCTTTGCAAAGATTCCATTTAGATTGATTGTCGGAATGACATCCCACAACAGCACACACCGCATTTTTATCAATTTATCAACCACACAGGGTATATATAACTAGTACAACAAATCACAAAACCACCAACAAATCGCACTATATTTATAGTATTAATCACGATACACGTGAACTGCAGTTAGGTTACGACAATCCTGCCGCTGGTAACCTCGAGTCGATAACTCTCCGGGTGACGTCCCGAAGCTCCGCCCACATGCGCAATATCCTATCTAAGGTGTATGTGTATCGTGGGCTACGAGTGTCTTCAATCTGATCAAAATCCATAATCTTTATTTATCCGTGTCGTTCTGTGAAAATGGCATATTTCAAATATCAAATTGTCAAAAATCAATTTATTTTAGTGAACAACTCTTACTATATATTTTACCATAATTTAAAACGATTCTAAAAACTTTTTTCTGAGTAAAAAATCAGTTTACACTTTGATAAGCCGTTTTTAACGTTTACAGCTCATCAGAATAAAAAATATATGTGTTGAGAAATGGCTTTTGCGTTAAAAGCCTGTGGTCGTATTAGGTTATACTCTTCCTTGCAGAATTTAATAAGATTTTCATCTCAAACAGCTTCGAACAGGGTAAGTTTAAATATGCTTCCACATTATGATATGGTTTCAATAATATTTATTGTAGAAAGGTCTAGTTCTTGGTGTGTACACTAATAAAAATGAAGATGGGGTGGAACTAACACTAGCTGCAGAGTGTTACAACAAGATAACTCGAGGAAAGCTACTGGAACAGATTAAATTGTAAGTGAATTCAAGCAATATTATTTATTAAAAGTTGAGTATCATGCTGCATGGATTTTTTTCAAATGCTTCTCAGAGCTTTCAATGTGGATATAACATACATAATATATATTTATAATTTTGTGACAGATTTTAGTAGTGTAGTTATATTGAATTTGAAGCAGCATAGCAGATATACCTAGCTGTATTCAACCTTTATTATGTTTTGTTAGGTTGTTAAATGCAATTTTAGGTCATAAAATAATGTTTTAAAGATTCAATGGCTATGAGATTAAGCATAGATAGCTGTTCTGCTAGATATGCACACAAATTATAATTTCACATAATAAAAGGTATATCAATTCATATAATATCAACAAGTATACAATAAGTTTGTATTTTTATTATAATAAAATCTGGTACTTGGAATTTTTATCATTTAGACTATTTAGAGAATACACATAAAAAGTATTTGATTTTTATAGTAATTATTGTTTCCTGACTTTTCACATTTAATGCATGTGAATATGGTTAACTAGGAGTGTTACTCAGTATCCTTCCCTCTACTTATATTTGAGAAATATCTTAAAAAACATCTTATTTAGGTTCTTTGATGAGTCCCTATTCTGCACAAGGGGCAGATGCCTAGGGTGCTGGCTTGATGCGAGGCATCCAAATGCCCAAAAATCAAGCAAAATTTCCAAAAAAATGTATGAGTTCTTGTTTTTCAATTGTTTTCAACAGCAAAGTAGGACCCTTAATTTTACACCTCTCTGGGGATTCTTCATCAGTTTGCCCTGAGCTGCTATGTACCTAGGGACCCCTACATGACTTAAGACACCTGGGATACTATAGACAAGCATCAGGCATATTTTTGCAAAATAGATACAAGTTACTATGAAATCCTTTCATCGCCAGATGGCTGGCTATTACAACTATCCTTTGTGTCCTACCTACCTACCTACCTATTTTAACACTGGCCTTGGAAAATTCTGGTTTAAAGGGTAGGCTAAGAACTCATTAATGCACTATAAAGAAATAAATCATTGGTAATTGATCAAAAACCAGCGCAAGACAGTATAGAAATAGTTTCATGTATAGAAATGTTGCTAATATCTAATCTGATATTTCGACCTGACCAGAAACAAGTGATCATTTATATTTTCCAGCATTCAGTTTGTCCTTCATCAGTTTATGTTGCCTTTATTTATTTGATATTTCACTATTGTTCTTCCAGTGATAGATGCATGTAGATGTAATGCATATCTTGGTGCACTGTTTTTAAGCATCAATTCAAAACACTTCTTAAATGGTAATTTTAAATAAATGTATGTAAAAGCAAAGTGATGTAGGTATAGCTCTTGAATGAAATAGAATAAATCATGGTTGATTTTCAATATGTATTTGATAACTTTTTACCTGGTATCTAGTAGAAGTTTGTTGAGTGAAGTTGAAGGTTTTGGTACAACGCGAGTAGTGATGATTGCTTCTAATAAACTTACTTTGTTAACATAGTGATTTGAGTAGATGTTTTGAGTCATATTTATGCCTAATACCTATGGCTTGTCAAATAAAGTATAAACAGCTTTCAATATGTTTGTTCATAATGCACTGAAGTTAGATGCACAAGATATTTAATAAATTTGTGAAAATATAGCTTATACACAATAGCAGGTAATGTTGACCACCGCATCTTGTGATTCTTCAAACACTAGTTAATCAAAACGTTATGAAAATTTGTTGTATAATAATGAATGCTATTGTGAAAATATAGCTAATCTACTTGTTTCAGGTCGGCGTCATCGGTGTCGTCCTAACTCCCATCTGTCTCAATGGCGACGGGTGGCGGCCCCTCCATACCCGCTCAGGGGCCCCCCCGAGACGGCCGCAGCAGTTCCGCCTCAACCCACAGCGCCTCCAATATCCCCTCCAATCGAGCTTCCATCCGCACCCCAAAAAGACCGCGCCCCACCTCGAACGCTCCTTTTGACGACAAAAACGCCGACTTCCTCTGTCCTGTCTGTTTCAATATGATCGAAGAGGCGCATGTGACCAAGTGCGGTCACACGTACTGCTATAACTGCATCACCAAATCTATTGAAACTCAAAAACGGTGTCCCAAGTGCAGTTCAAATCTCAGAATTGACGATATCTTCCCCAACTTCTTGCTGAACGATCTCATCAAGAAGCATAAGCTCAGAACGAACGGATATGAGGCTTTGGGACTCACTAGGGACAGCTCGGGAGAGTTCGCTTCTTCTGCGGACGGTCTTAGAGACTTCGTCGCGGCAGAGTCTCAAAATTTAACTTTGCCGGATGTTAATGTGATGTTGGAAATACTTACGCAGCGTAAACAGTTGCTAGAAGCGGAATCGTTCGCGGCTCAAAATAGACTTTTATTAGAATTTTTGAGGCACTTGCTCAAGCAAAAACGTGATCGCCAAGCACAGATAGCTAAAGAGATTACGATTATCGAATCGGACATTGAGGAAGTAGGAAATAAGTTGAAAGAAGTGCATAGTAAATGTCCCACATTGGAGGACGTGGAAAGAACCACTGCTGGAGCCTCAGAATCCGATGCATCCACTGTTAGTGCAATGAAGAAAGAGATGATTGAAATGATTGACAACATTGGAAGCAGTGCTGGGAGGAAAGATGAAGCAGGTATGTATTATCAATTAGCTACAATTTCGTCAAATAAAAGTTTTTTTAGGGGGTCAAAATCACGAAAGAGTCCTTATAAGTGAAGTTTTCCAACGTCAAAAGCATATATGCTTCCTCATACCATTAAACGCGATGGAAACTTTACTTTTCTCTTTAGGCAGTTTTTATGAAAAGCTTTCTTATAACCCGGTATCGGTGGTCACCCACACAAACATCAAATTTCGATTTATCGCTAAAAATGATCTTTTTCCAGTCTTCGTAAGTCGTCATTGCACCTTGCTAATCGCCTTTTCTTTTGTTTTTTTTTCGTAAGCAACGGCTTTTCTTTTGCCTAAAGTAAACATTTTACTGAATAAATATGCCATGTCCCTTAAATGCAACCTACGTACCCTATAAAAATGTAAACCAGACTTATGAATCCACCGACGGCGACGGCACGTTTCTTGTGAAACATTTCGTGCTGTTTCTTCATTCTATTTTGCGGTTATGTCCCTTACAGTACCTCAACGATCAGCTTTACAAATATGAACAAGAGATTTTTGCATTCTAAGACTGATCTTACATGGCTTTGAGTAAACTTTTTCTTCCACCATTTTCCAGTAAGTGGAAATTGTACCAGACCGCCCTATCCATCTGCTCAGGTATTCCGCATTAAGATAGTCTCTAATTGAACGGGCATAATGCGCCGGGCAGCCGTCTTGCTGGTACCACATGTCTCTGTCAATGATTAGTGGCACCTCTTCCAATAAATTTGGTAGATGATTTTATAAAAAGATTAAATAATTTTCACCATTCAAGAACTCTGGCACCTCATAGGGTACAACGATGCTCCCACTTAGAATCCCCCATCTTGTCTCATCGAATGTGGATTTTCTACATGCCACCCATGTAAGTTGTGTAGATTCCTGTAACCGTCTTTTTAAATGTAGGCTCAACAGGCCATACAATTTTCTCAAAAAATCGGCGTCTCCGTAACATTCACAAAACTCTACTCTTGGAAGATAATCCTGGGTTTGTAGAGATTGTACTCTGTACGTGGAACGGGTGGAGCTCGTTCTTTTGTAAGATGCGGTGGTGTACTTTTGGGCACTCCCGTGCTTGCTTCTATTTGACTTACTGAAGTACTCGGGTCTTCTTCGACTCCTTGTAGTACGACGTCATCGTAAGTAAAGGAAATTCTTCCTCCGTCATATGCATTATTTGGGAATCGTCCCTCTGAGAGTAACCGGTGCACATTCACAAAAACGCGGTGATCGGGATGACGAGCAATTTTTGGTATCTCTCACGATAAAGAGAGTTGCAGCACTAGCATGGCATCTACATTCCTCATAAATGAGGTCCATGTTGGCCTATTCCTGTACTGTGTACATACACATAGTAGTAGTAGTAGTAGTAATAGTGGACATTTATTTACTCCATTATATTGTGGCACTACACAATCACTAGAGATTTTTTCGCGAGATCCCGTAGTGAACAGAGCGGGAACAGGGAATTTCCCCTTCCTCTCGAAGCATGTTGCGCAAAATGTCTCCTTTAAGCTCCTTGATAAACTTTGCTGCCTTCTTTGAATCCGAAATAAAGAGACCTATCGTTTTTTGTGCAATGTATCTATATATCAATAAAATCAACCATTTGATATGACAAGTGCGGTTCCTAAATCTTCGATGACCTTCTCCCTCGTGAATTAAAATCAGGTAGACGTGTTCCTCCATTTATGATTTAATAATTTAACTCAATTTTCGGCACTGTGGAATAAGAATAAATATAAATCAAATTCAAGCGGATAACCAAATGAAAATGGTATTTACCATTTTGGGTTGGTATTTACCGATCCGTTCAAGCGAGTGTGGTTATCAGCTTGGTTATAAGATCCGTGACGTCATGAATCAGCTGTTATATGTCATAGTTATCACCGCAAAATTGTGGTATTTACCCAACTCGGGAGTAGTTTTATATTTCTGGTTATTATTTGAAATGTGACAAGTGAGAATTTTGCCGGGTATTGGATATTGTTATTGCACTTCAGCTTCATTTTTGGGAAACTTGATTCAGGCTGACTTAAGTTTTACAATAAAGTGGAGCACCTTATTAGTTATACTCATTACTGTTGGGACACTTTAAATGTAGTTCCTAAGCGTAACAAAGTATCCTGTGTAGCCATATACCACAAGAATATTAACATATGGCCATATAAACTCACTAGATGATGTCCACCTGTATAAGATTTTGCTAATTTCTTTTTTCATCATTTCTGCTGAATCAATAAATATTTTCTTTGACATGCCGAAAACTTTAGAGAATTGAAAGTTATCATAGGTACAAAACCATGGTTCCATCCTTAAAAAATTTTTTCTGAAAAAAAAAAACATTTCTCCCATGAATATTATGAAAGGTTTCTTATTTAAACTTTCCATACACCGTTGTAGACAAAAAAGCACAGATTATTAAGTGATAATAAACATAATTTGAGATTATATACGCACTTTTCTAAAATAAACAACTTGCAACAAAACCGCGGTTAAAACCAACGCGTTCAAGCGATTCTTGTAACTGACGTCATCAACCCGTGTGTCATCTTGAACCATATTATAACCGCGGCACATAACACAGAATTTTTGGTTATTCGCTTGGATTTGATTATATTTTCAATTGAGATGTCTGTTTTTTAAATGACATTGACATAGGACCTGTCACCCGCTAGTACCTCATCGACGTTAGGCGGTCAACCGTACCACGTGTTTTTTGACATTTCGATGACGTCACATCCTTCTTCCCCTTTTCCCGTTCTTCGCGAAAATTTGAGTATCAGTCTCCAGTAGAGTGCACTGTGCTACATCGTGGACTCGCGAAAAAATCCTTCATGAAAAAAAAAATAAAATTTGTAGTGATGGAAACTAAAAGATCATTACAGGGTGTGGATCTTTCCCATTGTTCCGATTTTTAAAAACGTGTAAGTACACAAGTCAGATTTTTTTTTATATCTTTCTGATAACTATTATGACTTGGCTATCCCAGTTTCCGGCTTGACGTCGACTTCTGGGACACCCTGTATATCCTTTATCGTTTCGGTCGGACCAGCGACTAAATGCTTCCGTGCCAGACATATCATTTCAAATTCCATTAACCCATTTGGGCTGATGCCCGTGAAATGGACATTTCAAACTTATTTCCCGGGGTAAAAACTAGCCCATGTGCTAACTCAGACTATAATCTATCTCTGTACCAAATTTCATCCAAATCCGTTCAGCCATTTTGGCGTGATTGAATAACAGACATCCACACTTTCTCATTTTTAATACTAATAGGAGTGGGGATTTAATGCTTACAGTAAGCGTAGCATACTCGCTGCAACAGCAGCGGTGGCCGCAGTAGTAGACTCTTCCCTGTGCGGGTTCGAATCCCCTCCCAAGAGAAATGTTTCTCTTGGCTATGGATGTTATGATTGTCTGTAGGTGGTAGACGGTCTCTGACTGTCGAACTCAGAGGTACCACCCGGCGGATCTCGTAGGCGGGGCCAGAATGTGTGCATGTCGCATGCACACGTGTTCCCTCGCCAGAGTCCGTGTGGTGTTCCCCCTTTCCCCTGTATCCTCCTAGAGCTCCACGGTACCTCATGGGTGTTTAGGCCTTGGGCCTTCGTGGTGGTTGGAGTATAAAAAACACTGGTATCTAACGCGGTTTATCCATCATTCATATCCAGTGTGCCACGTAGCAGCTCGATCGTAGTATACAGTCGAAAAAGACTTTAAAGTGATACATTAAAGTGAAAAAAATTCGGACAAACAAGAAATCAAATAATGAATATTATATTCTTCTTTATTCCTTATGGCTTTTGCGCGTGTGCACAATCCGCCAGCTTGTTTGTTGTGACTTCACTTTGTCTTGAATTCTCGTGCCGAAAAGTAGATCTGACACTTCTGCTGAATTATATCTAGAACTTAGAGTTACTGCGTTTGGTGAATAAGAAAAAACTAAACTTGATAAAATTGGTGGGGGAGGCTAGTCAGGCATATAGCACAACATAAGTACCACATGGTGTCTACACCTATGAACATTATATTCGTTTCTGTTTACAGGCAGCTCATCAGAAACGCCATCTAGATCGAATAGCTCCCTGGCGCTCCGTCGTCGGCGCATGCACGCCTACTTTGATGACTTCGTCGACTGTTATCTTTCCCATCGCTGCAAAGACGTGATTTTCGGAAAAGACACGGATAAAACTGCCAGACCGGCGCACGAACCAAATGTCGGTCTCGACCAATTCCGGGAGAGTCTCATTAAGTTCTCCACCTACAGCTCCTTACGTGTTCTAGCCACGCTCAATTACTCCAGCGATCTCTTCAATAACTCCACGATAGTCTCCAGTATAGAGTTCGACAAAGATAACGAGTTTTTCGCCATAGCTGGTGTCACGAAACGAATAAAAGTCTTCGAGTTCAATGGTGTTATCAAGGATATAGTCAGTATACACTATCCTTGTATAGAAATGGTGAGCAGATCTAAGATATCGTGCGTCAGTTGGCATACGTACCACAAAAGTACCTTAGCTTCAAGCGATTATGAGGGAACAGTCACGATATGGGATGCATCGACTGGCCAGAGAACCAAAACCTACCAGGAGCACGAGAAGAGATGCTGGAGCGTGGATTTTAACTGCGTGGACACACGCTTGATAGCATCAGGATCTGATGATGCCAGGGTGAAGCTGTATTCGCTGAATGAGGAGCATTCGGTGGCTACCCTGGAAGCTAAAGCGAACGTATGTTGCGTCAAGTTCAACCCGCGCAGTTCGTACCATTTGGCGTTCGGCAGCGCTGACCATTGTGTTCATTACTACGACCTTCGGAATATGAAGGAAGCGGTATCTGTATTCAAAGGTAGGTTAAATATCTTGATGGAGATGGCAATTTGACGTCATTGTTATAATATTTCTGTTTGTAATTGAAACAGCAAAAAACCCCAGTTGGTCTCATACATGAAAGAGAACTCTGCCATGGGCAACATACAAAGGGTACTGTAAAAGTTTTGCAATACAGCTTTATTTATTGACGACATTCAAAGTAATTTCCACCACATTCAATACACTTGTCCATCCGCCAAAGCATTCCTTAAACCAGCTCTGTCCAGTTTCACCCGGGAGTGCGGTACACTCGTCCCAAGCTGGAATACCGTTTTCCTATTAGCTTCATTTTCACATGCGAAAACAGTGCAAAGTCGCTGGAAGATCTGGACTGGAAGGAGGGTGCTCAATAAGTTTCAGTCCAGTAGTGGTCAAATACTCGGTGCAGGCTTTGGCGTGGTGAGTTGGAGCGTTGTCATGGTGGAGGTACCAAAAGTGTTCATTCTTGACTTTGGCCGCAGGTTTTTCATAGACCCTATGACTTTAGGCAGGCACTGTTTCATGTACCACTTAGCTGTAACTTCTGTGTGTCCAACACGCTCCACAATCCCGCGCGATTTGAAAAATGCAGCTATCACTTTCTTCTTAACAGATCGGAATTTTCTGACAGCTACGGGTGTGTCCTCATCATCAAAGATCCAAACTTTGTTTTGAGCCTTGGTCGGCACATCGTATTAATAGAGCCAAGTCTCGTCACCTGTCACGATTCTGTTCATATGCCGAGATTTCCCCTTATCAAACATTTTCAGCATCTTTCGGCACCAAGTCGTACGACTAGTCTTTGCTCTTCCGTCAGACTATGCGGTACCCAGAGAGAACAAAGTTTCCTTATATGTAAATGGTCATGCAGAATTGAATGAATTGCTGGTGCATAAAGGTGTAAGGTCTCCTCTACCTGTTGGTATGTCACCCTCCGGTCTACGTCAAGCACTTTTCTCACAGCAGTAAGTTTTTCCTCTGTTACTGACGTTCACGGCCTTCCTTCCCTCTCAGCGTCCTCCAGAGATAAATTACCCCTTCGGAATTCTCTGTACCACCTGAATATAGTCGTACGATGAGGACAATCACTTTTTTTAATGCAAGCGTCATTTCTTTGTCATCTGTGTCACACCAAGACCACTCTCTGCTGTAACAGACCTTATCCGTTGGACACGCCATCAAAATACTTGTTCTCATTGTTTCACCTGATTATACTGAATATCGTCACGATACACTTGGTTCCCTATAGCGTTTCTTTTTTTGCAAAACCTATGATGTCCGATTCAGCTGTTTCAGTTAGGATTAGGAATAATATAATCGAGTATTTTCCAACATGTATGTTCAAAATTCATCTTTATTATACCACGTTTCAGTCCGAGTGGTAACATTTTTCAAGTACAATTGTACTTGAAGCAGACGCGTATCGAAAACATGTAATTCTAAATTTCAAGGGCTGCGGGGCTGCGAGCGTAAATATTCCTACATCAAAAAATTAGATACACTCTCCCCCATCCCCTACAACCCCCACTCGTTTTCACCCTTTGCTCCGCCGCTACTGGACCGATTTTAAAAAATTACAAAAATGTTTCGTCCTTGGCATAGTAATAACATTGTGCCAAAATTTCAAACCAAATTCAAGCAATACTTTCCTAATTATAGGGTGACATTATTTTTCGGGGTGCAAAAAAAAACCGAAGCTAAAAATCAGTTTTTGGAATTTAAAAAAAAATGGCTCAACAATTTTTGATGGAATTTTAGGCCGGCTAACATGCAGATTTGTTAAAATGGCTCCTTTTCGAATAAAATTTTACAAAAAATTTTAGTCAGAATATTACCAGCAGATGGTTTCACTCATCTTCTAATGATTTTACTCTTTTTTTCTTCAAGGGCACAAAAAGGCCGTGAGTTACGTGAAATTCCTCAACAGCGAGGAACTAGTGTCAGCATCAACCGACTCTCAACTGAAAATGTGGAGCATCGGTACTCCGTATTGCCTGCGTTCGTTTGTCGGCCATGTGAACGAGAAAAACTTCGTCGGCCTGGCGACAGATGGGGACTACGTTGCGTGTGGATCCGAGAACAACGCCCTCTACGTCTACTACAAGGGTTTGAGCAAGAAGTTGTTTAGTTACAAGTTCGAGGCGATAGAGGGCGTGTTGGAGCAGGAGAGACGGGAGGACGATATGAACGAATTTGTGTCGGCGGTATGTTGGAAGCAGAATTCGAACGTTGTTGTTGCGGCGAATAGTAGAGGAATCATTAATATATTAGAGCTGGTTTAAGAATTTTAGTTAATTGGGTGAGCTGTGAGGATTAACGGCACGATTTAGTTTAGTAGAGGTTCCACTTCAATGAAGGTAATTATCTGAGCGTTACATAATTAAGAAAGTCGTGTTGGAAATAATGGCATCTTTATTACTAAGCAGTACCTCGCACCAAGATACAGCAATAATTACCATTTACTAACCGATTTTTTTTTAATAAATGTTGGATATCTACATAACATAAATCGTGTGCAGCTCCCAAACAACTTCAAGTATTCGGATCCTTCTTCTCTAAAATTTTTATTTTCCAACGAATATTTTTGCAGTATTGAATCGATACAAACGGTACACTAGCAATTATTTAAGTAAATGTTCAAGTGTTTGATGTTCTAATATTTTGTCGGGTGGTAATTAATTATATTTATGTACCAACACGACTTTGAAAAATACCACGCTGCATTTAAATGTGATAAATGATATATCAGACTAACTGACTAGCTCACAAATGTGTTTGTGTTCAGTGATAGAACTTAACTTCTCTAAGGGAAATTGCACACTACGGAAGCCAATCCATGACACTGCTAGAGGAAGGACGCCTATTATCGGGTACCTTTTTAAAAATGTTCAGTAAAACTTTTCTATTCATTCCCAAAAGTTAATTGGTTGACATATTTATTGCTTATTGTTCCTAGTTTTGTTTTACAAGAGATAATTAAAAATAAGTAAACACAGTTGCTGTTATTCAGAAAATTCGTAAATGGTGTCATTTCCTTAAATTAAAAAAAGGTTGCCTAATATCGGGTAGTGTCGATTCCAAATATCGGGTGCCCGATATTAGGCTACAACTTCTTTAAAAAATGCAAAGTAGCAATATTAGCTATCTAAGATATTTTATTTTACAGTAAGACACAGGAGAATACAAAAAATAAAACAACTATTTCTCAATAACCAGAGAATAAAGTTCAAAAGAAACAAGTATTTATCCATCTAAACATAATTCACAAATAAATGATTTCTCCTTGCCTATCTCTGAGCAATCTTCGTCACACCAACGCAGACACTTCATGCATTGGACCCACTTGGATCCAGAAATATCTTCAGAGAACCAGTTGGAACAATAAAAGCATTCCACATCGACATCATCTTGGTCCATGTCGTCATCCGTGTCTACCAATTGAATTTCATCACTATCAGAACTGCTAGATGAGCTTATCTTCATCTTTTTTCCTTTTGGGATCGATTTTTTATTGTTAACTTTTTCCTTCTCGTTTTTTAGTTTTGATTTATTTTGATTCAGGCTAACTTTTTTCGGTGTGATCTTTTTTCTTTTTTTCAAGCTCTCTTCTAAATCTGTCTTATAAGGCGTAGAAGTGAGGATATCTGTTGAACCACGTTTACCTCCTTTTTTAGAAGCTTCACCCGAACAACCTGGCCTTGGAGACTGATGTTTTGTCTTTAGGCTAGGTATAGGACAAATATCCTGAGGTACAACGAGCTTAGGTGTCTAAATTTCTTTTCTTAAGTTTTCAGCAACAGCAGGATCCACAGCAATCTGATTTTCGTCATTATCTCCTTCGACTGATTGTCTTTCATTTGAAGAATGGATGGCAAATTCGTTATCTCGGAAAATTGTCGGTTGGAATGGAAATATTCCACATTTTCTAAAACCATTCACTGCAATTTCACAACTCGCTGCTCTTAAATAGGCTCTTCCCATTAGTTCCGATATTTGATAGGAAGTTACAACTCTCCCTGGATTTGCTCTAAGCCATGTTTCAATTTCAGCAGCATAATAAGTTTTGAAAGGTGACATAAAGGAGACGTCGAGTGGTTGTAACTTATTTGTAGAATGGGGAGGTAGGCAGATAATATGGACGAAATTATCTCTGGCAATGTTGATAACATCAATATTCCTTGAATGAGAATAGTGTCCATCTAATATCAAGACAACTTGTTTGGATTCGCGAGGTTTTACATGTAAAATAAAGTGCCCCAGCCAGTCTGTAAAAATGTCTTGCTGAATCCATCCCGATGGATGACATCTGGCAACGGACCCAGGGAGAGCTCCATTTAGAAGCTCAGGCTTCATATTTTTGCGGGGAAACACCAACATTGGTGGTATGTAACGGCCGACAGCGTTCATACACGTTACAATAGTTACTAAAGCACCCCGTTCCGAAGCAGTTAAAGCTGCAACTTGCCTTTTTCCTTTCAAACTTATCACTTTGGCATGTTTGTGTTGTACTGTCGTAATACCAGTCTCATCAACATTATAGATTGCTGCTGGATTAAAGCCAACTTTTGGCAAAACGCTACCAAGGAGGTTGAAAAATGCTTGAACATTCTCTTTTGTAAAACCCTTAACACGAGCTGCAGAAATTCCCTGTGGTTTTCGGAAAGACAATTTTGGGTGTCTTGACATGAACGATTTCAACCATTTTTTTCCAGCAGCGGCACTTCGGCAAGAAAAAGGATGCTTAAGCCCATTACCTATAGCCAGCTGAAAGGCTAGTCTTCTTACATCTGACGCTCGGAGACCAAAATACCTTCTTTCCATTTCGAGAGCATACTCAACTAGTGCTTCTTCAAGTTCATTTGTTAAAGTAGGTTTTCTGCCTAATTTGATAGCAAGTAATGTATCAACCGGTTTCTTACTTATTACATAATCAATCGGTGTGCTTTTGGGCACGCCAAATGCTTTAGACGCCTTAAGAGTTCCCATTTCCTTGTTCTTAACTGCTTCTACTGCCCTCTTCATCGCTTCTGCATTCCATTGCTTTCTTTTTTTTGGAGGCATCTGTGAATAAACAGATGCTTAATAATTATAACTTCAATATAATGAAACAATATCTACGTCACAACATCAAGTGTTCCTTATATCGGGTACCCGATATTTGGCATCTTTACATGCCCGATATTAGGAAACATAACCTCAAAATATTACGACAATATATCTTAAAAAGCAAATCGAAAGGGACATTTTTCTAATCCTTAGTGGATGGCTGCAAGCCTACAGAAGACATATGAACATAAAAATAAACAAAACCAGACCTACCTTTTCATGAAAACACCAATTTAGTTAACACTTTCAAAATATTCGTGGCGGATTTCACACACTTCCCGTGTTTGTGGAAAGAATGAAGGTCACAAAAACATATGAACGTTACAGGTTGCATTTAATGTGGTTCCTGCTACATGTTGGTCATTATAACAGTAGATGGCTGTAGTAGCTCGTCTAATAAACCGCTGCCCGATATTCGGAACCTACCCGATATTAGGCATCCTCCCTCTACTATTTTGCTTTTTTTACACATACATGAATTCGGGGAGAGAGGATCATTGTTCTCATTCACCATAAAGTTAACGCAGACTGACGACATTGTAGTTGAATCTTCAAACATTGTTATGTTTTACAATGAAGATCAAGCGACAAGTATAAATATGTGGAAGACTCGTACGTTGACGAGAAAATGTTGAGAGCGGTAAGACATAAATTAAAACTCCTATGTTTGTGAGCTTACACAAACAACCGTTCGAGTATAGAGGCCGATCGCATATACTGAGTGACAAAAAAAGGTGAACACCTACGTCTGTTTATCCAATTTTAATAATTTCTGGCATATATGTTCAGTGACCCTTACTAGTAAAATGATTAAATTTTCAGCTTGACTCGTCAGCTTACTGCTGACGCTGGTTCAATAATGTGTTGAGGATCCACGACAATTCGACCCCTCTCAAAGTCACTTAGCTGGGACACCCGGCGAATTTTACTCACTATATACATTTTGAGCAATCACAAAAAGGCTTCTCAATAAGCTGCACGAAATTTAATATATAACTAACACCGTAAATGTACGAAAACTGAATGCTTCTTTATCACCAAACAATACACGCAGCCACCACAAAAATTTAACAGAAAAACCTGACCATTTTATTACCTGTTCTTCATGGCAGGATAAATCGATATGTCAAAAATTCTTGATTTCTAATAAACGTAGTTGTTTACCTTTGTTTGTCACTCAGTATATGTATGTGTGAGGGAGATGGATGAGAGAAAGCAATTCCTGTATCTTTACTGTGTCCTGCTGAAAACCGTGGCAAGACCTATAGTCCATGTTTCACTGCTGACTTAATCATAATAATATGATGTCAATAACAATATGTGCAAAACTTACCTACTGTTACTTTCACTAGTTCCAGTTAATGTGGTGAAAGATGACCTAAGTCGATGTGTGGTATTATTCAATTTCAGTGTTTCAAATCGACAATCACTTTAACAATGAGTTTTTTCTGTATGTAGTTTGTTCAAACGTGTTGATTGTAAAACGACATTTTACGTAGATCAATGTACCCTCTGCCATTTTAATAGATAAGAGTTGCTTAACAACATCATGTCGCAGAGTAAAAGATTAATATTTGAATAACAATTAATAGTTTTGTTAAACATATTTTAAAACAGGTTGTGATGGACAAAGGCATTTACAAATATTGTAATAGTGAAAGCAGCTATCGCAGTATACTAGGAGTTTCAAATTAGAGTCTCACCATTCGGAAACGGTAATGGATACGAAGTCGCTTAAATTGGGGTAAAGATTTAATCGGCTAAGTAGTTGATAAACTATCATTTTAGAAGCCAACTATGACAATATTATTTTTTTTGAAATATCTTGGGTTTGATAATGTCAGTGTATGACATATATTTTTATAAACAAAATTAAAAATTATATTCGCCTGTGGAAAAATACAATATTGCGTCTATAAGAAAAAATAAGATTGATAATTAAGGACGAGGACGAAACGTTATATAGAAATTCTAATTTTGCCAACATGTGGAGGAGAAAAAGTGGCACTGTTTATGTACTTTTTATTCTGATCTCAAGTCTACCCTGGAAAAAGTAAAAACGTTTTGGAAACAATTCTGTCTCTTTCGTTTATCTCTGTAAATACTCGGAATTGCGATACTTTCTATGCCATTTTCTTAGTTACCTAAATTCTCAGCGTTGCCTAACTTTAACCGAATTTATATCTCTCACCGTTCCCGAGATCTCTGTGGTGAGAGTCGAATTTAAAACTCTCGGTATATGTCTATGACTACCAAACGTGGCAAAGTTAATCAAGCGCTACCGTAGTAAGGCATATGAAGGAATGAACAGATTTGGCGAGTAACAGTGTCTCACAATCCAGGTCGGAGGTTATTTTCTATTATGTTGTCATCTGGTCCCCTATTATTGAAAACGAGGGAATAGAACCCCTGAGAGGAAGTGAGCATGTCTCTTGACTTTCGGTAGAAGAAGTACTGAAGTTTTGTCGCCAGTCATATGTAAAGACGAAGCTAACTTTGTGATGAAATGTTTAATGATATAACTGAACCTCAACTGTTAGAATTTGGGATCATTACCCAGGGAACATAGATTATGTCCACACTCACATATTTGAGTTGACGAAAAGTATTTTAGAGCTCTGCCTCATTGGGACGCCATGGCGACGTCGCCGGCGACGCAGGCCTGGCTACTTGTGGCATCCGAGGGTCGCCAAGGCGAGTAGCCATGGCATCTCGACAGTCAGTTCGTGTCATCTCTCAAGAATGGACGCAGAAGAAATTGCACTTCTTTGTTATATACGTCGCAGAAAAATGAAAAAAGAAAAGAAAAAAAAAGAAACTATGGGTTCATCCTTTTATATCTGATCGAAACCGAAGTGGCATTTTTTTTAAACTGTATGGTGATTTACGAAAATATCCTGAAAAGTTTTTCAATTACACAAGAATGTCAATAGTATCTTTTGACGAATTATTAAACTTATGTAGAAACGATTTAACTAAACAGGATACGATATTTAGAAAATCGATTAGTGCGGAAGAAAAACTATTTGTGTCATTGAGGTAAGCAGTTTTTTATTCAAATTTTCAAGAATGAAACATCTAAAGTTAATCATATACATCTAAAATGGAGGAATCTTCTGAAACATTTGTCATATTTGACGGTGGTGCACTAAACGGTTCACTAGATAAATACTCAGTGCTGTTTATCATGGGTTGGGTTTCTCTAGGAACAGTAGAATATCCAGGGTGATAACTTTGTGACGACGACGATTCTGTTTGTGACCAGTAGTTTTGACGGTATAATGTACTATCATCAATGTTGAGCACAGGGCGGGTTGCTTCATCAAGAATTGACATTATTTTCATTTTAGTTGCCATTTTTTTTTGAGGAGGCACGTTTTTTAAGGTGCTAACTAAAGACAGCATGAATAACCTGTCGTCATCTTGATTCTCAACCTCATATTGTTCTCTACTTTTGATGGATTTGTTAAGGGCTTCTAAAAATTTGTCATCTTCAGGTGCATTATTCTTTTTGGTTTTCATTCTTTTCGTACAACTTAAAGCTTGACTGCCTTGTTGCAAGTCTTGTTCAGTATCAGGATTTGTAGCTTCAACATCAGGATCTGACTCTTTTGATTTTTCTTCGACCTCGGACTCTCTTAACGCGACCACCTTCTGGAGAAAAAGCAGTTGCTTAAAAAATATATATTCGCTTTTACGTGTCCACGACCAGACCCAGACTTCAAAGATTTTTGCCGGTTCAGCTCTCGTGTGAAGCAACCACGAATACTTTTCCCCCTTTTTGGCAAAGTATCAGCTGAAAAAAATGAATAAGTTTAGTATATCCATTCATCAATCAATCAGTCAGCCTATTGCAGTCCAATAATGATGTTATATTTTCTTTTAGGTATTTTGCGTCAGGATGTTCACTCATGGAACTTTACTACAACTACAGACTCGGTCATACAACAATTTGCACAATAATTAGAGAAGTATGTAGCGTTATATGTCAATATCAGGAACAGTTTATAGGTCTTCCAAAGACAAAATGATCGGGAAAAAGTTGCAAGAGGATTTGAAACAATCGCAAACTTCCCTCATTTCATCGGCGCCATTGACGGGAAACACATGAGAGTAATAAAAACGATGCATACTGGATCACTATATTTCAACTACAAGTATTATTTTTCAATTGTACTACTTGCTCTGTGTGACGCTAATTACAATTTTCTTCATATAGACGTTGGAGCGTATGGAAAAAGCAGCGATTCAGCAATTTATAAAGATAGTGCTTTATATAATAATCTCATTAACCAATCTCTACCTGTTCCTGCGGCAAACCCATTGACAGAAAACGGTGACAATGTTCCATACGTAATAGTGGGAGATGAAGCTTTTGCGTTACATGAAAACCTCGTGAGACCATATGGAGGATACAATCTTAGTTACAAGCAAAAAATATTCAACTACCGATTATCAAGAGCACGCCGATATATCGAATGTACATTTGGGATTTTATCTAACAAGTGGAGGATTTTTCACAAGCCCATGAATGTACATATAGATTTGGCAAAAGCGATTGTAAGGACATGTTGCATATTGCACAATTTTGTACGTTCAAGAGATGGCTATTCTTACGAAGATACTCTAACGGTAACAGGACTTGAACCAGGTACAAGTCGAAATCGCGATAGAGGAGGAAGAACGGCACTCACAGTTAGAGACAAATTAGCAGATTATTTTGTTACTAAAAATCCATTACCATGGCAAGACAAGTATGTATAAATGAAAGTTAATAAATGTACCGACATTTACTCACCTAGTTGTTTTTTTTCTTGGTTTGTCATTTCGTCTTTTTCTTTAAATATGTTTACTATTTCGTCCCAACCTTTAATTTTTAAGTTACGGTCGCAATAATCATTTGATGAACTATCCCATAAGCAAGGCCGGTTTTGAATTTCTATTATAAATTTTTCAGTATCGAAACTCATTTTTCACATCAATTATCAACTACTATTCCGAGCGAGCTTCCAAAGTGGCGGCTGACTGGCGACTGAGTGAGCGAGGTACAGCTAACATGTGTACAATATGATGGCAACGACGCCACGGCGCCAGAATAGCCAGTCGCCACGTAGGGAGCTGTAGTTTGTGGCCACGCTTCCATCTTGGCGACGTCGCCACACCGTCGCCAAGTGAGTTAGGTAACATACATTCCAATATGAACTGTTTGGATACGTAACCGGCGACGTCGCCATGGCGTCCCAATGAGGCAGAGCTCTTAGCTTTTTTAGCTAAAAATTAGTATTTTGCTGAATTATTTACACACTTAAGATGCCTTCATGTTGTGGTGGTGTGAAGTGTAACAGTATCACAGTAATTCCAGTCTATTTGAACGAAGGCTTGTTGAAAACAAGCACAAAAGAAGTCAATAACATTACCTAACACCAAAGGCCACCGAAACACATAAAATATAAAGTTATGTTTCACCCATATCCAAGGTATGTGACATCATGTGCACATGATCTGTTGCCAAGGCACTGTGCTCAAAAATTGGGATCCAGAACTCACCAAGTCTCGTTCTTGTTCATCTTCCTTATAATATTGTTGTCACTGTTTTTACTATTCCTAGAATGGAAGTGAAAAATACCTAAAGAAATGTATTTTGGTTAACAACTTTTGATGAGTTGTATTTAAACAAATTGTAAATACTTATTAACAAAAAGATGTCCTGTAAGACCCCTGACGTGCTAGTAAAACGTACGAAATAAAAAAATAAATCCACATAATGCGCACAATGTTAATATAAATATGAAATTAGATAATTATATCCTAATGAATTTGAAGTAATGGACTAATGCGTAGATCAAGGATAACACTATTTTCATTGAAAGTGATGGTTTTACTTTTTTCAAATTCTAGCATTAGAAGTACAGAGATTGGGAAAAATATCACCCTTGGTTTTCATTGAAGTATCAAAAGAATAATTGTACGAATCAAAAAACCATCAATATTAAAAATGAGCCAATGTCAAAGTATATCATCTTCAATTTATTACCATACTGAAAGATGTTTGAATCAGAGCTTTGCATTAATTTAAGTAATAACATTTACCGAATTGACGTAACAAAATAACTCCAATGAAAATTAAATGGAAAAAGTACCTCTATATGTAATGATGTTTGATATACCGGCTATTTCATATTCAAGTCTCATCATTGGGATGTCGGAATGGTAATTTTTTTTTATATCGAAGTAGCCGCGCAGGCAGAAGCCTTATTGCCGGAACATCGCGGCTGCTATGGCGATCCCAAAGAAATTTTTTTAATACGATTTTTAAACTGCCTGCTAGTAGAAGTGGGAAAAGCTTCCTCTTGTAGATGGTTCCAGAATCTCGGCACACTCGGGACAAAGGAGCGGTCGTATCGGCCAGTTCTGTATGTTCGAAGTTCGACAATGTAGTCGGGCGGCAGCACCCCAAACGTGTGAGCAATATACTCGAGGCTAGGCCTTATCTGGGCCTTGTGTAGAATGAGAAGGTCATTCGGAGAAAAGTACTTCTTAGCCCTAAACAAATAGCCTAGCTTTTTCCCAGCAGCTGCAGCTATTGACGAGATATGGTCGAGCCAGATCTCGACTCCGACCAGCCGAAATAAGTGGCTCTTTGGCAAAACTCGGCCGTCCATCGAAACTGGATGAGCGCTAGGACGCTTTTTGTTCGTCAAAGAACAGTTTTGTGTTTTGGAAGCATTGAACTGTACAAGATTGTTGCGTCCCCAAGCAGTGATAGCCTCCAGGTCTCTTGTCAGAGAGGAAGTAGTCGCTAGTCTTGGGTTGATCGTGCAGAAAAGCAGGTTGTTGATATGCAAGAGAAACAGTGTTGGAGCCAAGACCGATCCCTGGGGAACACCCGCGTTGACGTTGTGGGATGAAGAGGAGAACCCGTCAATTACGACGAGTATCTTGCGGCAAGAGCCTAAGTCAGCAACCCATCTGCAAAGCTTTTCTGGGAGGCCATAGGATGGAAGTTTGCTTAAGAGGGTAGCGTGCCACAGCTGATCGAACGCTTTCGTGATATCAAGAGCAACGACATGAGCCTCACCATAAGACTGGATGAGTTTACTCCACAATTGAGTGACGTAAGCTAGGGGGTCCCCTGTGGATCGTTGGTGCCTGAAACCATTCTGCCTGTCGCTAATCAAACTGTGACGTTCGAGGTAGTCCAGAAGCTCGAGATTTATGCACCACTCACCTTACTTATAACAGAAAGCAAATCTATAGGCCTGTAGTTGTAAGGGTCGGTCTTAGATCCTTTTTTTGGTATGGGTTGGACATGAGCAAATTTCCAGTTTTTTTGGGAAGGTGCCAGATCCATAAGATATCTGGAAGAGACGCGAAAGAACTGGAGCAAGCTCCGCTGCTCACCTCTTCAGTACAATGGCAGGAATTAAATCCGGACCAGAAGCTTTGTTGATGTCGAGCGACAAGAGAACTCGTTTTACGGTCTTATGCCTGAATGTTACCTCCCGCATAGTGTAGGGAACCCTTTGAATTGACGGCACTTGGGCATTGGTGGGGACGTCCATGGTGGAGTTGGTAGCAAAGATCTTGGCTAGCACTTCCGCCTTGGCCTTTGAGTCAAATACAATAGTTCCATCCTGACACGTAAGTGGTGGAAGGCTACTATGTGAGAAGTTCTTTTCAATCTGCTGGGCCAGCGTCCAGAAAGACCGACTGCCACTGCGCTGCGACAGTACCCTATGCCTAACTTTCATATCGTGCTGTTTTTTGGCATTGCGAACCTCTTTGTTATATTTGTTTCTGGACTTGACGTCGGCTTGTCTGTTCTCTACAGTGGGGTTTTGTAAGAAGCTTCTGTGTGCCTTGATCTTCTGCTGGCGAGCAGTGTCTTACAATTTGTTAAACCAGACGTTGGACCCTGGTTTAGGCACTTCACTGTGTGAGGGATGTATTCCTCCATTCCGACGTGGATAATTTCTGTTATCGAAGAACAGACAGCCGACGCATCCACGTCAGTGAAACATACGTCTCTCCAAGGAAAGCTAGAGAAGAAGTCTCTGAGCATGTCCGTAATGCCAAGTTCTGCGGCCTGTACGAGTTTCTGCTGCCACAGATATCCAGCAGGCTACTGGCGTGTGATGAGACGCGGGGGAAAAAGTAGGGCTCGTCGCTAGCTGGGTCAGCTCTTGAGTAAGAGCGAACGCTTCGACTGCACGACCTGCTGCATCAGTCTTGTTTGAGCCCAACCAAAGCTCATTATGGGCATTGAAATCGCCGAGAAGAACTACCTCTGAAGCGGGGTGATTCATGTTCAGGATCAGGAAGTCGATCTAGACGGCGAGGTATTCAAGTAGGTCATCCCAGTTATGGTCCGAGGGAGAGCGATAAAGGCAGCAAATAAATTTGGGTGATGTTTTGGAGTGGACGCGAAGCTACAGAATGTCCTTCCGGTCTGATTCCAAAGAAACATCTCCGGAGCAGGAAAGACTGCTGCGGACAAAAGCCACGTTCTTTCTCAGATTAGAGTGCACCTCGTAATTTGGGAAGTTGAGAAGGTTAATCGGTGCAGACTCTGAGATTTTTTCTCCGCCAAGAAAAGCACGGCGGGACTATTGGATTATAGGTAGTGATGAACAGCATCAATGTTGCTGTTAATTCCGCAGATATTCGAAAAACAAATTTTGTCTTCGATGTTGTTCCCTCGAGCCCACCCTCCACCTGAACATTCCGAGAGTGGAGTGAGTTTACGTCAGGAGTCGAGGGGGGAGTGCTCGAGGGATCCATCATCATTAATTTCTTTGTTTTGGGAGATAAGACACCCTGGGAAAAGCTAGCGGGTGGTACCGCCTCGGTCGACTGGTCCTTGTTTACCACCTTCTTTTTACACGTTAGTGATATTAAATAGACCTAAAGTGGCCCGTTGGCGGACTTGTACTGCCACCCGGCAATCAGTACTGAGGTATTCCTTGACGCGTGTACAATCACTTGAACGGGAAGCAGTTGTATACTGGATACAACAACTTCCGGAACTAGCATTGAACAAACCCGATACGATATTTGAAAAACATACGTTACTACTCGTATACACATTTCAAAACAAAGCGGATGTATATCATCTTTTATTGTGAATTACTCACAAATACGAGATGTTTGAATTTGTTTAGAAGAAAAAACGTAACCCATCTTATAACATAAAAATAACATTTATCTTCCGGAATGGTTTGCGATTCATATCGGCAACGTAAACTAGTGTATTTTGCTATAAAATGCCCTTTGAACTAACCCTGTATATTGCTCAATAAACTAGTAGTGATGGCCGGAAAACAGGTGTTTTGGGATAAACAGTTAGAAGTACGAATTTAAAGAATTTCAAGTATCTGCGAAAAATCATCGTAGCATTACCAACAAGTGTCAAATTCTGGAGCTTGTCTCGGTTTTCGGCCATAAATTTTTTGCTATTAGTCGGATCTTTTTGCGTGTAGTCTCATTTTGTAGGTCTCATAAATACCTAAAAATCTTATATTAAGAGTTTTTTCGTTCCTGTCAACGCTTTCGATTGATAAAAAAAACACGTTTTCTGATCCTTTGTTGTCGAATAAAAAGTTTTCCCACAAAAATTGGTCTACCCATTTTATGCGTCCATGTTTTAAATACCCCCTTGAACAACTTACAGCAATAAAACCACACTTTATTATTTCGCAATCCAGGTGTATTTTCGTCTAATATGAGACTAGAACTGCCAAATTTTCTAAGTGCTATTTTCTTAGTTACCTAAATGCCGAACTTGCCGCCATTTAACCAACTTCGTATGTCTTACAGTATTCCAAGATCCCAATGGTAAGGGTCCAAATTGAAAGACCCGGTATATAAGGTATCAGTTAGAGTCTAATTTACAGTACCGTACAACCAATATTATACGACTGAAGCATCATATGGGGTATAAATGGCAACACTGATTCAGTTGCATGTTTACACCCCCTGAATGATACTTGATGTTCCATGCTATCTCACAATATAATCAAAAACTTGCTTAACAGCATTAATATCAGTTTGCTCTCTAGAGAAGCATCATTTGTCGAGTGATATTCCTATTTATGTCCGAAAACAAGATAGATTACTTTGAAATGATTGCATAGTCAGTGTGTAGGAAATCTCGGCAGCTTATATAAGATGGTATTTAAACCAATAAGCAACTTGGCAGAAACGTGAGGCAGAAAAGAATGTTTGCGGATATTCATATACTTATTGTTAAGATGAACCCATCACTTTACCTACCTATTTGTCCACTACAGTGCCTAGTATAAAATATAGTGAGGTCTGGTTTATAGGATCAGGCAGCATTGTTATGAGAAAATAAGAATGAACAAGTACATCAAGATAAACAAAAATTCCAATTGTAGTAACTGAACAGGATGGAGTTTTAATTATTGTGCTATCAAGACGTATTATAAGAGAAAAACAAATGTCAAAATCCAACAAGCCATTCGAGCTGTAGCCCGTGAAAACGAAATTTCACTGTTTCGATTAAAATCCGCCATTTCGGCTGTATTAAATTTTAATACACCTAGTATTTCTCGCTCTGTCATCACAAATGTAGTCACATAATATGTCGACATCAATCAAGCCTTTTAAGCTGTAGCTTTTGGAATAAGAATTTCAACATTGAAATTTTCAACTAAAATCTGACATTTTGGTTTTATAAAATTTAAACATACCCATTGCTAAGTCGTATCCCAAAATCCATCAAGCTGTTTGGTTACTCTTGTCCACATACACACGTTCGGAAAACAACCCTCCTTTCGAGACAATTAGGTAAAAATGATATGCCTTAGTGATCCATATTTATAATTGTCAGTTTTAAATAAACTGTGCAGTTACAGTATATATATTTTTTTATAAATTAATGAATCATATATGTAGTACATACCATGTCACTCTTCCTTTTTTTTGGTATGATTCCATACTTCTCGTATTCTTGGAAACGTTTTAACACTGCTGCCAAAAGCTATAAATCAGACTATATGAATGTTGTCTATAGTAAGAATCATTGTCGTCTAACCCATTTTGCTGTAAAGTAAAATATTCCATTGCTCATTAGATATATTTAAGATATAGTAATATATGTGCCAATATAGTGTGATCGATGAAAATGAGATATATTTGTAGAATACAATACAATAGTTTTTGTAGATCTATGATAATTTTGTAATAATCCACTATAATCATTAAATCCAGTTAGCAATCTGTAGGCTCATACTGATTTGTCGTATGTGCTTCATATTTCTCGCGCACAGAACATTGTGAAATTATACATGGTAGCTGTCTCGTAAGAATTTAAGTTTACCTCTACGTCAGGCAGGCTTTTATACCCTATAAAAGTACCATAGTTCTGCAAAAACATTGAATTTTAGTAAGAAGCACATACCTTTAAAGCTCTTGATATTACTTTTCCTAGTGTGTTTGAAATAAGTTTTTCGTCCCACAATTCCAAAAGACCGTAGGTCAAGGTTTCCAAAGCTGATAAAACATTTATCCACAAACTGGGTTTAATGTAGAAAAATAAGCTCGTATTCGCCGAAAAAAAGTAATACATAGATGATTTTTCGTTATACAGAATTATTTTAAACTGATTGAATTACATATCAAAATCTGTAATTTGAAAACCTTGCCGCTCGCTTTTGGTTTTAATATTTAAATGGCATTTTTGCAATTTGCTGTGATATTCCGTGGTTATTTTAGTTTTAAGGTCAAATGAAATCTATTATTTGTACTTACAAGTATATAAATTTGGAAATAAATTTGTTGTTATGAACTAGGCAAATTGTATCTAAAATGCCGACATTTCCCATTCCAATTTTTGTATAGTGTTGATGTGTTGATATGATTCTAGTTTTAATGTTACATACATATATATTTTGTAGACATATATTTGGAGCTTAAAATGATACATTAGTTTTTTAAGATTTTTTATATGGTTATACAGTGAAGCATTTAGTATCTCACGATGAACCAAAAGAACAGTCGTTTGTTTTTGTTAAGCAGAAAAACGTTTAAAGTGTTCACTAAAGGAAACTAACTAGAGAGACGATAAAATCATCGATAGTGATCATTTAATTTGTAAAGGTAAACACCGCCATTCAATATACCGTCGGTCTGTCGTAGACTATGTTTGTTTATTTTTTTGCAATTCCATTTTCTGACCTACGAGTGATTAGACTGATTTTCTTCTTTCTTATTCAAATATAATTACTAATTATGGAACTCCGATACTGGAATTGCCTTCAGCTGGATGGTTACAGCCGTTTGAATGTTTTCGACTGTCCTAGAATGTTCACTTTAGGTGATTTTCCAACTTCAGGAAAAGAAAAAGTCACAAGGACTCCAGTCAGGCGAACAAGGAGGCTGAGGAGCCACAGGCATGTTTTTACTGTCCAAAAACTCTATTATCTTGATGCAACACCCAGGTGTGAGTCAAATTTAACTCTCCCCTCATTCCGACTGTCAACCAACTATCTCTGAATGCACAAGATTCCGGATTCTGTCAATACTTTCATCGGTCCTTGAAGATGAAAGCCTTCCGCTTCGTGGTTCATCTTCAGTGGACTCTCTCCCTTCTGAAATTGCCTTAAACCACCGAAAAACCTGGGCTCTTGACAAAACACGGCCCGTTTAGCAAGAGTTTCCGTTGCCCTTTGTCCAAGTTCGAAGCAAAACCTGATATCACACCGTTGCTTGAAATTGATGTCATTTTTAGCACACAATAGAAAAAACTGTTTCACAAAAACACCGCTACGGATAACCAAATGACTCGAACGAGTTCAAACTTGTACTGAAGGCGGATCACATGTTTCCAGTCTCACCACTTAATTTACAGACCTCGTATATCCCAGTTTTGATATTTCCTGTGATAGATTCTGAAATCTGATGCTTTGGTGAACAAGTTACGTTTTTCATTGGAAAATCAAGTTTTTATCAGAAAAAAAAAACATAATATGAGAATGTGTTCTGCATGAAACACGGAAGACAGTTTCCAATCCCCTAATAAGAAAACAAAGAATGTGATTGAATGTTACTAGACCATTAAGCGAGTAGTTTGCATTCATTATGATGATCTAAGTGTTGTTCTGAAATGCATCTGTATGTCAGTAGATACAAAAAGTAACAAAAAAATATTTTCATTGGTGTGATGTAGTTGTATAATATAGCAATAAATGATATTTGGTTGTCTGATTATTAACCCCTTTTATTGCACCCGTAAATAGTTGAATAGCAAAAACTGTTTTCAAGGTTTCCAATGATTTAATAAAATAATGCCACTAAAATATAGTATTTCTTCTATTGGTGCGTTACTCTTGATGCTTACCTTTGGAAGATAGAAGATCCTTAAACGTCATATAGACGGCACGTTACGTTTGTTAACAGATGTTGAAGTGAATGTTTACCAACGTTAAAGTACAATTTAAAATGTAAAATGTATTTTTTTAGGGTGGCTAAAAAGTTAGTAAACTGTCACTTATCACTTCAACATCCGTGGTTTCAGTTGATACATTAATTCCGTATTGGAATCTTCCTACAACGGAATAGGAAATCCCATAAACAATCTCTCTCAATCCGAGAGAGTTATTATAGTTGCAAGCATAAGTGGGATAAGTATCCTCTGCTGAAGTATGTTAATCAATTGTTGAGGGTTAAGGTGGGTTAATTTGTACGATTCATGATAATTTTTCCTCTGGAGCATTGTAATAGACTTGTCAGTAAATGAGGTTGGGCGGGCGAATCAAGATATTAGTTCAATAGGAAGAGGAGGCAAATTGTTGAGGTCTAAAAATGGTCCTACTTCCTCGGACCAATATTTTGATTTGGCTTTTTGAGCTCTTTTTAGCTTTAAAGAAGCAAGCCTTTTCAGAACTTGTTTACGCATAAAATTTGATACTTCATCGACATCTCATTTTTGATTTTTCTACCTCGTTCAAACGAATCTACTTGAAATACTTTGCTTTGCAGAGCTGGCAATAAGGTTAAACCAGGAAAAGCATTCCTCTTCTGGGGATTGGATAACGAATTCCAGTCTGTTGCTGTTGTAGGATTAGGCAAAAAAGATGTGAATGAACCAATAGAATTATTATGTCACGAGAAAGAAGCTGTCAGAGTTGCAGCATCAGGTAATGAATGATGGTTTTAAATTTTTGTTATTATAATTTTACGTAAAACAAATTATTTGATAGGCAAATAAAAAACCCACAACCTTCGAGTGAATCTCGTGTTGACAGATTTTTTGCGTCAGAAAAAATGGTCTAACTGTTGAGTGACCTGACCGATTTTCATTAAAAGACTGATTTAGTAATCTACAAATCAGACCCTTTCATGTGATACCCCATTCAAGCATATTTGCTTGCTTTGCGTTGCTCACCACCACCCCACTTTTAAACAGTTGAATCGATTTTCATCAAACATAGCTATAACAACCGTCTCGACAGACAAAACATTCGATTAAAAAAACTGGTCCATCCGTTGGGGAACTACGATACCACAGACATACACAAACCTATATATGTTAAACTTAGAAGTCCCATCTTTCGCGTCATGACGATTTTAAAATAACTGTAAACTTTTGCAATATTATTACATGCAACCCAGCATGAACATTGTGAGAATATAATTAACAAATGACTATATGGATTTTAGCTGGTTGCCGAGCACTCGACGCAGCGGGGATTAAACAAATCAAAGTTGAAGACTTCTGTGATCCAGAATCCTCTGCGGAAGGTAGCGTTCTAGGAACATGGAAGTTTCAAGAATACAAATCAAAGAAAGAACCGTTCCCCGAAGTACAGTTGTATCAAGGTGATGAAACAAGCTGGCAAAAAGGAGCAGCCAAGGCTGAAGCTCAAAATTTAGCTAGGAGACTGGCAGACACACCTTCAAATTTGCTGACACCGACGATATTCGCAGATGAAGCTCACAAAATCTTAACTCCACTTGGAATCACGGTAATCATAACTAAAAGAAATCAGACGTTATAAATGACATCGGTGGCCTATTAAAGAGTATACGCAATTATCGTAATTATATTCAACCAACGAATTCGAATAGGTTAGTGACCAAGCCCATACATTTACATGGAACTGTCTGCTGCCAGCATAATGTAGATTTAGTATACACAGAGAAATCCAAACATTACTGTCGATGTAATGTGTATGAGAGAGACGCGTGTAATATGTATGTTAGAAAGAGTGCGCGGATGGCATCGTGGCAAGCCGGAGCTCCGTCCGTGCCTTATTCACTCGGGTTGCAAGGCAACGTGGTTTTTCTGTCTCTTTCTAACATACGTATTACACGCTTCTCTCTCGTATAGATTACGACTTCAGTGGTTTATGGACTTCTCAGTATATATATATACAGGGTGTTCCATAATTATTGCGACAAAATGATAGGGGTTGTAGAGGGCATAAAAATATGCAATTTTGCCTTATAAACCCCTGTCCGTAAATATGCCGTTGGAGCTCTACCGCTAATTTTACCTTAAGAGCTCATAGGAGAAACAAAAAATTCACCAGCTGCAAAATGTTCGTCTAGCACATTTCATGGTCTCGCCGGTTTGTAAAAAAAAGCCTGCTGTGTTTACATTTTTTTTATCGTAAATTCTTCACACCGATTCATTTAATTTATCTGAGTGGTGCGTCAAACTAGATAGTAAATAACAGTACCTTAGTGTTAAAATGCAGCGTTATTCGTATGCGGAACTTGCGAATATGCATTTAATTTACGGAGAAGCTGGTAGTAACGGAAGACGAGCCTCGCGAATCTACGCCCAACGGTTTCCAGAACGTCCTCATCCGCATCACGCCATTTTTGCAAGGATTCATGGACGTCTTCGTGTCAGTGGCAGCATCAGACACCTCGCGGGACCAGGGCGGCCGTTCACGAGGCGGACAGTAGAATTTGAGGAAGCGATTCTGCATCATGTAGAGGCCAATCCGCGTACAAGCGTGCTTGCTATTGCACATGATATGGGAGCGTCTCAAACTACTGTTTGGCGGGTTCTCCATGACCAGCAACTACACCCATACCACCTTTTAAAAGTCCAAGCCATGGGTCCAGAAGACTATTTGCCGCGTCGACGTTTTTTTCGTTGGTGGCTGCAGCAGGAGTTGGGGCAACCAAACTTTGGTCGCTACGTTTTGTTCACTGACGAGTCCTGTTTTACAAAGGACGGTTATTTTAATAGCCGTAACAGTCACATTTGGGATGAAGAAAACCCTCATGCCATAGCCATCCATAGAGACCAACATCAGTTTTTAATTAACATCTGGTGCGGCATTGTGGACGAGCATATCATCGGGCCATATTTGATTCCACCACGTTTGGATGGGCATGCTTATGGTCGATTCTTACAGCATGTGCTACCGGAACTATTAGAAAATGTGCCACTGAACATAAGAGCCAACATGTGGTTTCAACACGATGGCGCTCCAGCCCACTTTTCTTTACAAGTGCGGCAGTATTTGGACGACAAATTTCCAAATAGGTGGATAGGCCGAGGTGGCCCTGTGCCTTGGCCTGCGCGGTCACCCGACCTGACCTCACTGGATTATTTTCTCTGGGGCCATCTGAAAGCTTTAGTGTACGAAACTCCTGTTCCCAACCAACAAGAGCTACTGGGAAGAGTGATAGCCGCGTCCGCACATGTTCAGGACATACCGGGGGTATGCCACAGAGTTCGCCGATCATTGAACAATCGTGCACAGCTGTGTATTGAGCAAGGTGGAGGACACTTTGAGCAATTACTGTAGGTAAGCTGTTTCAAGAAACTGATCTTTTTTTTGCTGCAGCCCAAACGGCATATTTCCGAACAGGGGTTTATAAGGCAAAATTGTTCATTTTGATGCCCTCTACAACCCTTATCATTTTGTCGCAATAATTATGGAACACCCTGTATATATATATATATATACAGGGTGTCCGCAAAGTTGGGGTTTTCCTTTTCAGAAACAACTACCCTTGGAATAACAAAGGTAATGTGTAGTGAAACGAGGGCGACCAAGTAAAACAAAATAAAGGAAAAAGTACTCACTCTCCAGTTGACAAGAAGGGCTAAGTACGTATCTGCCCGAAATCATACCGCTCCAACAGAAAATGAAATCAGCTGATGCGCTACCGAGCAGACCGTCAGGTTGAAGGGCTTGTACACGTTGGACGTGAAACGGATACAGCCCCTCTTCACGCAGCGTTTGCCACACTTTAGTTTTTGATACTTGCACTTCTCTAGCCACGTCTCTAGTGCTTGTGTTCCCTTAAGACATTGGTGTATATGGTACTAAGAAAA